TTGACCTTCGATATCACCATAGACAGTCAACGACGCCAGATTTCGATCGTTTTTAACCGAGACAATAATTTCCACACCTTCATTTCGTTGAACTCGCGTTCGACTATGCGTCAAGAAACTTGCATCAGCCATACGAATTTCCAAACCTGTCAAAGTATTTCATGACTATCCATAAAGTTGTTCACTTTCGACACCTACCAACTTCCGCATCAATCAGATCAATAACGTGTGATACTGTAAAAATATGCCATTCATTCGCACTTGAACATGGCGGATTAAATGAACAAACGCAATTCTTATCATATTGAAATGACGAGTCTAACTCATATGAACTCGGTACACATCCACATCGACCATCGTTCGGTGAATACAAAGCAATCTAATCAACATAATCATAGTTTAGAAGGCAAATGTTACACGTAAAAGATGAATTTCAATCTAACCTTCATTTTTCGTGCCTGACAATCATCACGGCATAGTCGCCAATAATCGTACGTTTGCGGAGTGATATATTGATGAATATCATCGTTTTCATTCACACATCCTAAAGATACATCACCCGGTGTAACTAAACGAAAAGAAAGGTATTCCATATGAGGTAAACGTTAAGCAAATTATTTACTATTCGCAATTTCAACATCGAGTAGAACTCGTTCGTAATAGATAATTTCTTTGAAAGAAGCTACTTCAGTATCATTTCCATAAATAATTGCCGAGTGTGCATGTATTTTATCGTATTTAAAAACGAATAATTCTGTGTATTTTTCCAATTCTGTCTTTCTGTACAAATAACCATCAACATAAATCGACATTTGATGATGTTCAGTTGAGTTTTTGCTTGCCAATTGAATAATAGTGACTACATCAACCCATCGATTCAGTTCGAAATCAGCTTCGACTTGCCAATAGAAAGCGACATGATCATTGTGAAACTCTTTCAAACCAAACTCAAGATACGAAGTATTTTTCGATTGATAGAGATGAATTAACATCCCATCACTATATGGTTCATGTGCACCAGTACTGAATAGAAGATATTTACGTTCTCGGTCGAAGCTATTCAATGAATTTAAACGTATTTTAAAGCGAAGTGACCAACCATGGATTGAACATGTTGATAATTGTTGAAAACACTTAAATTCATAATTCGAAACACGGTAATTACCATCGGCATCTGGAAATACTTTTGATCGATCCAAAACAACGTGTCCATCTTCATTATGATAGAACATTTTCGAACTATTTAACATGAAAAGATCTTTCACTTACCATCGTATTGAGCGAAGATAATCGTACTGATAGGAAAAAAGATTATACTTAGAACTAGAGGAGTTTTCATGATATAAAAACCAGGAGTTCTAGTTCCAATCAAATATCGTCTGTTTACGATTGAACTTTGAGGGTGAATGAATAGAATTAGAAGTAAAAATCTCTTTCATCGTGGTGTTCGAAACTCTTGGGATATGATAGAGCCAATTTTTAATCATATTCAACGAGTAATATGAAAAATAAAACTGATCTTTGGAGAAATATTACTGACGTATACAATTTTCATATAATATCAATAATTTATTATGTAAGAAAAAAAGAAATATTGATTTTTTTCATTAGTGTGTTTGGGGAAATTGTTTTGTTGAAAAATAAATATGTTCTGTTTATGAATTATAGATAAGTACTGAGAAACATTAGACCCTCTATAGACGATAATGACGTACATTCGTAGTAATTTCCCATTTGTGTATTTACAACAAAACTTAAAGTTCTACGGTAATATAATTTATATTTATCTAACTTCTAGAGGGAAAGACTGGAAATTCTTCAAGAAATGACGTGTGAGATTCGTTTACGAAATCATTTTTAATCGATAAAAAGATTTGCTTTTGTGTCAATATGTGATAAATAATCAAATCTAATCAAGATATGCCATTGAAATTATCGAATAACTCAAACATATTTACTCGATCCAGAGTATTTGTCTCTTTGAATAATTTATTCACTTTAAATCACGTATTTGCTTCATTTTATTGCGCTTTCATCAAAAATACAGATTGAATTTATGTTTATAGGACTTTCCTTTAATCCATTCGAAACTTTCAGCAGATATTTTTGCTTTAACGTTAATATTCGTGCATATATTTTAATGATTTTGCCAATGCTTTCATTATCATATTAGTTCTCACATTAAAAAATGCTTCATAAATTAATCATTGAATCGTTTGTTCACATTTGTTGTTGTATGTAAGATGTCATTCTCATAACCAGACGATTTATTCTGATATAAAGTTGAAGAGGAACATCATTGCAGGCAAAAAACAATTCGAATATTTCACTCGATCAAATACTAAATTAAATATCGACTGCTGAATGATTAGTAAAACGAGTATATAAATGACTCATAACATTCATCATACAAATATTCCAACTAATTCAAAGTTAAATCCATATTTATTGAATGATTCGATCCTTTGTCATTTAACCAACTATTGCAATGAATCAATTCACACTTGCATCATTCAATATCTTATGCATGAGTAAATGAATCAATCGTGTGAATTTTTGTTTAAATATAATATTTAAACAAACAATACGCATTAGGATTCGAAATACTTTGCGAAGTTTTTGTTCAGATGATGTATTTAGCGTTTATTGAAATGCTTTCTGATGTAGATCATTGTAACAAAGATGGTTATAGAACAGCTTGTCGTATAATTCTATTCATTTGAGTTTTGTCACTCGATTCAAAGGTATGAATCGTCATTTCGACATAATCGTGATTTATGGCAAATATTCAAAAGAAAGTTATGAATCTAGATAGATCGAATGATCGTTTGTTTTCTAAAGTTCACAAATTTTTAATATCGTCTCAAGCATAATTTGAATAAATCAAGTGTATTCTTACCGATATGTCAGTGAACTCTTTTTACAATTGAAATATTTCATTGGTTATAAAGTTATCAATCGAGATTAAATATTTGTATCAACTTTGAATTGGATTGTCAATGGGAATAATATTCACAGTTCATTGTGGAAAGTTCATACAGAAATTATGTTGTCCTTTCATATACTTTTTTGCATTGATAATTAATGAATATTTCTTAAATCGGTACTTATGGACAAACCGAGGATTTTTTTTTCGTATTTCTTCTTATATAAGTCCATCAGTAATTATGATTTTGAGTTATTTATGCGTCAACATACCGTATGTCACTAAACCAACATATTTCTTACCATGTTCTATACTCGTTGATTACATGAGAGTTGATAGAGAGACAAACTAGAATATTAATAAAGAAAAAAAACTAATGACAAACATTATCTAATTATAGTTCGCATACATTATGAAAGATGACAGCTGAATCTTTCATAGACAATGATATTAAGTGAATAAATGAGGTTATGAACATCAATAAAATACAATTCATAACATCAAACACAAATATCAGCGTTAACGATGGTGAAAAACAAACAGCTTATTTGAATATATTTCATATGACATCAGTTTATCATCTTTTTTGAATATACGAAAATAAAATTGGATAAGAATAATTTTAGGCAAATCTTATCAATATTAGTAAAAGAGTGTATTCAATCAATTCAATATCTTACTGTAAATAGTTAGTTACGAGTCGATAACACCCAGATATCGAGAGTTTTACACAATATACGATTTTTCAGCTGTAATTAATTACAATTTAAAAGGCTTTTGTACAGCACTGTCAAGTATGGCTCATTTCAATGTCGACATTCCATCGTGGATCCTTTTGCTTACCTTGAAATTGACTCGTCTTTTCATTGCAAATGACCTCGTTTGACATATCTTTCGGTATTATTGAGCAGTTTTTGAAAAGTTGAATGTGATGCTCTGGATCATTAACTTATGGATATTCCTTGCACTAAAATGAGTCATTATTTTAAAGAAAATACATAGAAATCCTCTCTCTTTAAAAGTATTCTTTCTTCAAAAACTTCGTAAAACACTAGTAGCATTATTATGTGAGAAGGAAGTTAATATGGCATTGTTATATACTTCTTTGTAAAATTCCATATCTATTAACTATCGTCTACAGTCTAATTGATCTATCAGCTGATTTTATCATCATGAGATGACACTTATATCTTCACCGTCAAGACTTGTATCGTAAGAGATCGATCGTAGAATGTGATTTAATGCACTTGTTAGTCAAAGAAATAAGTTTTTCAATATGTATTTTCACAGAAATCGAGCAGGATGTCGACATCTTCATGAAATTCTTTGATGGTTACACTTTGTTGAATACAGAACAACGAATAATACTTGAAGATTGATAAACAAATTCTATTCATTTCATCGGAGACTTTGAATATTATTTTTGAAAGAATAGACTGATGTTTTCTTTTCGATTTACGACCTAATCATGATTATATCAGTCAGAAAAAAAGCTTTTTATCAAAAGTATGAAAAAATAAAGTTCTTGATAAGGTAATAATATGCCATCTTCTGCTATTTTTTCCGAGAAAACACTAATGCACAGGAAACAAATAAAATCCTGATAGCAACGTCTGCTTTTCTTCTGGTATTTCTGCTTGTAAAAGTATAACAATCATCGTGAAATAAATATTGATATAAAACTTTTATTTTTCTTCTGTCAAAAGTCTACAAGAAGAACTGCAGATGATCTTTGTATGCACAAACGTTTCAATGATTAATTTCTTTAATATCTCTATAACTTTTTTTTTTCTCATTTCATATTCCGAGCGGACAAATATCTTCACTACAAATGCATACTTAGTTCGAAAATAGTGTTAGAACGAAGTGTAGTATACATCTTATGCAAAAGAGTTTCCAAACAATTCTTCGGGATACTTAGATTTATTGACGTCATTCTTTATTTTCCCTTGGCAGACTTCACGTCTGTCGAACCGTAAGTAAAGTAAAGGTTTGTCAGATATCTCTTCTTGAAATTTCTTTGAAATAATTGTAAAAGTGCGAGTGACCTATCTTCTTTGAATTGTAGATGAAAATGAAGAGAAAAGCATCATTATGGGAAGAGTTAATCGTTCGTCATCAAGAAGATGCAAAATTTCGATCTCGAACATGTAGTATTTTCAATGTAAATTCCAATTATCATGGTGAACCAGATAAATTATGTCCTTGTGACCGTATGGTTCGTCGTCATAGTCTCGTCGGTGAATGTTTACAATCCAAAGCAGCAGCAAATGGAAGTACTTCATGGGAGCCACCAACAAAATTTCTTGATAATACAACACATTCCACCAAAGTGCCGATTAATATTTACGGAACATTGCAATCCGATGGATGTAAATTCGTTCGTATCGATAGTCGTGTGCCAATCAAAAATATATTCCAATTAATTCTTGAAGATTGTGGAAATCATAAACCTGCTTTGATTATTAGTGTTTATGGTGGAGCAAAATATTTTACCATGCCGGAACGATTGGAAAGAGAATTTATCCGTGGTGTTATGGACGCTGCTACCATGGCTGGTAAGATATACGGGAAGCAAAACAAGTGAAGGTGAATTGGACATGTACTTTTCTATTTAGATGCATGGATCTTAACAGCAGGAGTTAATAATGGTGTATCAAAATTAGTTGGTGAGGGTATTTCGCATTATCGTTTATTGGAAGAAGATTTAAATAGAATCAAATGTATTGGAATGACTATGTGGGGTACAGTTAGTGAAAATACTCGCCTTGAACTTAAAACTGCGTCGAAAGTAAGTACATTCAAATGATAAATGTGATTTCATTTTGAGTAATAGGGTTCGCCGCGACCATTATGTCAAAGACAAATACCGGAAATTGCTCAAGAAGATAAAGAAACAATAGAATTAAATCATACGCATTGTATTTTATTCGACAGTGGCCGGTTAAACGAATATCTTAGTGATTCACAACGACACCAATTTGTCACTGAAGCATGTCAAGATGAAAACGATAATCATACCTGTATGTATTTATTCCAAATTCTGAACTGACAAGTTGTTGTTTTTTTCTTTTCGAAAAAGGTTATCCAGTGACAATCATTGTCGAAGGTGGTCTAGGGACTCTCGAAGTTCTTGAAAGTGATATTATCGGAGAGCGGCCTATCGTCTTAATTCAAGTACGTACTCGATTTGTCGTCACCCCTTCGTATTTAGATCGAATTCTTTACAATTTAGGGTAGCGGCCGGTTAGCTGATGTACTTGCTGCTCTAGTTGATCAAACATCCAATCCTGATCGAACACAAGATTGGTGAGAGACAGTCTCGTTTTTCTCGAAAATTCAATGAACAATACTTGTTTATTAGGAATCCATCGAAACAAGAGATTGAACAAGCGCTCGATCGACTTTATCCGAATATTCCTTATTCAGAAGTCTCGTCCGCAATCAAACGAATTCAAAACATTTTGAAAGAAGAACATCGTCATCTGTTACATGTTTTCTCGTTGGATCGAGATAAAAATGTGGCGGAAACGATTTTCAAAGCAATATTCAAAGGTGTGTATTATCAAAGAATCTCCCTTGCTTCTCAATTCAATAATTTTGTCTAGCAAAAAACAAGAAAAGTGTGAACAAAGATAAGGATAATGAAACGGAACTGCTCGAACAAGAAAAACAGCGACGAAATAACGAAGATAAGTTGGTTGATCTTGCACTTGAATGGAACTATTTCGGCGGTGTGTTACCAATCCTCCAAGCACGACAAGGAGAAATGGTCAAGAAGAAACACGATCTTATGACGGTAAGTCTCTGCATTCAGGAATTCTGTAGATAACGAATTAATCTTTTTCAGGCTGATATAGCACGGCAAAAGATGTTATTTTTAAAATCTTTGGAAAAAAATCGTCCAACATTTATCGAATATTTTCTCAGTGCAGGTTTTGATCCGTTGACACTAGCCGAGAAAGATGATACTTATCGTTATCAAGAAACAATTCTCAAATTATACAACAAAAGCTATGAAGTTATGAACACAGTTCGTTTCTCCATTTATCATTTTCGTCTTTTTCACCTTTGTTTTACTTTTCAGAGTCATAAAAATCGCGTTTTGACCGTATTTGGCTCGTTTCCGCTTGAATCCATCAAACAACTCGATTACAAATTAAACAAACTCGTTGGTTCATTTTTCGGTTCAATTTATTCAACTCGAGATGACAGTTTTAGCAATCGAATTAAAATCGATCTAAGCAATCGTATCTGCACATGTTGCGGTTCATACGAAGACATACATGATCTACGACCCATGCATATACAAGATCAAATTAAACTATTTCAGAGTAAATATACTAAACATCACATGTTACGTGATCTTTTCCTTTGGGCGGTCTTTATGGACATGCCTGAGATGGCAAAAGTTCTACTTCTCCATGTTCGATCTCGTATCTGTGCTACATTGATCGCATCGTCGATATTCAAAGAATATGCCAATTCATCGCATTCGGTGGATTTAACTGAAAAATTTCGTATGCAAGCATTGGATTTTGAAACCTACGCAGCAACGGTATTGGATCAATGCTATGAATATAATGATGCACGTGCATGTGAATTACTTCTGCGGCAAATACCATTGTTTGGAAATGTAACATGCATGCAGGTAAAGATAAAGTTCGTATAAGAAATGTTCACTTGTATTTGTTTCTGTTTAGGTGGCGATTTCCAGTGAAAGTGGAAAATTACTTGAAACAGCATGTTTTGATCAAACATTGAATCATGTTTGGTTTGATAAACTTGGTTTGACGAATCGTCAAGCGTCGGCACGGTTATCACAGGTACCATCGGTGTTGAGCCTGGGTTTTCTTGCGCCGTGGTTAATGACTTATCGGAAAGAAGAAAAATATTCAACAACTGTACGTAGAATGGTTTGATTGAGCAAATAAACTTTCTTTTTTGTTTTTTTTTAGGAAAAACAAAATGAAGAGTAAGTCAAAATTTAGTTCGAATTCTCTGATTAATACTCTGATTATAGATTGTCCCAAGAAGGTATTAACTATTACACAGATGAACTCAAATTAGAAGAACAATGTTCACATTATTGGATACGTTTCCGATATTTTCATAGTAGTCCAATGATAAAGATGCTCTATCATTTTGTAAGAGAACACATCGTATTCTCTCTCACAATAACATTCATTCTCTGATTTAGCTAAGCTACATTTGGTTTCTTCTTGTGTTCAGTTACATGATGCTTTTTCATCTTGAAAGTCGAAGTACAGCACGAATTCCTCATTGGACAGAAATCTATGTGATTATCACTGTTTCGACGATGTTTTTTGAAGAAGCTCGCAAGGTAATCGATTTGAACTATTTGAAGTCAAAATCGACTTGTATTTCTTGCAGATTTATTATGAATACGATGCACGTATGATTGAACGATGGGGTTCGACAGGATCAACGATCTTGACTGTATTAACAAATGTATTTTATATTACACCATATTTTCTCTTCTATGCGGGTCTTGGTTTTCGCTATGCAAGTTATAATGATAATCTATTACCTACTGTTAGGTTTGTTAGACATCTTAAGATCATTTCTTGATGGAATTTCGTTGGTATATTTAGAATTATTTGGGGACTTGATCTCGAAATGTGGTATATTCGGTCGTTGAAATTCGTTATGGCTTTAAAATTCTTAGGACCCAAATTGTTTATGCTGAAAAACATGGTTAGTCAACCGGATCTGACGTACGCGCGAATATTCCCATCGATTTCTTTGTTTTAGCTTCGAGATCTATTTGCTTTTGTTTACATGATTTTCATAGCTATTGCTGCTTATGGAGTTGTCTCGCGAGCATTAGTCTTTCGAGATAAAGTTCAGTTCACTGGTCGTGGAATCTTCAGTAGTATCTTTTATGAACCGTATTGGTTCATTTACGGTGCCGTTTCGGATAAAGAATACCTTGATAGTAAGTGCATTGTTTGAATGATATGTTATGTATTTGTATTTTTGTAGATCTGACAAATTCGGACGCTGGACAGGAATATGCCGAAGCAGCAGCAACACATGTTTTATTAGCGTTTCATATGCTGTTTATTAATATTCTCCTACTGAATCTTTTAGTCGCCGTTTTTGCGTAAGTTATTCGCATTAATTTACTGTATAGTGTATCATTTGTATCGTTTTAGCGATTCGATTGTTAAAGTTCAAGAAAATACGGAATTCTATTGGCGTTATCAGCGATATTCATTCGTTCGCGAATATTTCGAGCGTTTGCCATTATCTTATCCGCCATTGATTTGCATTTCACATTTATTTTTACTCTTCTTAACTGTTCGACGAACATTTTGCACGAAATTCTGTCAAAGTCGAGTGAATCTTGAAAACCATCAAACGATGTTAAAGACCATCACTCCGATCTTTAGTAGGTTATTCGAATTGAGTGAAATCTTTTTCAATCTTCTTTCATCTCCAATTAGAAATGATTCCACTGAAAGATTCGCAGAATGAACGTTGGGATTTATTTGAAAATGCAGCGACGCATGTCTATGCTCGATCAGTTTTAGAAAAAGATAAGAATAAAGATAGTTTAGCACCTGATGATGATAAACCTAGAAGAGCAATGAATACAATCGAGTAAATGAACTTTTGTTTGCACTTAGAGTAGTTCATTCGTTGTCTGATTTTGTTTAGTTTGAGTATGACAAAATCGACTGTTGATCAACAGCAACAAAATACGATAGGAGATATGAAAGAAGAAATTTTGGCAACTTTTCATGCTGCTGTCAGTGAAACACAACGAAATTTGGAACAAGTAGAAGATTTGTACAGTTGATTTGAAATACTGTTTTGCATTGTTTGATATTTTAGAACCATTCAAGAATGGAAAATCGCTTAGAACAGGTGCGTGTTTTTACCGTTTTGAATTAGTTTCGATACAATTCAAGGTTTTTTTTTCAGATGAGTACATCAATTGAACGATTGATTAATAAACTTGAACGAAAAAGACCACACGAATCAACAAGCTCAAAGTCGACATTCGAACAAGGAACGAGTAGTAATGACAGTAAAATTTCAAATCAGTCAACATCGGTAATAAGAAAGCGTAATGAATGAGATCAAATTCGATTTGTGATGATTATTTAATTCATGAACATTTCACAATTTTTTTTTCTTAATCGACTTTTCTTTTTCTTTCAATTAAAAGCATTTCTTCGTCATTCGTATCTTTTTCCTCCAATAATTCGTGTTGGATAGCGCCACGATGCACAGTTCCTTGGCCATTACTTTTAGTCCATAGAATTCAACATTTTTTCTCGGAACAAATTGAAATATTTGTCACCTCCATGTTCTCACAGCCTTTCAAACACGGATGATTGTATGTGGCAAATGACGTTTTAGCCTTACATATGAGTAAGAGCGAGTTTGACTAATATCGAAGTCTACATTACGCACGATATTTTATCGTTTTTTCATTTCTTTATTTGCATTTGTTTTATGGGTAATGTCGTCATTCACATACGCCCCAGGACGATAAAAAATGGCTGACAGATGACGTATTACCAAAAATCTGCAAATATATATTTATAACACAACTCTATCAAAATCTAATCTTGTTTTACTGGTAAATCGAGCATTGATTCTTTATGGTTCAACGTCGCATCAAAGATCCAAAAGCAATCGTTTCCATTATACTTTTTGCACTTTTTCTAGGTGCTGTTATAATATTTTTCACCCTAGGCGGTGTTTTCTTTGCGAAGGAGAATCCCAAAACGAAATACTATGCACAGAGCACATGTCTAGTTCAAAGTAGAGATTATAAGACATATCAATGTAGATCCAGATATTCTCGGTACACTTGTTATGGTCCGACCTGGGAGGTATTATATGACGTTAATCTAACAGCATCCGCAGTTGTTGAGACCGAAAACCGATATAGGTCATCAGCAGACGCTCGTCAGAAAGCCCATGAATATCAGGTTAAAGATTATCGAAACGAGAAATTCATGAATATAAATCAGATCTGTTTTGTTTAGATTGGCTCTTTATATTCATGCTGGTATGATACCCGAAATCCAAGAGTTGCACAATGGGACAAACCGAGTACTACCGTAGCTATTATTCTTCTGGCTAGTGGTGGTTTATCTGTATTATTATGTATTCTGTTTCTTTTTCTCGGTGTACGATTCATCACACAAGAAATACGTCAAAAACGAGACAATACTTACGGTTAAATGAGATGAACAAACTGTTGTGATAATAATATTGAGTTTTGTTTCGTTTTAATAAAAGTAAATGTGTTTTCGATCGTAAGCAAAAAGGCGCGAATCTGTCTGTTGTTGTCTTAAATTTTCAATCTAAAAATGAATCAAGTGCGTATTTTTTGAACAAAAGACGTTTTTTATCGACCTTTCTTCTATCCTTAAGACAATATTACATCCATATAGAAATCAGATATATTCGGAACTAGTGCAACAACATAACTCAACTAATCTTTTCAATGACAATGAATTTCCCAATAGAAAATCTTCACTTTATTATACACCAGGTTTTAATCGAACACTCGATCATGTTGTTTGGAAACGACCATATGTAAGTGTTTTAGAACGAAGTGTTCAACTTGATTTTAGCTTCTTCGTTAGTAGGAAATCTGTTCAAATCCTCAATTCATTGTCAACGAAGCAAATCGATTCGACCTTGATCAAGGTGAATTAGGTAAATTTCCAATAATTTCTCCTTGAAAGAAAGTTTTCCTACCCAACGACGGTCGTAGGTAATTGTTGGTTTATCTCTGCCGTCAGTATGATCACACAGAATGCTTCGATTTTCGAACGTGTTTGTCCACTTGATCAAACATTTGATAAACGATACTATGCTGGTATTTTTCATTTTCGATTTTGGCAATTCGGAAAATGGGTCGACGTTGTTGTCGACGATTGTTTGCCAACAGTAAATAATCGACTGATATTCTGTCAGAATGCCAAAGAACCAAATGAATTTTGGGCAGCTTTACTTGAAAAAGCGTACGCGAAGTGAGTTGATTGAACGAGAAGAAAAAAGTATCAGTTGGATTGCGCGTTCGCTTATATTTCGCCAGGGATCGAACCTGGATTTTCAATGTGAAAGATTGACATACGGACCAGTGTATTACGAAGGAAGCGAACAGCTAAATGCCATCTGTTGAGTTACGGTACATGTGCTACGTTGTTATTGAGCTGTAATGGATTGATGTTGTGCAATGACATCGCTTTGCACTTAAAAAGTATTGTGAGAAGAATGATGCAATACTTTTTTGGATAGAGAAAGTTCAAGGAGCAAGAAATAACTCTAATCATCTGTATTTCGGTTGTAGATTGAGTTATTCGTATGAAGGTACAGATGCTGGGCAAACAACAGACGCTTTGATTGATATGACTGGTGATCTTTTCGTACGAAAAGTAACAACGATCGTAAAGTAAATTGCAATTTCTTAGGTGGAGTGGAGGAATCATTCGATACAAAGGAAATTAATGATAAGGAACAATTCTGGCAAACATTAGGTACAGCATTAAAACACGATGCTATGGTTGGTTGTTCGATTACTGTACGTGAAACGATTGTCTGAATAAGCTTTTGTTTGATTTGTGTATTTCCTTAGCCGGATCCAAGTGAACATGAAGCGAAAATGGCCAATGGCTTGGTAAAAGGTCATGCGTATGCTGTTACTGCGGCTGTTCGTGTTAAACTTCTCAATGGTGAAATCGTTCAGATAGTTCGTTGTCGAAATCCGTGGGGTAACGAAACCGAATGGAACGGTGCTTGGAGTGATGGGTATAGTTATTCAATATTCTCTTTCCATGCCACGTAAACTAACTTTTGAAGAGATACGAACAACTGGAACAAAATCGATTCACATACGAGGGAACAATTGCATTATCAAAAACAAGCCGATGGCGAATTTTGGTATTTTGAAAGGAAGAATGAGACAATTTTGCTTAACATTGTTTTTACAATTCAGGATGCTTTATTCCGATTGGTTGAAGAATTTTGAACAAATTCAGATTTGCAACCTTTCACCTGATTCATTCGAAGGACAACTCAGTGCTCAACAAGTAGGAAATAAACTACGACAGATGTGAAAACTAACGAAGTTTATTTGACAAGGGAAAACGTATTGCTTGGCATCGAACTCAATTTGATGGCGCTTGGATCAAAGGACAAACCGCCGGTGGATGTGGACAACCAAGAATTGGTCAGAAAATGTTCTTCCTCTTCTCTTCCATATGAAATCGAGATTTGAATTACAGAAAGTTTCTTTACTAATCCTCAGTACCTAGTCAATGTCACTGAAACTGATATCGAGGGCGGCGATGGTCTTTGTACAATCATCTGTGCTTGTTTACAAAAATATACACGTCAAAAACGACAGCAAACTCGTGTACAACAAGCTGAAGAATATATCAATCTTCGTTTATATCGAATTAAAGATTCAGTGAATGTATCACAAGTCGAACAAGGCTGTAAATTCTACCCAAAAGATCTCGAACGACAAGGCGATACGGGTAATCGATTACAACGCATAATTTTGTGTGTGAATACTGTCGAGTTCGTTTCGGTAGGTTCTTATATCAACAAACGTGAAGTGACAGGACGCTTTCGCGTCAAACCGGGAAATTACATTCTGATTCCATCGACTTACGAATCTGATAGAGAAGGTGAGTTTCTCGTCAGAATATTTACTGAAGGTGGTTCAGCTGGAAAATCATTGACGGAAGAACAGCCGGATATAGTAATTCATTAGAGATGCTTGACGCTTACTCGTTGATTTCGTTTCATAGGATTCACCTTCACAAATAGTTGACAAGGCGAAATATGAATTTCATGATGGAAAAGATCAAGAATCGAAGTTTACTATCATGCAATGGTTCGAAAAACTACCAGAATCGCAACAAAAGCTGCTCAAGTAAATTTTCTGCTCTAGCATGTAGATCGAGATAACTATGAACTTCTCTTTCAGATTTGGTGGATATGCTTCGGTTGGCATCGGTATTGCGTGTTGTCTGGGATGTTTTGGCAAAAAATACTGTTGTAAAAAGAAAAACGAATGAACTATCGAAAAGTTTTCGAGACAAAGAGTTACAGATCATTTGTTGTGTTTATTTAACAAAACCAGACAATAACTATGCACATATTTGAATTTAAATCTCATATTAACAACGACGATAAAGAATCAGTTCTGGTTCATGACGATGAACCCTAAAATCATCAAAATAACGTAAAGCATCAAGGACTAAAAGTTTATTTTCAGCGGATACATCATCATCGAATGGAGCATAATTAGACAAATCAACAGAAATCTGTACACAGAATTCAGGGAGGAAAAATGACTGTGAATCTTTTAAACTATCGTTATGATCCTAATCATCTGTCGTTAATCGATAGACTAATTGAAGATATTTCGTATGTCTCTCATTTTTCAGGAGAAAACATATTGTATAAGTAAAGAGGCTGCGGATAATTCATTATGAACTCATACCGTCGCAAATCAAACAGATTTTTCTTTACACATTGGAATAATTCAGCAGGTAAATAAGCAAGTATAAAGCATTTCAGTTGTTCATTTTTCATCAGAACGATGTAAGGAGCACATCGTTCTTTGAGAGTTAATAATTCATTCCATTGCGACCCATGGCGTTGAAATCGTTTGAAAGCGCCGCATAGAGAATAACGGTTACCCTTTATTCCAATCGCTGCTATTTCGGTTATGACTAACCATTTCGAGTTTCAGCCCATAACGATCTGTGCCAACGATATTTCGTTTCAAAGTCAATTAGTAAAAGAAAAGAAAATTTTACTATCCGTCCATAACGTCACGCAGAATAGCTTTTGTAAGAGAGAACAAGCAAGAGTCTAGTCCGCCCGTCATTTTTTCTCTTAGCATAATGCAGAAAATTCTACTTGAATTACTAACAAACATCGTTTTGAGCAGAGTCATGTGCTCAGATGTTTAATCCTGTCTTTTCAATTCATTTCCGTCGCAGTCAAATGCAAAAGAGGAAAAATAAAATCTAAACGGAAGCGGAACTACCGCCGGTCGAGTACTCTCTCTCTCTCCCTCTATTTATATGTGTATGCAATAAATCATCAGTCGACTTCGACTATTAAAATTTCAGTATCAAAATCGCTCATCATTTGATACATTCGTCAAAAATCGGAACTTTTCGACTCTTTTTCAGTAAATTTGTTTACTGAGGTTAAACTAGTCAATTGTTTGCTTTTTTAAGTTGTGTAGAGTATATTTCGAGTGTTTGCTTGATGGAATTGCATTATTTCTTCACAAGCAGTTTATTTCATCGTCGAAAGTCGTTGGCAAACGAAGAAATTTGAACTTCAATTGATCACGTACGTTTCTTTCTTCTTTCCAAATCGATCAGAAGAAAATGAACAATTGTTACGCATGCGCCTGTTGCGTATATAAGAAAAGAAAGAAAAGTAAGTTTCTTAGAGAGAGAAAAAACGCTCATCATCATTACTTTTCGACGGTTCAGTTACACTTTAAGTTTCTTTCTCTGAAATCTACTAGATAACAACGGACAATTGGTTTAATGCATGAATAATCTGTTCGACGAGAATGAAAAGGCGCGGAGCATCAAAACGACATTAGTGGCACATCTGATATCGAGGTATTGGAAATCAAAATCTCGTCAGTAGCAATAAAATAAGTTTTCAGGTATGTTATGACATACCGGTTTTTGATGCGATAAAAAGTCAAGACACAGAATGACTCTAACTAAGATTTTTACTATCGATTTATATTGGCAATAGAAGAACAGGACTTTACGATTTTCTCATAAGTGAGACACGAACAGTCAGACGTTTGATGTTCGGTTTAATTCTACTCTAACTTGTCGTGGCAATCAGGCAAGAAGAAATCCAACGATTTAGTTCATATTTTGGAGATTGTCAGCGACAATAAATATGACGTTATTTGACCGCGATCCTCTTTCTTTCTCTCTCTCACGTGTCTGCCAATCGAGAACGTTTGTTTTGTTATGTTATACTGAACTTTTCGTCGTTCGGACTGTGTCACACTGAATAGTATAGAAATCACTGAAAAGTAAGATTACGTCAGTTTTCCGTTGTTTTTACAGCGTCTAGTGCATAGGATTCCGAGGTGAGCCAAACGGATCGAAATCGTGTGCAGAATTTGTCTTTATTGAAGTTGTAAGAAAATGGTAAACGAGAGAAAGTTTAGTCCGTGAGTCAATAGAAATTTTCCGGAAAAATCTGTAAAAATCATCATTTTACAATTACTCCACATACTACAAATAAATTTGGAATTCTTTCTAAGCTTTCCCGGAGAAAGACTCAAAAGTTATTTGAGTTTCTGGACGGGCACACTTTTGATTGCAACCGATTTTTCTTTCAAATTTTAGCTTTTCATTCAGCCATGTATCGTATATTTCGTCCTTCACCATTGCATATTCGTTACGGCATCTCTCTACTTTTATCTGTCAGTGTATCCCTATTACTAATCTCTTTAACAAATTATCCTTCATATTCGATCGGATCGATTGGCAAATCCAATGAAATAGCTGATCGAATACTTCTGACTATTCGTACGTCGAATAACTGTCAATCACGTTTAACTTATCTTCTGCAAAGTTGGTTATCGCCGGACTTCTCCGAACAACGTAATATATACTTAACAACCGATCGTTTTCACAATCAAAGTAACTCGACAATCTGGAATGCATTCCGACACGTTATACAAACCGATTGCCCGATGACGCACAATTTATATGACTTATGTTGTAAAACGGCTCATGAATTCGACTTGTTCTATGAGTTATATTCAACAACAAGATCAGATCTTCAGTGGATGTGTCGTTTTGATGATGATCAATATGTTAACTTGAATAATTTATATCATTACATATCGAAATTCGATTCCTCTCGACCGTATTACATCGGTCGAACAAGTGTTTCGAAACGTTCACGAATTCGTAATGATAATCGAACATATTCGTTTGCAACATATGGTGCTGGTGTGTGTTACTCTCAAGCTTTACTGCAATTACTTCGACCACATGTTTCTCCTAAAATTTTGGCGGAAAATTGTGTGTCACGTTCACTTCCAGACGATGCCTACATGGGTTATCTGAGTGAAATCGTTCTTAACGTTTCGTTAACAACCATCAACGACCGTTTACATTCACATTTACAAACTCTTGATAACTCTTGGCGAACGTATAGTTTAGCTGATTTGACGCGAATGATAACCTTGGGCTTTGCATGGGATCGTTATAAATTAGATTGGTTGCCAATTATTCATCGATTGATTCAATTAGTTGATCAAAATCAATACGAAGCTGCTGATCGTTTATGGTTGTTTCTACGAGATTACGAAAAAGCTCATCCAGAGAATCTCACGGGCCAATACGATCAATCTTGTACGTCGTACAAACCGAAACTAACTACAACGAAGTCAACTAAAGTGAAATCTCCAAAAATAAAATCCTGAAAATGTTTCTACACATTTCCATCAATCGCATATCTATTGTCTAGTCATGATGTTAAGAATCTTAGAAAATAAAATCAATACTCTTCATTTCTTAATACCATCAGTCGGAAGTCCATTTTTTTTCGATAAGTATTGCTTTCAGGCAATGTAATCAGAGAATATGTTGGATCGAATGATCGAGTTATAGTACAAAAATTACTTTCAATAAAGATTAGAGTCGAGAAAAAAAAAGATTCATTTAGTTGATGAATGTCAAATGGAATCATTAGAAACTATCGATCAATGTCGAACTGTTTGATCTTTTTTCCAGATTTACCCAGTTTTTATTCGGTAATTTCCATGAAAAACAAAGTGTCATTAGGAATATTTAGGCAAATAAATCGATTTTCCTATTAACATTTCGAATTCGATTTCAACAATCTCCTGACATTTATCATTCTCGACCATGTTTTCTTTTCTGCTAATCAGATTGACCAAGTTTTGTTGTCTCGTTTAATTCAAGGTCTTTGCATTGAGTAGATTACGAAAACAAACAAATCTTTTGACTTTAATTGAAATCAACCTTCAATACAAAGATCTCTTTCATCATCATATCGATAAACATTAATCAGTTACACTAGATTTGTTTACAACTCCAACATGAAAATCTGACAAAACAGAGCCACACTTGTCATCTGATCTTCTATGATTAGATAGAGCAATACACATTAGTTAATTTTCCTTTTCTGCCTGTCGACGTAATGTTTGTTATTAACCTGAAAAGAACGGAGTAGAAGAATCTGATTTCCTTGAATCAACATATTCAAACGCGAGGTATGCTTTGTCTCTTTGTAGAAATAAACATATTTTACCATGACCTTTGATTAATCGGAATGAACGCTCTTTTTTTGGCCTGAGGAAGAAGTATCGACACTTCCGAAATATCCATCTTATGTTAGGAAAGGTTTCTCTCCCGACAAAGACCAACGCTGATTCTCTCTTTTGGCTAATTAATATCTGTTTTCAATTAAGTCAAATGTCTCGCGAAAAACTTTCATTCGAACGAAGAAGAAAAAAATCCTTTTTCGAATATTGTCCAACAGAAACAAATTGATCTATTTGCATAAAGAGAGAGAGAGAGAGAGAGAGAGAAACCAGCCATTTAACAAATGTTAGAAACATATATGCACATAACAAGAATCAAGCATATCATTATCTCTGAATCGGACGGCTGTCACTGTTTCTCACCGCTTTTGAAAAGGGCAAACACGTTAGCAGCATGTGCATATGACATACAAAAAACAAGTTTCATCTCATTCATTGCCATCGATGATTTACCTCTTCGATATGTTTATTAAACCCGACGAATATCTTTCAAAGAATGGCTAGTTATTCAACATGCAATGTTTGAAGTATGAACTCATTTCGACTGAATTCTTCTCCCGGGAGTTTCGTCTTTCTTGTACTATTTCGCATCTTGAATAATTGTTTTATCTCGGTTTTTTTCCACTGATTTAATTTTCTAATCAGACTTGGAAAATGATTTTTTTTTTCTAGCACTGACCTAGACTCGATGTTGATTTGCTTTTTTTCGCCTTCAAAGATTAGTTCTGTGTCAACATGTTGATAGGATTAGAATCTCACGGTAAAGAAAAACATCACATCGGACAAAATCTGACAGCTGTAATTAATAAGACCAACATGTTTTCTTCGTCTTCTTTCTTCGATTATCACTTGAACAATCAAAAATGATGGAGAACGACATTCTTGTTTTTGATATCTCGACAAGTGTACGGCTCGAAGATAAAAATAGAATTTCAAAATCTGAAGTTCTCTCATGTAAGAGAAAGATACGAAGCGGAATTATGTCATTCTCGAAATGAAATTACCAGTTGTTTAAGAGTGTCTTCTTCGTTTCCATCAACGAGAGATCGAATAGAAAGGATATACGCTCGTTCAATCTTATCGACAACAGCAGCGTGAATGAGCAAATCGTGTGACATTCGCACAATCTTATCAACGACGGCGTGAATGAGCAAATCGTCTGACATTCCCTCATCTATCTCTATCTATACTCTAGGGTGACGAAATGAATGGGAGAGTGAGACAAATACATAGTTATAAACGCAGTCAATTGATCGAGTGTGAGGCGAGGAAAACGCTTCCATACAGGTTTCGTCAATAATAATATTGAAAATCGATTATGAATACATGAATGAATATGTATTTATATCTTTTACTAAATGACATATATAATGATGAGAAAAACATCTCGAATACGTGAGAAGATAATTATCGTTAAGATTAACTTTTCTTTTCCGAGAGAATCATATACACACAAGTCACGTCAAACTGTGTTTTGCGCTAATCAGATAATTAATTGTGATTGTCAACAATCATCTAATGATATATTAATGTTTTATTTAACTGTTAAATAATCAGCTGACATTATCTTTGTGTCGTTTGATGAGATCGTATGATCGATTCTTTCAATACGTAGATACGGATCACAATCTGTACCGATTGAGATTGGTTTTCTATTAATCTAACACATTTACCCCCGCGCATATGGGTTAAGAGAGAGAGAGAAGGAGAAAAGCAGAGATATGCTCTCGAGCAATAGCGATGACGGTTCTAATTCGATTTAGTAAATGCGCCGACACAAGTCTATATGTATGTTCTCGTTTACTCTCGCTTCTAATCTGTTGAACTGAGAAAATGAATCTCATCTGTTCGCTTAGGAAAAGCAACGATGATTTCTAATCTATCTTTCGAATAATGTTAAGCGAACGAGAAAGAGAAGTAACTGAGCGAGTGAAAGGAAAAGAACTGGTAGTGTAATTGTTTAAGTTCATCTGGCGAATTAGATTTTCATAAGACAAGAGGAAGAAGGAGAAGAGGAAGAAGAACGAAATGGCTACATATACATACTGTTAAGAAAAAGAAAACGATAGACAAATATTCACATCGGTTTTCATCAGTCGAATAAGAACAAACAAATGATTACTTCATTGCCGTTAATTTTCCTCATGTGTGTCTTACTGGAACCTTAACATTGACACACACACACACACACATTCAACCAGTTCACGTAATCCGATTGCAACGATCAAGTGAGCATTCTCCTCGTTGTCCTATTAAAACCAATTCAGCCAGACAAGCACTGTCATCAACTCAATAAACAGACATTGACTTGTCTGTACAGAGAGTAGAGAACATGTCAATGAAAATTCTTTCTTTTTCGAGACTAAATGAGACACACCGTTTCCTTTTAGTTAAAGATCGATGCATATTGTCTCCCCGATTCGATCGATCGATCGGTTATATATTCCCAAAAGATCTGATTTCGATGCGTAATTCATGAAAATCTCTAAGCGTGATATTTCATGCTAACACGTATATCTGATTTGTATTTGATCCGTTTGTTTGATTACGAATTTGGTCTCATAATGAGCCGTATCATCGATAAAGACTACCCATGTAAATATAGATCTGTCTGTCCGATGGGAAAGAAAGGGAGAGAGAGAGAGAGAGAGAGAAGAACAAGATCCAAATGCGATATTCGCCGGAAAATCAATTATGAATTCCAACAGAATCCACATAGTGTTAACGAAAAACTAGAGAATAGTTATCATGTCGTTTCTTTCCTCTTCTGTTGTTGTCATTGTTGATGTGATCAATTTGAACAGAAGCCGAGATGAGATACTTGATGAAAGGGATTCACAACAACAAAATACTGAACTTCAGTTCGCGACAAAAACGACTTGAATAAGACGAGAAGAATGGTCAAGAGGAGATGACAAAATATCTTCTCTGATTAAACGGAAAGACTCATGACTAAGATTTGTAATGATTAACACTGCATCACTACTCGACAAATAGAAACCTTTGAATTTTTCTTAATTGTTTTTTTAGTTATTGTTTGTTCATGAGTAGAAAATTAGATCTTTAATCAAAATTTGTTCTTAATCTTCTTTCCATGTCTGTCAATATATTTCTGTATAGACGTTTTTTTTCTCGTCGTTGCGCTCGTTTGACTTTGTATTGACAAATTGATTACGATCGTTACTGAGGCTTCGCCTCTCCCTCTCTTTCTTGTTCTCATTTGCTATTAGTAGCTTTTGTCAGTTGTTCCATTTACTCTCGCCTTAAACCACACATTTGGGCGAAAATTAAGTTTTCAGTGTTATCCTTCCTTTAATTCTATTACTTAGTTGCCTGAGTTTATGAGGCGCAAAACTAATTCTAACTGACATATACATTACTCGTTGTCAATGAAGATTCTCGATCACCATGTTCCTTTTTATATTCTCAACACAATTTATTAGTCCAGATCGAGATTTTTCTTTCTCTTTCTCTCTCTCTCTCCCTTCGTATTTCATCAAACACTCGCTGAGATTTTCAGAGACATGAGAGTGTCTTTTTCTATTTTGCACATATTCTTAAGTACATCAGGTGAAGAGAAATCACTTAGACTCTTCTTTTCCATTAATATGACCCAAAGTAAACATACTAAATGTATCATTATGTATGAACATAAAAATTCATATATATTTAAACAAGTAAATCTCAAAGACTTTTGACTAATAGGGGATTTTCTTTCTTTTTTTCTCTCTCTTCTCTTCTTTTTACTAATTCAATCTAAACTATGACGTATACAAGCTTTTGACAGATCACTAGAGAGTTAAGAAGACATGGAACATCACAATTAATTTTCCACCGTTTTGCACTTCTTCTTCTTTCACCTGTAACATTCTGATGGCATATGCTGATGCAACCGTTCGCATCGTCCGTGCTTCTCTTTAAACACTATTACAATTACTTTTCTAGTAGACCTGAGAATGGAAAAAAACACGGCAAAACAACAAGCTGTTGTGAATAAAGAGAAAAAGCACACAACTCTTAGTTACACAGACAGTGTGACGGTGCGCGAACAAATTAGTTAAGAGAGAGAGAGAGAGAAAGAAAAGACAGTAACAGAAAAAAATGTAATTTCTCTATACAATATTCCAGATGAGATAGATTTCTTCTTCTCTTTTTCTACTATGGAAAGTCAATGAGTAACGATTATTTTCAAATCACAAATATTAATACTGAGACAATATAAAGAAAAATTAATGAGCTAACAATTTGTTTGTATATCGACCCAGGCTCTCCATTAACTTGCAGTTTTATTTGAATTCCGGGACAGAACCTTCGAAGTTATATGATCGACTAGTTGGCGTACACATTAACGCTCATTAATAGTTTGCCTGAGTACAAAGATTAATGTCGAAGGGTGAGATTTCCTTTGCACTCTCCCGTACGTTTATTTTCCTCTCCGACCAAATCCATTATTTAAACTTTTATTCTCCTCTTTTCCTGCTCTATCTTCGATTGCAAATGCATGCCTTTCAAATCAGAAATATGAAAATAAACATGAAAATTCTTCTCGTTTTGCTTTAGTATTTATTTGTTTTCTTTTGACGTCGATGCATGTTATTCAAACCTACAGCAAAAATTTTTAGTAGCGTGAGGAAAAGAAATTATAATTAATACATTCATTAGCTCGAAAATTTTCATAGGAGACAAATAGAAAAGAAACCTGGCATATCACCGGAAGTGATATGGAAATCTGGAAAGAGAGAAGAAAATCCTTTTCAGAGAAAATATTGCATTTTTAAGACAACTTCATCTGCTTCATCTGTCTGATGTTCTTTCAGATTAAAAAACACCGAATGACTTTCGCTGTTTTTCTTGTATTTTATTCTAATACGATTATATCTTCTAGATGGTAATGAACTTTTGCCATCGTCACCGTTGGACGAATGATAACAAGGTGACATAGAATGGCTTTTGTTTTGCATTTGTTGTTATTGAAGTTTTCATGTCGTCCTTTGCCGATTTAACTGGTCATTTGAATAATGATCAAAGCTCTGCCATCGCGCATGGGCTACTAAACACTGCAAATCAATCAGGTTTTACTCGACCGATCTCCTCCTTGTCTTACAATACAAACTGGAGTATATCTCACATACCTGGTCCGCCACTATTTCAAACATCATCGTTTGCTTCTTCTTTGTTTTTATCATTGGCAACATCATCATCATCATCGTCGTCGTCGTCATCATCATCATCGATATTAACAACAGCAACAATTGACACAGGTGAATCAAAATATTATCCATTTTGGTTGTTAGTTGTTATTGCTGTCTTCGGCAGTGTAACATCGGTGTTAACCGTTCTGGGAAACATTCTCGTCATTTTGGCGTTTTTTCTCGATCGACAAATTCGTCAACCGACGAATTACTTTATACTTTCGTTATCAGTCAGTGACTTTCTTATTGGACTTCTCTCCATGCCACTACTGACAATCTACATCTATTCGAAAGAGTGGCCGTTGAATGCTATTATTTGTGACATATGGTTATCGTTGGACTACACTGTTTGTCTCACATCGATTTATACGGTGCTGTTCATTACGATCGATCGGTTTTGTTCGGTTAAAATGCCAGCGAAATATCGTAAATGGCGAACAGGAAGAAAGATCAATATTATGATTACGATCACATGGGCTGGTAATAAGACACGAAAGATATTCGAAATGTTGATATTCACCTCTGTTATTCTAGTTCCGTGTTTGATCTTTTTCACGGCCACGATGGTTTATCCGCGTTTGAAAGGAATTTCAAATCTACAAAATGGTGTTTGTATGTTCTTCACCAGAGATTTTGTTTGTTTATAATTATCATGAATTTGTTTGTTGAGGCGATGTTCAATGGAACAAAAACCAGGTGTTTAATTTATGTCTTACCATTGCATATTTTTGGACAACATTATTTGTCATGATAGTCTTATATATATTTATATACGGTTTGTCTACGAAATACTACTTGAATCTTTCATAGAAAAATACATTCTTCTCTAGGCGTTGCGAGTAATCTGGAACGTAAGTCGCGAGAAAATGCTCGTAAAATGTCGTCACTCGTTGGTATGCTCGAGTCTTTTTCAAGGCGATTGCTTATAGTCTGTCTGTTGTTTTCCTCTAGGCAATGCAATGACACATATTGGTGCTGGTATTGGTGTATCAAAATCTCCAGCGAAGACATCTGTCGATAAGCAAAATCATTTAACTCGTAAGAAGATCGATTCCACCGTATGTGACGATTGTGAAGATGAAGATCCGCAAAATTTACTCGCACATAATATGATGAACACACAAAATAGTAGCAATTCGTCCGATCAACGACGTGCCGGTGGTGGTGATGATGACAATTCAAATTCGTTTGAATCGCACTCAGATTTTGATTTCAATAGACCAACGGAAAAGCAAATACAATCAAAAGCCAATACACGCGAAAAACCTTCGCGACAAAACAATCGACGAGGTATGAGTGCTAATTGGGGAAGTGGTTCATCAAATCCAATCAATGCTTCGTCAACAGTTACGAACAACAATCGAACTTCTCGTTCCAATCGCGGACAGACAAATCAAAAGCATGGCTCAAATGTGAAATTTTTTGCTACATCGATGGCTCAATCGCTCTATAAAGCTCCTATTCGCTTAAGTGCATTTTCATCCGCATCAAAACCCAAAGGAAGCAATTCAATACCGAATAAATCAACTCCACATTTCATTTCTAATCAACAACAAACATCCAATCGTTTGGCGTCAATTCCATCTGAACCAGAACTCGCAACAAACCGAGTTCATCCTCCACCACAACCACGACCGGAATCATTAGCAATTATGTCCGATGAACTATTTCACGAAAAACTCAAAGCTCGTCAATCACCATTATTCTTGACTAGTCAAACAACTGATCCACCATCGTCATCGTCGTTGTCTCCTCCTCAGCTTATAACTATCGAACTTCCTTCAACATCATCATTTCTTGCCGATAATCGTTCAAATGATAATCTAACTCAATGCTTACCAACTGATCAGACTTTACCCTTAGTAGAAGACGAAGAGCAACAAGAAAATCTCATTGATATCTCAGTGAAAGATTCACCACAAGACAAACTTGCTTCGCCCATTCATTCGATAAAAACGGACAAGACTGGACCTTGGCGTTCGCCTTCCAACAACACACATCGTGAGGAACATATTCCTTACATCGACGAAACCGATTTCGAAGATCTAGGTAAGTCTTTTTTTTTTCTCAACAAAAAAAAACTAATTTACAATCCATTTTTTAATATTTCTTTTCATTACTTTTGTTTTATATTAAACTTTGGTAAGCCATAAGACAATCTCCTAATCCTTCCTTTCTTTCTTTCTTTCTCTCGTGTGTTATTCTTTCTACAAGAAAGAATTAATTAAATTTCATTCCTATATTAGGTTATATACTACACCGTCGTCGTGTACCAGCCGCTGATTCGAATGAGCCTATTCATGAAGAAACTATTGTTTACAAATCACCATTTTACATCAAACACAAACATCGCGCGAAAGCATCCATCGTTTCGCTTAATAACACAACGAACGATAACGGAATCGATCGGAAGATCTACGAAATCTACGGCAATCATGAAGATGCTCATAAAGTTCTCCTAGAGTCACCTATGTACGACAGTGTAGAATTAATTACATATCCCTGTCAAACTTCAGATTCCTCACCTATCCGACATTGTAGTTTACGTAATGTTCCATGTGAAGCTTTACTGAAAACAATCTCAAAACCCGTTTCACCGCCAACATATTCTTCACCATTCAATGATTGTCATACGACTTCATCGATCATATTCGTATCGAAAGCAAGAACAACCGTATCACCCTCGAGTTCATCGTTGACGCATCAATCGGTACGAAATTCATCGTCAATTCAAAATGCTGATGTCGAACGAGCGTTGATCGATTTCTATCAATGTAGTCAAATCAATGACGTTAATAATTGTCTCCTTAAAGATACTGATAGTAATGCTAGTGACGATTTAGAAATTTCACTTTCAAATTATAATGAAATCTGTGACGAAGCTTCTTCATTACTTCGTTTGAACGAACAACAATCATCAGCGTTCATTGATGATGAATCAAGTATTGATGATTTCTCCATGCGAACGAAATCATCGCATCCAAGTCGATATTCTAATTCTCAAGTCAATCAAAATAATCAGTTCATGAAAATGATGGTATTGAATAAAACCCGACAGAATTTGAATATGGATACGACGAGTGATGAACGAACAACAACGAATAGTTTTAGTCTAAATACTTACAGTCAAGATTTCTCCGTCGATAAAATCTTTCAATATGATTCGTCCACATCATCCTACCGACAACCAAGATCACAAACCAGTTGGTGTAGTTCATCATCAGCAACAACATCGTCGTCTTGTCAAAATCCTCAAATACCACTATTGTTATTGGGTTCATCTTCACCTCAGCATTTACTTGCCGCGACCGAAAAGAAACGAAATACTTCCTCGGACTCCGATGGAATCACAACAACAACATCGCTAACAAATAGTACACAGTTTGGAAGGTAAGAAGAACCCGAAATATTCGATAGACAAAAAGAAAAAGCAATCTCTCATTTAGCAGACGTGATAGTGATAATAATAAAGATAAATCACGTGATTCAATAACACAAGATGTTTTACGTGCGTTCAATAAAACGAATGCTACGACAATCACTGACGAATTAGAAATCGAATCCACTGAACATCATGTCATTTGTCCATTAAGAACTAAGCCAAGTGAACGAGGAATCAAATGTCATTCATTAACCGATACAATCACACGTGATAACGATACATCGGGTTATGGTTCACATGATGATCCTCCCTCGTCGAACAATCGCGCATCATCAAAAGTAACGTTCGAAAGTATTGTCATCGAAACATCTGCACCACCATCACCGAAAACTAAAGACCAGTGCGTCATGGCACAAATTGACGTGCAAATTCGTCAGAATAATACTAATAATAACACAAACACTCAAGAACAAATACAAGATGTCAACGAGAATAAGAATGGACTGATTATACCAATACCGAGTGATGTGACATCAACAAATGTTTCAATAACATCAAAATCAAGTGTACGAGAATTAGTTCGTAGTCAAAAAAACGCAAGTCATAGGAAATCAAAATCACAAAATCGAGCTCGCAAGGCTTTGAGAACCATTACATTTATTCTTGGTAAATCACAACATTTGCTTCTTTTGTCAAATAAGTTTTTCTGGTTTCTATTCAGGTGCATTCGTCGTTTGTTGGACACCATGGTAAAGACATTCTACCCTCATTTCCATCTTTTTTTATTCTAATTCTTTTCCAGGCATATCTACTCCGCAATTCATTCATTATGCGATTCTTGTAAAAATAGCTGGGTGTTTGGTAATCCAATGTTTCATTGTTTTTATTTTCTTTGCTATTTAAATTCTCCAATTAATCCATTTTGCTATGCACTAGCTAATCAACAGTTTAAGAAGACTTTCACAAGAATATTAAAACTGGATCTACGTCGTCTCTAACAACAATAATCGAACATATTGTTACACTTTTCTTTTCTGATTATTTTTAGCTATAATAATCCTTCGCCTCCTCCTGCTCTTCTTTTCTTACATGTTGAAACTTTTCTCGTTTTGTCCATGTTTGTGTGAACCTCTTTCTTTGCACAACGTCGTATCTGTCGACTCACCGAATGCAAGAGTATCTTTCTTGATCCGAACATTTTCACGACAAATTGAATAAGTAGTTGTTCTTTGAATGTTTGTTGTTTTTTTTCTTTCATTGGAAGAGTGGGAATCTATTTGACAAGGATGAGTCTTTCTTTCATATTCTCAAAATAATTAATCATGACTTGAAAAGAATGATTTGCATGTTTAATCATAGGAAAAACCTCGTCAATGAATAGATTTCTCAATTATGACAACAGTTTTTATGAATGAAAAACTTGTATTGAATATGTCAACAAACGAGTCTTGTTCTTTATGAGTTTCGGAAAATCTCATAATGGAAATTTATCTGACAAGTGAGCTGAAAGCTGTTTGATTGATGTGCTCAAAACGACATCGACAAGCATTTCAAAGTTTTCATCAAAAATAAATGTAGCCATGGTAGTGTGAAGCACATTTTGTGTTCAAATTGGAAAAAATACTTTCAAGAGATAAATGAGTTTTCTACTAATAAAATGATGAAAACGAGGAAATCATGTGGAATAGATGACCCACGATGTTGTTTTTAACTTATCATCTATTTTGAGATGTTTACGAACGATGTCAATTGCTGTGCTTCGAAACTGTCTGGTAATCACTCGAGATGTAAAGAAATCAAATCTGATTTTAGTATAGATAACTACATTCTTTCATCAGATTGTTCTTTCATTTGTCATCGAGTGATGGCAATCTAATTCGACTGATGTTTATTTCCGGAGAGTAGACATCTGACAAAAAAAAACAACTGTTTTATGTCAGATAATTATCTATATGGATGAAAACAAAGATTCGATCCAGTTGGTGTAAATATTTTCTCTTCATCATCATGTCATTTGCGTTGACCGAAGTCTAAGTCATCCAGGAACATAGTTAATTAAAGATATCATAAAACACTGCGAGATAATGCCTAGTAGGTCGAGATGTTGTTGAGCAGAAGGAAAATTTCCGGTTGTTTATCACTATTGAGAGTAATCTGATGTGAAGTGAATCGAAATGCGTAGAATTTCTTCAAAGATCGTAATTAAAATCGAATTGTATTCTACACATGAAAATTTTATTTAAAAAAGTTGAAGTGCGAGTATGTGAATAAAAAAACCGAGAAGAACTTTGATGAACAATGATGAATTACTGAGAATTTGAGCGGTATTCATTATAAAACGATTTGAAAAACCTCGAGGATTTGAAGGATAGGAATTTCCATTTTGTAAATTACTCGACGGCAGTCGCATGTCGTTGAGATTCGCTAAAGAAATATGAAAGATCGATTTTAAACGAACAAATTTGTTTTATCTCACGATAATAATCGGAACTATGGTCTGGATAAGTGTCGTATTGACCAGGATTGTAGGAACCACCGCTTATTACATTTACAGGCGTTGGATATTGATAAGATTGCTGATTAGACATTAGAATCTGTTGAAGACGATTACTTTGAAAATATTGGCGACGATGGCGAATTTTATTGTCAACAACTACGTTTAAAACAACACTTAGAACCATGATTTTTATTGACATTTTATAACAAACCTTGAAAAGTTGAATAGAAGACGACAACAAGTAAGATTTGGTTAAGACGTATCGATGAACTCATGACCGATGATACACAAGTGAGACAATGAAGGAGTTTGATTTTTTTTCGTCTTTCTTCATGACACTGAACGATAAACTTGTATTCACATTGTCGGTTGACCTACTATTCTTTTGCATTTAGTTCATAAATGGATTATTACTTTGTCTTGTTCGATTAAACAAACAGAAAGCAACATAACACGATATGAAACTCAATTAAATAGAAGCGTTTCTTGCCTCTAAACCAAGTGACAGCCAGTATATCAAATTTACTCGCATAGATACGAGATGGTACCAATAATTATAATGCTTTTTTTTACGAGTATAGATTTTCTGTATTGTATATATTTGAATTAAAATAAGAATCCATATCATTCGCTCCGAGTCTCATTCTCTCATTCTATGTACAAAACTTTTCATTCTGTATACACTGTCTACCGGGTGAAATCGAATAGAAAGATACATTAAAAACCGTTGAACAATGACTAAAATAGAGAAGATTTTGTACATCAAACAATTCGCGTGCCATAGACAGAAAAGCGAGATGATCTCATCCTGAGTACATCTTGGAACACAAGCACCACTCCTTGATACATGAACAAGACAACGAAGTATACATTCATCTCTAGCGATTGTTCATTTTCTGTGCAAGAAAGTTCGAATTAAAAACGTTGCCGTACTGTTGTAGCCGTACACGAAAATGTGGTTGTTGTTGTTGATGCGTTCTTCTTGAATTGTACGTAATCGTTATAATGTAAGATCAATTTTTCACTTTGATATCGTGTCACCTGAACACTTTTTCTCATTTCTGATGTGATCGAAGCTTTAAAACCGCCTTTACGTAATAACGAATCCAGCGTTTGAATGTGATTCCAGCGTTGCTCATGTGCAACTTCAGGTAAATAGGTTGCTGAACGTTTGGCACCACGTTCATTGAAAAATTCTATCCGTATTCCATGAAGACCAATTTCCCAATCGTAATACGATGAGCACGGTTCAAAGTGTGTCAAGATCGACACGGCACATGACAATAGCGGATACTCGTCACGCGATATCGGTGAAAAACGGCTATCGTTCGTCGCTGATGTTAATGCATACTCTTTCAGACCTATAAACCAAGCATAAACACTCAAAACATACATGAAAATCAATGTACCTTGGGCAAGATTCATTGGAGTGAATGTACCAATACATCCACGTAATTTCTTTTCGGATCCAATCAACCAGGTAACAAACAATGGATATGGATCAGCAGGTAATGTAAGTGGAAGGATTCGTGATGGGATTAACTGTTCATTTGTTGATGAATAGTTTTTACCCAAATGATGTTTCCCATTGAATAGATAATTGCCTAAGATTTCGAAACAATAGAAGACCATATCTGCATGAACGATTGAATGTTGCGATCGAAGTGAGTGATCAAATGTTGATTTCGCTTTTTCTTGTTGTTTTCGATCATTATAATCATCTTCATCATCGTCGTTCACGTCCATTTTCTCGCAATGATTGGCATTTTTATGAAAGAAACGGTTAGTATTGTTTGTGTAGGAATTTGACGCATTTTCCAATAAGTAGTTAAGAGCAGATGAAGATGCTGAATTTGTCGATGTACGTGAGAGATCGTGAGGCATGGGTAAGTGATTTGTTTGTTTAAAATACGAATGTGAGCGATGACGAGTTGAAGTTGCTTTTAGATTTTGATGGTGATCGCTGTTTCCATGATGTTTCTCAGAAGAACGACGGTTTTCAATAGAATTTATTATTGAATGAGATACTTTTTGCTTTTTGCCCCCACAACATATTGCCATGAAAAAACCAAAAAATGAATCACCGGATAAACAGGTACATATACAACAATCTATTTATAAGTCGAACTTTTTCACCATTTTAGTTTAAAAAAAAACAACTCTTACTCACGGCAAATGCTTTCAATTATCAAGTATATGTATTTATTAGGAACGACAAACGAACTTCGTTTGAACACACGAATTGTATTGAATTTGGTTTATGTCGACGACTCGCTTAAACAATGCGATCACCAATTATAGCATTGTTTTATTACATTCTGTTTTCATCAGCATTCTCGTCTTCGGAGGGTTTTTTTCCCTTTCGGTATCCTTTATGGTTGATCTACAAATAGGAAAAAGTGTTTTGATGTTGTTGTCATAGTAAATTAATTAAATCTTAGACATAATCAACAATTCGCATAAAACTTCTGCGGAGAATCTATCCGCATTACCAGATACAAGACAATTTTCGTTGTTGTCAATTCAGAAATTCCCAACGCGTAGCAACAAGTCGGTGAGAACTAATATGGTTAATGTAAGATAAAACACACTGTTGAAAACAACCAGATGATCGAATGGATCAACGTTGATATAACATGGACGGAGCGACTTACGTCGAACGAGGGCGCTAGTTGTTAGAGTATTCTTTTTCGTCGACGAAAAAATGTTGCGGTTTGTCGTCACTTTCGAGGAGTCCATACAATGGGTTTCTTTTTTTTAAATAATAACAACATTCAATTTACTATTCAATATTTGAATTGCTGTCGATAGGCAAGATTTATCGATGGCCATAAAATTCTTTTCTATAGCTGGAAAGAAAAGCTTGCACTGTGTTTGATTGATTTCTTTCTATTTTAAGATTTTTCTCTTTTTTTAACAGAAAAATTTACATAACAAGACGCATATTTACTAATGAAACTAATCAGAAATTCTTTCTTTTTCTTTCTTGGCAAGATTAACTCAACTTTCTTTCGAGTCGAGCCTTTTTTTCATGCGTATAAATATCAGGTTCTTTTCTTTCCGGTTATTAAACGTCTTTGTCAAGACCAAAGAAACATACAATAGAATAATTCTCATTAGAACGGCAACACGAAGAATGCACATGAGAGGAACAACATTCACTTCATATAAAGACTCGTTCCTGTACTTAGTCTATCTGTGTAGCGTATTCTCGACCGTGAAAGACTTAATAGAGTTGCGACTAGTCGTATCGTTACGCATTGATTTTCTACAAGGTATTTTTTTTCTAATCAGTGCTCGTTTACTTTCAATGACGGTCGATTTTCCGAACAGTAGAGCCGCAGGAAGAGAGAAAAAGAATTTTTGACGCGGGGAGTAGAAGAAAAATCATAACTGATTTCTTAACTTTGAACGAAGCAAGTGGGAAAGTTTCTCCAATCGAAAATGCGAAGTTTTTCTCGAATAATTACTCGACGTTTAGTTTTTGCCTATGGTACTTTAGCATCAAGTACTATCATTGGATCTTACATCAATGCTAACGAACAGAAGCATCAATCCATATTGAAATCTATCGTTCGTTCATTTTCTGATGCATTGATGGGCAATCAAGGTTTTACTTTTCGAACTTTTTGTTATGTTTCAAAAATTTCGTTTTGATTTTAAGAGTCATCTATGGTTTCATCACCGTTTGGCTATGATCCATTCGTTTCGTTGAGCAAGAACAATTTCTCCGATGAAGAATTTGAACGTTGTTTTCGATATTTCGATTCGCTCAAGTATGTGTGCTTTTTTTCACAGGAGAAGAGATGTTTGTACTGAATGCTTGTTTGTTTTTGTAGGCAAGGCACGTGGACTCGCGAAGATTTCCATCGGTTTCTCAACGCACTCTTTTCTAATAAACAACGGCCCTATTGTATATTGAGTGATTTAGTTGAACAATACTTTCGCGAAACGGATTTTAATCAGGATGAAAAAATCGATTTCGATGAATTTCTTCAAGCATGGAAAAAACCAGTCAAATGTGTAAATGACGTTATTCCGATGTTTTATTTTATTCTATATGCAGTTGTTTCTAGGCTGTTAAACCTATCAGTGCATTAGTTATTGTGGACGTACAAAATGATTTTATTTCGGGAACGTTGGCTCTTCATTCGTGTCCTGCGAATCAACAAGGTAGAAAAGCAAGCTTGCCTTCAGTTAGCCAGTAATACGAAGGTTATTTTCAGGTGAAGAAGTCGTTCCTATCATAAATCGCGTTCTTCATGATGTCAAGTTTGATGTCGTTGCATACACCTATGATTGGCATCCAGCAAACCATATATCTTTCTATGAGAATCGTTTTCTCAGAGCCACAGCACCGGAAAGTCCTGTAAGTTGATCGTTTATTTCTTTGAAGGATTTGTAATACCTGCAGTTCATTTGCTTGTAGGTTACAGCCGAGAAAGCACGTGTTCTCGATATGATTATATTTATTGGATCAAATGATCTAGCGAAACGTATTGAGCAAATCCTTTGGCCAGCACACTGCGTACAACAAAGTCAAGGCGCTGAACTACATCGTGATTTGGTTCGTCATGAAAACGCCATACATGTCTACAAAGGAACTAATCCAGAAATCGATTCGTACTCGGCATTTTGGGATAATATGAAACTCAGTAAAACAACTTTAGATGATCAATTGAGAGAACGTTTCGTAACCGACGTGTACGTCGTTGGTTTGGCTACAGATGTTTGCGTTGGTAGGTAATTGAGTATATAAGATTAGAAACTTATTGCGATTTTTCTAGCATCGACAGCAATGCATGCAATAGAGAATAATTACCGAACTGCGTTAGTCGAAGATGCGTGTCGTGGTGTTAATGAGAAAGAAATTGAATGCAAACGAACGGTATTGACTAAAAACGGATGTATTTTTGTTGAATCAAATGTTGTAAGTAGTCAACCTGATTTTCAAACTTGAATCTTTTGATTTTTTGAATATTTGAATAGTTACCCGGAATGGTCTCCGGTGAAGATCGACGACCTGAAATGGCCCGTCGAATGTTTGTTGAAAATCTCAAATCAATCGGTCGTTATAAAACCTCTCTAACTTCTTGAAACAACCTGCAGATTTGGCCGTGCCTTAGTTTCATCTAGATAGTGTTTGTTTCCTTCCTCGATTGTCTACACTCTCAAGATAGATGACTCTCATCGATTCCGAATTCCATTAGACATTTCAATTAATTCGACATACGCAAAACTACACATGTACCATTTCCTCTCATCTTAACATAACATCGATATCTCTCTATACACACAATCCACATACATGTATTCTGTAGATCTGATGAAAGTAATAAGAAACTTTCAGAGAACTGTAATGGTATTCGATTTATTTTTCGCTACTGTGCACATACACATCTTTCTGTATAAGTTTGATTGTTTTGTTTTTTTTCTTGCGAGAATAAATTGACTAAAAGAAACGAAAATACGTTCGACGCAATGGATATCTAATCACAGTTATAATGTTTCGAGGCGAATGGCAAATAAATAAGTATAAGAAAACAAATCTAATGAAAAGCGAAGTAGCAATACGTTCGTATTTTGCAATTTCGATACAAGAAGAGAAAAAAAAAGAGGAGTATATGTTGAAATGTAATCAACAGTTGCTCCAGACGTATACGCCCTGCAGCACATGAAAACTATCTAAGGCTTCGTTTCAAGGATGGTATCTCGGATTTCGAAAATGAAATATTATTTATAGAAAACGCGCGAGACGAAAGTCACGATAACAATAGAGAAACTTCTATGATCTTTGATATTTATTTGTAAATTGAAAGCTGAAACTTTATTGCTGCTCTATATTCGATGAAAACACGTTTGTTTCGATGCGGGGCGCGTCTTATTCATTGTTAATCAGGATGAGGTGTGTCGATATGAATCACAGAACGTTAAAATAGTAAGAATAACACATTGATCTCGAGTTATTTTTATCCGAGAAAAGATGCTTTCCGTAAGTTTATTTATCATAAAAATTGTATATAATTTCGAGTTTTTTTACGATCCTATAGTAAATAAAAACATGTTTGACGTCACGAAGATGTTGACCCCTTTTTTTCATCATCAGTCATGTACTATTTCTTGCCATGCTCATTACTGTAATCGAATAGATCTTCGTTTTCTCCCACATAGCTGGCGAGACAACGGCGTAGTAGTTTTTTTTTCCATCTATATTTGCGTTATGTCGTCATTTTGGATAGATAAACAGTTGTTAGCAATCGTTAGGTTCTAGACAATAAATAGAAAAAAAAAAGAAACAACACTATTTGTCTTCACCCTCCCTCTCTTCTTCGCTTCTCGTTTCGGCTTCAATCGGTAACTTCACCAACATTTTCTCATATACAAATAGCATTTCTTTTAATATAGATTCCTTTCGTTCTCTTCTTTTTTTTTACTCGTATTTCTTCTTCTTCAACTCAATTTTTATTCATTCATCTACAAACTTTTGCTTTCTTTCATCAGGACTTCGACACAGCAGAAAATCAACTAAGTTAACTTTCAATCCTGTATTACATTATCAAATATTGAAACTATGCCTGGAACTCGAGCAATAGAACGGAACAATGTCCCCTTACCAGTTACTGCGCAGAAAACCTATACATTTACAGCCCGAATTCCTTCGCAATGCAACAGTATGAATCGAAACAATCTTATCGGTGATAAAGTCTCTCGAAAATCGAATGTCTCATCGAAAAATCTGTCAACGACAACATTAACACAAAATCCCACAATGTTATCATCTCGACGTTCACATCCAAATGAAGTTTCAACACCAAGAGGACGATCGAACACCGATGTACAATCCGTAACATCATCAGCCAACGGACTGAAACAGCAGCAGCAACAGTTAAACGGATCAGGTAGTGATAAATCTGTGAATCACAATCAACAACAACGACAATCCCCTCCACCACCACCAAAAACTGAATGCACATTGCCGTCATCGGGCTGTCAAGCAGAGTGTGTCACACCTTCGAAATTGTTCAATATGATGGGCTATGGGTTACAGAATCAGTACTTATTCATGCATGTTCATTATTTATATCTTATCGATTGTCGATCGAGGGAAGATTTTAATCAGAGTCATATCATCACAGGTAATTATAACTTGTTCTTACCAACGGAAAACAAATGTCATTCTTGCACTTAAAATTAGAACATTGACAGTCTTTTTCTTTCTTTTCTTCTAAGTGTTTTATTTGTAGATACTTAATTGAAATCACGAGAAAAGCCTGGAGGTAGAAAGTCAATTAATCAACTACTCATTCTCAGTTTCGAGCATATGAAAAAAGTTTGATATGGACATTTTTTTTTGTTAAGAAAGGTCAAAATAGAAACCAAAATAGAAACATCACGTCACTGCACGCGCGGATTTCGTACTTCAAACGAACTTCTCATTGTTTTGTTTTCTAGCTATTCATTGGGAAGACGCATTGAGTGGCAATGTTTACATATCCCTCGTCGAACGATTCAGCGAAATTGTCCTATATGATGCGAAAGGTGTATCACCGAATACATCAAGTGAAATGCGTCGAATTGTCAGTCGGTTTTCTACATCAAATTCACGAACGTATCCGACGTTAGCCGGCGGTTTCGAAGCGTTTCGTTTATCATTTCCATTTGTTTGTACACAGTCAGATGTACGCTCCGCAGTCGATCGAGAGAAATTTCTTACAATTTATCCGTCTGTTGTTCTTGACAATCAACTTTATCTTGGTAAGGTCACACTGAAAATTTTCTTGAAGGGAAATCATTCCTTCTGTTTTCAGGCACGGGTAACCAAGCGGCAAATTGGAAGATTGTTCGTGATCTTAAAATCACTCACATTATCAACATTTCTATCGAACACCAATGTGTATTCAATGACAAAATCAAATATCTTCACTTGGAATTAGAAGATAGCGAAGATGTGTATCTAAAAGATTGTTTTCGCGAAGCAGTTCAATTTATCGAATCAGCGCTCGAAAATCCATCGAACCGCGTTCTTGTTCATTGCCATCTGGGCATTTCAAGGTCAACAACATTAGTCCTCGCGTATTTGATGAAAACATATCATGCAACTGTGCATGAAGCTTTTCGATTCCTGCGTCATCGAAGACCTATTGTTTGTCCAAATACTGGTTTCCTTCGACAATTGATTGAATTTGAAAACGAGCTCTATGCTCATGTTTATACTGATGTCAATGATCCGATTTTTTATTAAAAAGAATACTTTCTATAATGAAAGAAAAAACTCACTTTGTTTTATTCTATGTATTTATTTACATATTGCAAATAAATATGTTGATAGTTGACACGATAATCACCTGATGAATATGATTCTGAACTCGATTTATTTTTATTCTCATTAAGAGATTCTTCGAAGAATGTCTTTCTCAATTATCACAATTGCCATAAATGAGAATAGATGGCCTTTTGAATAATAGGTACATTAAACGTGAGTAAATTGTAAAAGAAATATGAAGTTTGTACTTTGATCGAAAAATATTGTTTCGTATTACAAATGATCTTTTACTGCAGCAGCTGTACTAATTGACATCGCTTGACCGTGATTAGACCTGACAGTTGCAGAAGAATTTTTCTATATTTGAATTTCAAGTGTCTACGAGTTGGCAATTTCCATTTTAGGTGACTTCAATGTTTAAATATTCAGATTTTGACATGCCTGTCAGTCGAAAGTATATCGACCTTGATAAATATCCGTTTTTATATCCTTATGCGAGTTTTGAATATTTCATAATCGACAAATCTGTGACCGAAAAAGTTTTCATTTAACAAAAGATACGATTTGCTCTATAAATGAGCTTCCTGTTGAGTTGGAAAGAAAGAATCTTTTGTGAACATGAGTTTAAAACAGTTTATTTAACACGGATGTATGTTGACTCTATATGATCGTCGAATGGCAAACAAATTGTTCGCTGCTATAGACATTTAAATTGATCGTTCATTGTCTATTTATATCAAACATCAATAACTTGAAATCATGACGAAGGAAAACTCTGAATAATAAAGATTCTTCGGTTCTATAGAGTACAATGAGCTGTCAATATTTGGAATAATCACAAACGTTCCGTAATCTAAGGTGCATAAAATAAAGCGCGACGAATAAATATCGATTTATTTATTTTAACGAAAACAAGAAACGAAAAAAATATCCTTCCGAGTGATGAATAAATTGACTCCTGAAGCTCGTCTTTCGACTGATGGTCCATGGAATCAATCGTGTTCGTTCATCTATCAATTACCCGACGTTCTGCTAAAACGAAAACGAAATGAGAAAATGCCGTACGCGGAAACCTATCACGGAATCATACTCTTCGCCGATGTATCAGGCTTCACAGAAATGTGTGAAAAATATAGTAATGATATTCAGCATGGTGTAAATCAATTAGCTAATGCGTTAAATAACTACATGGCATCGATTGTAGAAGCGATTTTACAAGAAAATGGTGATGTTTATAAATTTGCTGGCGATGCAGTGTTAGGCTTATGGCCATTTGAAAATAATTCGGTTGAATATCAACGTGATCAAGCTAAACGAGTGATATCCTGTGCATTGTATATGAAAAAATCCTTTTGTAATTATACGACACCGATAGGAACTATTTTAAACATAAAAACTGCGATCGCAATGGGTTCTTATTCGATTATATTTCTTCGTGTTGGTCTCCTTCATTCTTTTTCTCTTGTTTTTGAGACTTGTCTTTAGGGATCGACCGCAGCATGTTCTAAATTACTCGATGAATTTGGACTTAGAACACATTCTTCTATGCGAAAAGTTAATTTCAATCCGGATTCGAGTAAAACTTCCTCGACTAGAAATGGCATAACTGAAGAAATGCTCGAACGTTGTCGAGTTGATCTTGTTAACTATTACGTTTGCTATGGTAGTGCTGTTGTTAGTGTTCGAAATGCTGAACGTAAGATCTCGTGTTGACATTCATATACCTCTATTTATCATTTAGATGTGTGTAAATCTCAGGATATCATTGTTGATCTAGCGACATGGTTACTGCTTGATTCTGATTTAGTAAGATTGATCATTAAAGATGAAAATAAAATACAAGATTTTTAAGGAATATATTCATGAAAAATTTACAGCTGAACACGATGATGAGAATACTGAAATTCTGTCTCGATCTTCCAATCATCAAAGTGAAATCATCACGCATGGTCTATCAAACACAGTCGCACCAACCATCAGCAAACATTTAACACCACCGAGTAAAACTCGAGATGTTCTGAAACAAAAGGTGCTCGCACATTGTAAGAACACCGACTTTGTTCCTCTTGTTTTGCGTAGATCTTTCTCTTCTAGATATACGAGTTTACGGCCGGAGGAACGATCTGTCGATTGAGAACGACGTATTATCCAATGATCGTTCTTTGATGTCAGCGGATTCGATTGAACCCAGCAGTGATGGCAATGAAATCTTTCGAAAACGTACAACATTGAGTCACTACAGTCCAGTGAAGAATTTTATAAATCGATGGAATCGAATAAAAACACCGATGTTAGATTCTGGTAATAACGATATGAAAGATTTGTTAACAGTGGTGAATAAAAAACAAGCACGATTGGTAAGAGTGGATTGTTTGAGATTTCAATCAATCAGCGAGTTAGTTTCTTGTGTCTTAGAGTAGAAAGATTGATTTAACTGATGAACAAGCGATGAAACTTCGTCCAAGTGTATTCTGGAATTTCGAAGATTATGATATATTTGATTTGAGCACATTTATTATAAAACCTGTACGAAATCAAGAATCGCTTGATCAATTATCTGAATTACGTTTGATTAATATTTGTTTCATCAATATTATTTTAACGGATTATCAAATCAAACAATTACCATTGAAATTACAGACAATTGTTGACTGTTGTGCGGAACAGATTTCGATTACGAATGGCTTATTGACGAAAGTTTTTATGTTTGATAAAGGTCTGAGTCTTCTATGTGCTTTTGGTATGCCAGGATACAAACATCCTGATGGTTTGTATCGAGCTTTGCGAAATGATAGTCAAGATCAATCTGATAAACTTTTGTAGATGCGGAACGAGCGTTGAAATTCGGTTTTCTCATCACACAAAGATTAGGTAACTGTTGAAAAGAATTCGAAAAGGAAAATCATTCTCTTTTTTTTGAAGAAAAGTTCAATTTTGTAGCGAGAGTTAGTACTGGAGTAACTACCGGGCAGACATTTTGTGTAAGTAAAACTTGATTTTCGTTGATTTTGATCTTATCACGCTGATTTCAGGGTGTGTTAGGACATCCGCTTCGATGTGAATATACTGTTATTGGTAGAAAAGTGAATATGGTTTGTTTCATGTTTGTTTTGTCCTCGTTTATAAATATTCGATTTAGGCTGCTCGATTAATGGTCAATTATCCTGGAATTGTTTCTTGTGATGATGAAACTTACCATAAAGCTCATCTCGAAGAACGCTATTTCGAACTTTTACCGACAGTTCCGTTAAAAGGATTAACAGTTTCTTCAAGTATGCGTCGATATAAAGGACAAGACGATGGTAATCCTTTTTAATGAATTTCATTTTCAACGAAAAAAGGTTTTCTTCATGTCAGATCAACATAATATGAGTGTATTTGTCTTTCCAATGATAAATCGTGACGATGAATGGAATACGATTTTAGAATATCTCGAACAAGTTGTTCAACATAGTTGTACAACGATCTTTTGTATATTTCTAACGGGTTCCACCGGTGTCGGTCGTTCACGACTTCTCGCTCATGTTAATGAAGAATTGATGTACGATACACAGAACGTTCGTCGAGTTTCTTACAATGCCAGTTTTGAACATGCGCAGTTATTCGGCTATGCATTGAAGCAGTTATTTAAAAAGTTGTTGTATACGGAATTACAAGAATCGGATGCACTTTTGAAAGTATTGAAGTCTCTCCTACCACGTGAGTCAATTGCGTATTCGATGAAGAGATTTGGGAGAAAGATTTGCGTTTAGATCATGAGAAGTATTTGTATCTATTAAGACCGTATTTCGATAAACTTAACGTCGATATCGATAAACTCAATGGAAATTCGAAACGTAAAATACTTGAAGAAATCATTCATGAACTTATCACGAATGCGACGAATCCTACGTATGAAATCTTCAATTATCAACCCCAACCAACAATTTTCATCGTTGATGACGCTCAATACATAGATAAAGAATCTTGGCAATATCTTCACCTTCTCGGTAGCACAATTTGTCATTCTTATCGAATATCGAAATGTGATTGTCATTAGGTTCAGCATCGACTTCACTTCTCATTCTGGCAATGCGAGATCCAACATTAAATGACGATGAATTGCACACACGTATGACTACCCTTCGCGATTTACCAACAACTAAACATATTCATCTTATGGGTATCCAAATTCCTATACTTTTGGTTCATATTTATTCATCCATTCGATAGGTCTGGACAATCGATACTTAACCACACTCGCATGTCAAGCAATGTTTGTTCAACGGATTCCAAAAGATCTTGAAATTCTAATCATACGAAAATCCGACAAGTGTGTAGTTCGATTTCTCGAATTTTCCTTCTTCATTTCTCGTAAAAACTGGCAGAGGTCATCCACAGAACGTTGTCCAATTAATATCTGATTTATTGTCCAATCAGATCATTCGAATCGAAACGATAACTGTTGACGATGATCTCAATGATGGGTATGTGGAAGGTCTGCAAAAATACTTATGGAAGCGCGTTGCACAACATGATCCTGCAAGTGGAAATGTGAAAATCTTATTCGAATATGTTGAACCACAAGTATGTCGAATCTGCGATCCTGATCGAAATAAGTTTTGGACATACACAACGGTGATCGAAAATATCAATGCACACGTGAAAATCGATAAACTACGAGACTTCGAAAAGCGCATCGCGAAAATCAGTTCATTGTTAACGAAAAACATCTCGAAAAGGTAAATCAACATAATGATTCGATCAATAGAAAGAGTTGTTCTATCATTGAGGATTCTGGTCCACGCGATTACAAATTACGATATTCATACAAATGAAATATTGAATGTATATCAATATTCGATAAACAATAACAAGCATCATAGTCACGGATTGACAGCAGAGCTGATGAAAGTAAACGAAAATTTGTTATGGAGTTGTCAATTTCGAAAGTTCTTAGATAAATAGCACGTTTTCGCAATTGTATCGAGCGCAGATCTTTGAATGTGCGTGGATTGATTTCGAAGCACGAAAGAATCCGACAGTGGCACGGTTATTACAGGAAAAAAAGTATACACACTTCGAATTTGTCTAGTGTTGACTCGTTCAATGATTTTTAAGTATGACACCTACATGTTGCTGTCCAGAAAACATGACGAAGCAAATCGAAAACTGTCGAATGTATACATTCAAAGACCCAACGCTAAGAGAAGCGACACTGGCGACCATCATTGACCAATTTCAACATGATTATTCCTCAAAAATGGCTTTATTTATCGAATCGCAAATTCATCGATGTAAATCATGTGGTGGAGATTCCGATTCATTGATATTTTTAACGCCTGTTCAAAGTATGAAGTTAGGAATGTCGATTTTAGACACATTTCATGAAAGAAAGCTAAAGCAATTAAATCAACGTTTACAAAATATGATACTTGAGTATTTTTCTTCTCATCAAATACAAATCATTTCGTCGAACAACGAAGATAATCCATCTGATGACGAACGAGCTACCGAACAAAAGAATTTAATGAAAGATTTCTATCGAGATATTCACCGTGAAGAATTAGAAGAAAAAGGAAGATATTTTCAACAATTAAGAAATAATATTCAACAAGTTGAAGGTCGCACAACAACTACGAAACCAACAAATTCATTTTATCCGATAGGTAAGAGGAATGAAGCAATACTTTCAATTAGATTAATCATTTTTAGCGATTGGAGGACGTAAAGACACAATTGAAGGGGAAACATATGCGAAAATTCCCTTTCGTTTACAAGAAAACAATTTAGCACAATCGGACAGTCCAGTGTTGGTGATTTATCCAACCCGATCAACGATTGAAACACCTGATGGTGTTTTTCTCAGCAATCAAACGAAAGATTCGAAAAATAATCATTACCGATCAAGAAAGATCTTAATTCAACAACGAAAGCATCGTTTCTCCACGCGAATATTCAAATATCGACGAAAGGAATTTTCAAATTCTATTCATCATTTCAACAATAACACTAACCAAGACATTGTCAACGAGAAAACCATCGAACAAATCCTTCAACATCATTGGACGCAAACATTCGAACGTCGAAAATCAATTAGAATAAAAACATTGTTCATCTCCAACGATAAATCGAAAATTTCTTTGACAAATAATGCAATTACTGACAATGATTCAATCACTAATAAAACAGAACTAATCAAAGAAAATTCGTTGAGACATTCACCGAATAACAAAAACAAACGTTTATTAACCAAAGATATTATGTCGGGTAAAGTTTTCTTCAAATTTTCTGTAAGGTACACATCATATCTTCATTATTATTTATGACATCCGCTTCTCCCGAACACAGTTTGATGAGCGATAATCCGGAGGACAAAGTTGAACTGTTTGTTTTAGAAGCCGAACATTTGGTTAAACATTTACATCTTTCACGTCAAACCGATCACGATTCTGCATCCACGGTTTTAATGAAAACATTTTCCTCGTATCCGAATGAGCTCGAGGAGAAATCTCCGAAGAAATCAACGATTCTCCCTGAGGAGGTTCACTCGATTAACGAACGTCTATACACGAACTTCACGGAAACATGCCCGTTGTTTTTGTTGAAAGAAGGCATTGATCATCGCTTTGAATTTCTCGATTTCGCTCCTGAACTATACATCAGACAAACATTTCATCCGATCAATCAAGAAGATTTCCATTCGAAAACATCCGATGTGCATCTCGATCTTCGACATACGAAAGTTCAGCAAACAACTGAAATTGAGTAACATTTCAGTATTTCCATAAACAATATCATATTTTGCTTGAAGATACAATCAACGAAATTGCCGGTGCAATTATCTACTCGTGGAGATTTATCGTTTGTTGGTTAAATTGTGGGACCAGTCATCGAATATCGAAAAAGTCCTGTATTATTCATTAGAATTAGCACGAGTGGAACTGACGCGAACGAATTATTACGAGTCGAAAATCATCTTACAAAATCTTCTAGAACGTTTAGACAATGAACGAGATTTTCTTCATCTTCCGATGTTCTTCGAACCGCAAATCTACGATTTGTTATCAGGTAGAAGATTTGTCTTGTCATTTTCAATCGAAACAAAGTTCTTTTCTATCTAAAGAATCAGTTTATCGGATGCGGAAGAACGACGAAGCACTTCTCTATGTTGTTTACGGTTTAAAAATTTTAAATGTTCAACTCATCGACTTTCGCTCACGTGACTCAGCTAAACTCAAAACTCAGTGTAAGCAATTACGACATACTTTAATTCGAACACTAATCCGACAGAACATCAACAAAAAGCTTTCCGACGACGAAATCATCCAGCGTTATTTCACCGGCAAATTGTTATTCCGTGCAGGACAATGTGCTCGACGCCACGGTCAATTATTATTCGCATATTTCTGTGTTCTGAATGCCACCTTATCTTTAATTCAATGTCAATTTGTCTTGACCTCTTACGAACACTGCCAATCGTTAATACTACTTGCTGAATTATCGTACGATCTAAAACGGATGGAAGATTGTGATCTATTTGTTCAAGCACTTGTTCGATATACGGAATCGGTACAGATTGGTTACGAAACAATCGCAATCAAATCACATTGGTTGTCGATGACATGGAATCTTTCTCGAGGAAAAATCGATCGAGCGTTAAACGATTCGTATAAAATCAAAGATTTAGTGAACAAAATCGGCGCGTACGAACATCTCATGGCAGTTGCGACGTATAGTTTACAAGTGAGACAAATTCTGATGATTTCTGTCATATAAAATTCGCTTTTTCCAAGGCAGCGTTGATTGGTCGAAAAGAAGGAGTTATTCGTGATCTATTCGATATTATTGATAATGAATCGAACCGTGTCTTGCAATATGAAACTCGTCTTTGGTCGTTTATTTTGACTTTGGAAGCATTTGTGGAATTAAACATTGAATACGATGAAAATTTGCTCAATGAAATCGTTCTTGGTATTGATTATGTCCTCGAACATGTAGAGAAGAAAACATCAACTCCAGGAGATATTCATAAATTCTTAACGATCGTTTTTTATGCTCAAGCAACTCTAGTCGAATGCTACACTAAAATTGTTAAACTCGATCGCGCAAACGAGGTAATCATACAGATACCATCTGGTTTGTCATAGTCAGATACGAAAAGGTTATCGAGTAACATGAAAGTCGATATATATCTTTTCGTTGTTTCTCTCATTGGATAGTAAATCGAATAGTTTCATATATCTTTACAGCATTACATGCGTGCAATCAAGTTTGGTATGTCGTTAAAAGAATGGACATTCCGTGTTTGTAATGGCATGCTAAAATTAGCACTTTATGAGATTTATGAATGTACAAAATGGTTAATTGAAACTCGTGTCTCGACTATACCTCTTGAACTTCACCAACGTCTGATTATTTCCCATATGCATGAGATAAGCAAACATTTTAAATTACTACGACCGAAATACTTAATGTGCTTGGCTCTAAAACATCTCATTACTGGCAATCAACGTTCAGCGAAGATTCAATTTGCCAATGCAATTCGTCTGGCCAATGATTTAGAATTAGATGCTGAGAGACAACATATAGAAATGATGAGAAAATATATATTTAAAGTGTTGACGAAAAGCAAAGTAAAACGAACGAAAAAATAGACAATTATTTTCGTTTTGTAGTCTTGTACATATTGTAAAGAATCAACGATGAATTATTCATTGATTTCTGCATTCCGATTAGTCGAGTCTTCGATAAAAGATTGTTTTTTTGTCATACAATGTTCCTAACATGTACTTCCGCTGTTTGATGACTTCGTAGAAACTTCTGCGTTGTGTACGACAATGTATGGTTGATGTATGTTTTCATTAATAGTCTAGTCCATCTCTGCTTCACGAAGAAGGATTCACTTATTAATGTATAGTCTACAATTAATGTATATGGTAGATGAAAGTCAAGGATCTGCGTTCGGACGGGTTTTTCTCTCTCTCTCATTACTGGTCTTGGAGAATAATTATTCATGGAACAATCTCGATTAACAATGATCGATGGTGTTCAATAAGAAATCTCGAATTTTCATTGACATTGACACGATGTCCTTAGTTCGGTAATGTTTAACACACAAGAGAAAAGATGGATTTGAGGGACAATCGATTCATTATAACTTGAGAAAAACCAATCATTCTTTCTCTTCGTGTCTTACAGAATTCTTCTGTATCAATATCAATCGACTGATTATGCCAAGATACGTACTCATCTGATCATGAAAATGTCGAATCTAATAGAATAATAATGATTAGGTTATAGTAGATCTACAACCGAATTATGAATTACTTTTTTTTAGACCTTGCTCGACTCCTCTGATCATTGAGTTTGCCCTTTAGCAAAATGTTCCTGACAATTCAACTCTATGTATATCAATGCGTGTGATAGAGAGAGAGGGAAAAATTTGTTTAACATAGCGATGCATACGGATGAGAAGCACGCCTAATTTACATTTGCATAACGTGGAGAGAAGTATTCGCTTGTTGATAATGATAATGATTATGACAATGAATGTGCCCTTGAGCTCGATTTGAGAAAGTGCTATCGATTTGACAGTCTGATGTCGAATAGAGTCTTGACATTTTTGTCTTTAGTGTTATCGATCTCCAGTGATGCAATCAATTTGTTCTGACTGAAGATATTTGTCTTCTTACGACGGAGATAATAGTCGCATATATTATTCATTGATGATTGTTTTCTCATTCATCGAATATAGAAAGAAATAGTTGTCGTTAATTCGAATTGACATTCCACTTTTAACGTTACATCTATTTTGACATCGGACAACATACGTCTATCGCAGAGAATTTCATCTAATCAAGCAAGAATGCGATTCTCGAACGACGAGGAATCAAATATTCGAACTATATCGGCTACCTTTATCTCTAATGACACTTCGAGGTTGCATCTCTGTTCTCTTGAGTAGAATACTGTATATGATTAACTTTGATAATTCAATTGATCTCTTAGATGTTTTTCCAAAGGTCTTCTTCTATTAGCATGATAACCCTGTCGTACTATTATGAATGCACATATGTGTATGTGGGAGGTGACAAGTGAGAGAAAAAGAATAAAATAGATTCGAAAACGAAGAATCAGAATATAAAACGAACACATACAGACAAAGAAAATATTATTCGAACAACTGTGACAAGAAATAAAGAGCGATTGATGCGGACAAGTATGTGTCATCCCGAAACATTATCATCGTACGCTCGTGTTCTTGTGTTATGCGTCAATAGAGAAACAGGAAAAAGAAGAAAAAAGGATAAAAAAATGAGATTGATTGATTGCTTTGCCCATTAAAGATATGATATTGTTTTTCCCTGACCCATCGTCTATCATGAGTAGCTTCCGTTGAGGAATCTTGATCTTGCTAAGTGACTATCTTCTTCTTGTTTTTTTTTCTTATATATCGAATATGTCGTTTTGCGAATACTTCAATCCCACTCTCGTTCGTTGTTTCTCTCTCTCTCTCTTGTCTTGTTTCTCGCTGTCGGTTAAATTCGATGTTGTGTCAACATACATTGCGCCGTGTCGTGCTTAGAGAAACAAATCGTCGATGGACGGTGATGAAAGATGGGCGCGTCATTAGATGACAGGAACAAAAGATGAGATTCCATACACATAATTCATAAAACAAAACAACAACAAGATTGTTTCTTTGACGAGAAATAGGGAATGGGAGGAGGAGGAGGGAGAGAGAGAGTATAGGGGAGAAAAAGGAAAGACGACTGATGACGATCGAGAAAGAAAACACAGTTGGAATATAGACCTATTTTTTCCAGTAGACTTGCTCGAGACTAATGTTGAACAATAACATATAAAAAGTTAAGTCCACTAGGGAATCATATGGCATGTCACACATCATATACAATAGGATCGAGTCATTTTTTGTTGTTATTTTCTTTTCAACAACCCGTATGTCTCTTTTGAAAAGATGTTGCGAAGATAAAACGTTTCGTCGAGATTGACGACTAGATAATTGCTTCGGTGGGTCGAATTGAGTTCACATTTTGATTGACGTAGACGCCTTAATCGATCGGAATACTTTCCCAAGCATGAAAAAAAAAGAGTGAGCCTGAGATGGCAGGAATTGATTCTTATTTTCATATTTGCTTTCACACAAGGCTAAGAAAAGTGTTACTTGAGAAGAATCTAGAATTTTTGCCAATTTTTTTTATATATTTTACAAATATTTTTTTTCTTAGATGAAAAGCTATATCGAGATAAGAGGCAGCATTTCTTCGATTTTGTTTTTCTCTTCGAAGATCAGAAGAAACCATTTCTCCTTCCCTCGTCTATTGTTCGATCGATGAGATTCTACTTGAGAAAGCTCGCAATTTGTACATTGATCATATCTATTGTTCGATCCCGTGAGAGAAAGCAAATCTCTCAAACTTCACTTCGCTATCCTCTTTCTCTTCCCTCAACCGCATCAATTGACAAATTATGTACAAATCTCAAGTCTTGACAGCGGCTCGTTCGTTGTTTGCCTTTTAACGAACTGTGTTATAGAAATCGACATATTTGATGACGTCTGTTAGATGTCATTCGAAGCAAAGGAATCTTTTTCTCGTTTTCTTTTTCTTTTTCTTCTATTATCTTTTAATCAGTTAGTTTGCGTGACATTGAAGCAAAACAAATCATCAACTTACCTGAAGATAGAAAACTGATTTCTTTGTTCTCTTCTACTTCTACTCGTTCAAATTTGATTTCCAATTGAATATTTTGATGTTCTTTCTCCCTAGAGTAATGATTACAGTCAGTTAGTGTCTATGTTTAGTTGAATTACTCGTCGAAAACAGGGACAATGAATTGTTCACTTCGCGAAGAAATCGCCCGTCATATCGAATTATACACTTATCCATTTTTACTCGGAATTGGCACCATTGGCAATCTTCTCTCAATTATGGTTTTAATTCAAATGCGACAGCACAGTGTTTATCGTTATTTAACATTTATGGCTATCGCTGATACAGTTCTTTTATATATTGGCTTGTTACGTGATCTACTTTTATCGTCAAATTTTCATATTCATATCCAAGGAACGTTACTATGTAAATTACACGTGTTCTTCTTTTAGTAAGTTCGATTGGGTGGAATTGCGAATGATCGGTTCGTTTGCTTTTAGTAATACTTTACATCTTTCATCGTGGTTTCGATGTTGTTTAAATTTGGATCGTTACGTGGCAGTGAAGTTTCCGATTTACACATCGAAATGGTGTCGGACACGACAAGCGTCGATCAATTCAACGATCCTGTTCTTTGTTCTTTCGTTATCGAATGCTCATCTGTTAATCTTTGTTCAAGGTGATGATAATTATCCGCAGAATATTTTCAATTCGACAGGTTCTACTGTTAATCCATTCCAATATCAACAATGTTACCTACATCCAGATTATGTACATTTTTTCGAACATATCTACACATGGATCGATATGTTTCTTGTCACAATAATCCCATTTATATTTATAATTCTTTGTAATTTAACTGTTATCAATCGTGTATTTCTCGTTTCGGGTCCGAGCAAAAAAAGTGAAATTGTCAGTCGTTCCAAAGCAACTAATCGCCTGCGGTCATTATGTTTGATGATGATCTGTTCATCGTTTGTTTTCGTCGCAACTACATTACCAGTTACGGCCTTTATTATCGATCTCTTATCACATAAAGCTTCGATTGATGATATGCGTTGTCGGCGAATTCAGTGGACAGTTTATAATATATTAATGTATTTCAATTATGCAAGTATATTAAGTTATTGCCTATCGGGAACAGAATTTCGTCATGTGTTGATGAAAACCGTGCATTTCCGAACGAAATCCAGTTTTACGACGATGTTGCAAACAGATATGATGAATGCTGTTAATCAACGACGTATATCGACACCTCAACAATTTCATCGTGTACTCGTTGAGTATCATGACCAAAAACGTTTTCGTTCCTCCTCTATTTGTTTACTACCAGTCGCGAAAGATATCAAAGATCAACATATGTTGAAAGTTCCTTCAGTCAATCCGAAATATCTACAAACTCATCAAGCAAACTACATCCCTCACGATCGACATTCTTGTACAAGTCAAACTAATTGCGGCGGCATCACCATCTCATCGTCAATGCAAAGTCCACACTATCCCAGACGAGAATCATGTTATCCTGTCAACAACCAACATGACACATTTGATTTATCCAATAACGAACACTTGTCGAAACATGACACTCTACTTGATTTCAATATCTAAGCTACAGATCCGTTCTTGTTGTTTTTTTTTATATTAAAGACAAACTTTTTTCGTACGTATATATATATATATATCAGATGATCGTGACATCCTAATTAGTATCTTGTCTTTGATAAGCCGACATGATCAATCATCGCTAATAAATCGAATAAGATATACCAGATATTCTTCTTTTTTTACTAAGAAAAAAAAAAACTTTGTTTTATTTTAAAAAAAGAATTCAGCATAAATACATAGTTAAGAAAAAATAAATAATTCATTGAAAAATTTAGTTTCACAAAAATAGAATATAGAAATTAAATAGACGAATTAGGAAATACTCGCCTAGGAAAGACTTTTGACTAGAAAGAAAGAAAAAGACATATGTAAAGACTTGTTAGATCTTACGAATTGATGTCGACGAGGTCGTTTTTTGATATTCGAATAGGATTCCATCAGCGTGAGTTTGAATGATTTGAAATGCAATATGCATATCATATTCACACGCATCTTTAGCACAAATAGCAAAACGAATGAAAAAGATTTCATTGACCATTGATGGTATCACATGGATTTGTCCTGAATCATTCAAACATAATAATAATTTCTGTGTGAGTTTATTTTTTCCCTACAAATAGTTGTGTCAGTTGAGAAGGATTTGGAATTAAAGTAATTTACTTTCAAACGAAAACAAACAAGTCCAAATACAACATCTCCGATGATTTCAAAACGATCATCTTCGTTTATCAAACTTGCAAATACTTTTGCTAAACGACAATGCTAAACAAACAAGTCATTAACAGTATGTTCGAGATAAATGATGAGCATACTTCGCGAATGTAATGCTGGAGACCTTCAACACCATAACTTCGAATGGTAAACCATAGTTTCAATGAGCGAAATCGCCGACTTAATGCGATACCCCAATGCTAGAGAAGAAAAAATGATTTTTTTTTCAGAAGAACAAACCGATGTGTTTACTCGTAAATCTGTCGCCTTTTCAGCGTGTTTATGTTGAAGATATAGTGGATCGACTGACATAGCATTAATCACTGCACATTTATCTCGTACCCTATGAATCGCAGAAGAGGAAAAACGTTATGATCGAAGGAAACAAAGATGTGATTACCAAAAACATGAACAATCGAAATTTATTAATAACCATTTGTTCGGATTTGTATTAAACGAATCCACGTACTGAAAAAGAAAAAAAAATAAAAAACATATTAAGGAGAGAAGAACTGACTTCGAATCCTTTGATCAAATATTGAAATTCATTGCAAATAAGTGCCGCACCAGCATAAGCACCATCGACGTGAAACCAAAGATTTTCTCGTCGACAGATTTGACCAAGTTCTTCGAAATTATCAAGTGAACAACACGATGTTGTGCCCAATGTTCCACACACCTATCCGAACAAAATTCAATCAAATAGACTATGAGTTTGGAAAGGAAAATCTACGAACGAAAAACGGAATCAAGCCTTTTTGTTTGTCAGCTTGTATACACTCGTCAAGTGTTTTTCCGCGTAGTGAGTAATGTTCATCGACAGCTAATTGACGAACTTTGACCATGGCTATTAAACCAGCTTTTTCTACACAGGAATGAGCCTAAGATAAAGCAAAGCAAGATTTACATTGAGATGTTTTCCCGAAGATTTTCGTCTCGTACAAGTTTTGATGTATAACAAACGAGTTTTGATAAGATTTGTCCATCCTCAATCGATGGCTTTTCTAAGCGTTTGCTCTTCATTTTATTTGTTCGAGCTGCCAGCATAGCGACTAATATCGATTCACTCGCTGAACCCTAAATGGAATAATAGAAAAAGAAAACAAAGCAATATTGTCTAATGGAATTGTCGAAAGATTATTTACAAGTAGAGCACCGCCTCCACTATGTTGTGAATCACAGTCCGTATTCGCGATCGAGATTTCTGGTTCATTGTCATGTGCAGGATTGAAAGGAAGAAAACAGGCTGGTAGAGACATCATTCGGCCAAGCCAATCGAGTGTAATTGGTTCGAGTTCTGTACATGCTGGACTTGCTGCCCACGAAAAACCAACTATACCGAGACCAGACGAAAGCATTTCAGCAAGTATTGATGGATAACTATTTCCGGCAGGAAAATACGCATGAAAACGTGGATGTTGCCAATGTGTTATACCAGGCATGATTGCGCGCTCGACGTCTTTCATGATATCTTCCCAAGATTCACCTTTTTCCGGGGCATTTCGTGGTAACATCGGTCGTAGATAACCTGGTTCGACTTCTGGTGTAACTCGACGTTCACTGAGATTGACCAAATGAATGTCAAAAGAAAAACAAGACTTTTTTTTGTGACTAACCTGATGTTTGTTAAATAATCTGCGATAAAGTCAACCATATCTTTTCCGCAACGACGAAAATCTTCGTGATCCATTCCCGTTGTATTGGACTTTGACATTGATTCATTTTGTACCCGTGAAGTTTTTCGACTTCGCTTATTTTCGACACTAAATGGAAAGAAAACTGCATTGTCTGAGAGAGACTTTCAATACACAAATTTCAATTACTCATTATCATCATTGGCAATCACACAGGATGTATGATTTTTTACAGAATTCAAAACTCTCTTCACTCTTTTCATATTGGAAGACAAAAAATATATCGTCGATCAAAAGCGAGTATCGATCGTGGGTTGAAATTGTACTGACTGACGAAAGTGTAGTCAAAAATGAACGTAGAATACATGTGAAGATCGACATCTTTGTTCACGAAATGATCTATCTCTTTTTTGTTTCATCTCGGACTGTCGTCTCATTCGACATTGACAAGTACAAAGAACAGGTTTTCATTCTGACGACTATTCGCGTCATCTTTTGATACAAAACTTTACATTCATATCCTATCATTTTCTTCCTTTTCAAAAACAGAATTTGACATTAAATTTTCACTCCTTGTTGTTCTTCGTTGATGAATTTGAAGAGTTTGCGTTTAATATATGATTCACTCCGTTGTTGGCACGCACGTGTATTAGAATGTAATTGCATAATGACGGAGAAAGACGCGTTTTCCTGTTGTTCATCTTGATTATTTTCTGGTAAAACTCTTATTTTAGACAAATATGGATGCGATAGAGTTAGCTCTTCGCAAATGTCTCAATGTTCTAGTTTCATCAGCAACAATAACCGAACGAAAGGTAGGGAAAAGTCCACACGAATGTTTTCTTTCGATTACGAACTTTCAGAGAAACGCCGAAACATTTATTGATTTGCTGAAAGATAATCGAACTCATGAATTATTAGACAATCAAGTCAATGACGAAAATTCGAGCAAAACGTCAATCTCCTGGAACGAAATGTTTGATGTTTGTACATAACGCGAACTTTCTTCATGAGAATTTCCATTTCTAATGTTTAGATTATTCGAGAATACACAGTCAATGAATTAGCGAGTATTCGATCGAAATCAGGAAAAACAGCAACACCAGATACGAAATATCAAGAAGCGCTGAAATTATTCAAAAGTTTAATTGAAAACGCCAATACACGTATGTGACGAATTCTTCGTGTAAAAGTTAAGATTTTGGTTATTTGAGTTCATTCAGGTGGTCCTCAACTCGACGGTCGTCCTCTTCTCGAGTCGATTCTTTCGATAATTACTAGTCAAGCGTGGTCATCATGCACGATTGTCATTCGAGAGCTCAATCACCTGCTAATCCATAATGTTATTTGTTTTCATAAATATCTCAATGATCTGCGTGAGCAAGAATGGATCGGTGAGAGCAGATGTTGTTGAATCTCAATGTTGAGCTGATTTTTGCTTAGATCTATGCGAATTGTATATGTCATTGACAAGAAATTCGGAGAAATCTGTTCGAGAGAATGATCAATCACTTTATAGTTCTTATTTGAAATATCTTCTGGAAAAACTAGCTGTTTATACTGATCTAGATTCGAGTAAATCTTTATTACGAAAAGATTTATTTGATTTCCTTCAGCACGAGATCAAGCAGCTCACGTAAGTCAATGGAGTCTGGAAAAATATGTTCATGAAGCTTTTTGAATCGTTTTAGAACTTCAAATCATTTCTCGGTTATTGAAAATTTTCTCTGCTCACTCAATATTTGGTCATGGAAATACTTATTCGACATGCCGGATGAAATCTTTCGATTAGGTTATGAACTTCTACCATCAATTCTCGATATTTGGAGAAGAAAGTGTAGTGATAAGCCAAAAGTAAAGTAAATCCAAACAGAAGTAAAACAGAATCCATCATGTTTGATTTTAGAGTGAAATCATCAAATTTTGTCGTTTACAACTGAGTATTCATCATCCGGAGCAGAGAAAAAATATACTGGAAGTCTATGATGATATCTGGACGGTAAATACGTTCGTAGAAGGCACGAGAACTTCGATTCTAGATTTGATTTTAGAAAAATCTTCGAGATTTAAATGATTTGATTTTAAGAGAAATTGATGAAATTTGTTTAAAACGTTTGAACAATCGACAAAATCAAAATGAATTCCTCGTTCGATATGATTTACTTCATTTAGCCAGCAGTGTATTCTATCAGGTATGAAATCTGTCTTTTCTCATGAGTATTCACTCGTATCTTTTTCAGCTTTCGTCAGACGAACTTCAAATAAAAAGTGAAACTATGGATGTTGACGAAAACGATGAATTACTCGAGCCAAGTGCGAAACGAACTCGTTATGAACATTCGTCAACAACCACCAATACACAAATGAAATCATTTCGAAATCTTTTTCAGTCTACCGATTCCTATCATCAAGCTGTGGGGTAAAACTTTATTTTGTCTTTACGAAATCTTCATTTTAAACTCATTCTAATCGATTAGTTTCCAAATTCTTTCAATTCAACTCGAAAGAGATATGGAATTGTCTTCAATCGATGGTGATTATTACATGAATACTCTCAAACGATATTTAACCGATGAACGAAGGTAAAGTTGATCTACCTGATGGAGTTTTTCATACTTCATCTGATTTGTTTAGACCATCGCTGTTAGTCAATGCTCTTCGCTGTCTCTATTTACTTTTCACTCGTACATCGCATTGTCAATTAACATCGGATTTGACAGTTTTAATCCAACCATTGATTCATATTCCCATCTGCGAATCTTCTGTAATCGAAATCCTTTCCGAGAAACAACTTTTTCTTTCGAATCTTTGCGCATGTTCATCAGTAACCTCGCTGAAATACATCTTCAACAGATTAACGCGGTACTCGAATTATTCGTGTTCATTCGACGACGAAAATCGTTTACTAAACAAGTTTCTTCCAGATTTGATGAGTTTATATCGAAACAATGAACATGATTTATCCATGTTTTTCCAATCCTATTCACCAGAATACACTCATTTATGTGCAACAATTCTCATGCAATTCAGTTCGTTCGATGTTTTACCATTTCAAGAAAATCGAAACCAAACGGACGAATCAATTGAGAATGAATTCGATCAGATTGAACGACAATGGTTACAATTGAAATTACTTGTTCCTTCTGATCAATTACTAGTCGATGAAGAAGAACGAGTGGAATTTTGTTTGAAAATGAATACGTGCGAGTTGAATTTGAATATGTTCAAACGTTTCAATGAAATTTATGGAAAAAATGTTCGATTCATTCAACAACTGAAAGATAAACATTTAGTAAAAACTTCACTTAATTCTTCTTCTCCTACGAATTGTTTTCTTACTAGGGCGAACGAAGTAAACTCATTCTTCATTTCGTATTTCTTGGTATTCACATGGTTCAAATTCTTCAATTGTATTTCTCCGAATTGAATCAAACTGAAGACTGTATTCTCAGATTCATCGAAAATATTCAAAATCTCTTTACTGAATTAACTGACGAAACCGTCTATCTCTTCGATAAAACTCACGAAATTGCATTTATCAACGATTTACTCGAACATATGAAGAACGTCATCTATTCATTTTCTTCTTCTTCGTTACTAAAACCGATTTCACCATCATTAAACCAATTCTATTCGATTCTTTACGGTTTCCTCGAATCAAAATTTCTCTCGTGTTTGTACAACTACACAACTGAAGAATATTCAACGAGAAAACCCTCAGATATCGAAGGCATTCAATGTCCAACCGATGACGAAACCAATGAGAAACTTTCCTTATTCGAAATTCTTCTCCTTCTCTGCTTTCAAGCCACTTACGATCAAATGCATTCATCAAAATCTTTCCTATTAAACTATCAACCGAACCAAAACCTCCTAATTCGTATCCTCGATGAGAAACTGTATCTTTATCTCGAAGAACTTCCTCTACCTGATCCAGTTTCGTTGAAATACTTACAGCGATTCTTCTCGTTTATTTCTCGAAATACTAAGCAGTATAGTCTCATTCTTCGCCATGATGATTTCGAGAACATTAGCAATCTCTTCACAGAAGCATTTCGCGTCTATCGTCGAGATACACGTGTATGTCAACAATTGTTTCATTATTTCCGGTTATTTATCAAAAAATTCTATTCACAAATTCGACGAGAGTTTTTCACAGATAAGAACTGGTTGCATATGAAGAAAATCATCGATGCATTTTGGCAAATGACGATGAACAGAAGTCCATTACTCAATTCTCATCTACGACGATCGATTATCGAAATCAAACAAATTCTCGTTCAAGATGAAAATGTTTTACTCAATGAAATGCAAATTATTCTCAATGATTCGTCCTATTTCGTTCGATTGGAAGCGAATAAACTTTGTCGACATTTATTCTACGAAGAGGACCAACCAAAACGATTGAAATCATCGAAAGAACAAGAGAAAGTTTATCACGAATTAATCGGAATCAATTCATCATTATTCTTTTATTTGATGAATCAAAATGAATATCTTTCCTGTCAAATAAGTTTTCATCTAATTCGACTCGGAATTGAGAAGAAATTAGCAAAGAATTTAATCAAACATATTCTTCCAAAAACGATTTCAATCCAAAGAATTCTTCAATATTATCATCGAGAGTTGCCTTATGAAATGAAAGACTTTCCATGGGAATGTTTGGATGTTGATCCATCGAACGAAGAATATCGTTCGTTTATCTTTTCAACTTACTTCATTTCCACGATCAAAACTCGTCGAGAACTAAATACGATTTTTCCCGATATGAAATCGGCATTCATCGAGTATTTTCCTCACCTTCAAGGATGTTTGTTACCATTATTAGCAACGGCAAAAGTTCATGCCGAAGAAAATCGACAACTAATCGAAAAATTCATCACGAAAAATGAATACAATCGATTGTTGAAACAAAAAATGACAATGATTATTTTCAAACTTTTGTTAACGTATGAAAACAGTAAACAAAGTGAATTTTACGATCCGTGGGCTCCGCAACCCATCTTACCGGTTTATACTTGGTCAGTATTGAAAACAACATTCGATTATGTCAAACAATTGATGAACATGAAAACATTTGTTGAACTTTTGTTAAAATTTACAGATATCAATGAGATTCTTCTTAATTTATCATCAGAATTATTCGCGACGAATTCGATTCACGAACAACTTCGTCTTCTTGATGTATTTTCCTTATTTCTCACGGATATGTTATTGACTTCACTGGATAATGAGTATTTACATAGTGTCTTACGTGATTCGACTTATATTCTATTACGATATATCGAAAAATATTCTCAAAGAAAGTCGATCGAAGTTTACCAACAAGAATTAAACGAGAAGATTCTCGATATTTTATGTGGACTTCTTTATCAATTGTGCGTGAAAGGATTTGCCTTTGACTCTTCTATCTATCTGAATCATGTCCCTGATATTGTTTCTACATTAATCAATTCGAAAGAATATTTAACAAAAGAACGAATTCAAACGATTTTGATTCATATCTACCAGATTATTCGAAATGACAATGATCCTGTTTTCAATTTACTATCCTATGCAATCGAGAAATTGTAAGTCAGAAGTACTTTTTGATTTCATAGTCACTTACAGTGCGAGTTTTTCATACTATTTAGGAATTATACAAAAGCAGATGTCAAACGAAAATCTTCACTTGTAACAACATCTGATTATCTTTATTACCTTTCACTTCGTCGTTCATCATTACCCGCCGAATGGATTTTAGACATGTTTCATCAACATCTCGACATCGAACGACAAAATCCTTCGAAGTCTTCTCTTCCCATCGATCCATCGGTTATTTCATCAGTTAAACAACAACTTCTCGAATGTTTAACTTTAAAATCCAACCATATTCTCGCTGGAAAGTGTCTTTCCAAATGTCTATTATTTCTCTTGAATAACAACGAAGAAAATCTCGATGATGACTCTTACGAACCCATTCCACTATGGATTCTCGAGGATTTAATCATGTTTTACCTGATCGATAACGAACAACAAATTGTCGAATGTACTCGTTATACATTGAAGACTATCTTGAGCCATCCGATTGGTCAAGAACTTTATCAAAAACACTTGCAAGATAGTCTTATCCAACTCTACGCAAAACCATTCCTATCTCCAATAAATTGTTTTCGAAAACTTCAATTGAGCTTCATTTCATCAGGAAATCCTTGGTTGGTCTCACCAACGATCTCGTTCGAAACTTGGTTTCTTTCACTGATAAACTGGTTATTCAAACAAATCGAATACTATTATCTCGAGAAAAACGAAACCGGACATCCATATGTGTTTCTTTTCTATCAATTGAAACATTTAGTTCAATTGAAAATCGATTTCGCGAAGAAAGTCTTTCCGCATTTAGTTTATTGTTTATTGGTTTGTCCAACGAAACTGAATCTCCGACAAATGTTAACGAAAAACTTCAATTTTTTGATTGAACAGTTAGTAGGAAGCTCGAATGAAAAGAATTCTGCTTTGATTCAAATCGCCAAATGTATTTTTCGAACGATTCACTATCTGGGTCAATGTCCGATCGATGGTCCAACTAAACGTGGTGGAATGAAGTCGGTTGGCCTGAATTTTGAAAATCATTTCTGGTTGGATGTGGATTATTTCCAATTAGCCAAATGTGCATCGAAATATCAATGTTATCAATCGGCGATTGTCTTTACGGATATTTGGACGACGAAACAACGATCTATTTTACCGGAAAACGATTATTCGATGCATTTATATCATTCCGATATGGATTTGTTATCGTCTTCGACGGAATTGGTTGATTTATTCGTTCGAATCCATTCGAATATGAATCAACCTGACGAATTTTACGGTTTGGATAAATGTTTTCAAAATCGACCGAATCTTTATGGAGAATTCAATCAAATGAATAATAATTACTACGATTCGTTATTTTATTACGATCAGGCAGCGTCGACAATCGATTCGTCGAAAGTTATTCAATCTTTACGTTTGTGTGGATTTAATCATATTCTTGAACAATATCTGAAACGAGTTTCGTCCATATCAGATCAAATCTTCTATCGAATACAGTTAACATCGATACTCACAGAACAAAATCCACTCACTCAATGGCAAATTATCAATGAACAATCAGAGAATCATGTTCGAGAAGATATTGTGTCGATAATTCAACGGCAAATGCGTATCTCATCATCATCGATACCACAATTGATCGATCATAATCTCTGGTCTAACGTAACGGAATTTCGTGAATGTTTTCTCGTTAACATCATTGATGACTTGATAACAAATTATGAAAATCCCGACATTTTATCGAACATCTGGAAAACTCAATCCAATACTCAAATCAAAGAAGATCTCTTCGATCACAATGACGAACTTCTCTTAACACGTGTTGCTCTAACCCATAAATTAGTCTTACGCAATCTTCAGGATAATCCCGAAACGAAACAAACACTTTTCGTCAATCTCGTTACACAACTCTGTCAAAATGCATTAGAATCGAAGAAACTCCAACTATGCGATCGATATCTAAGTGATTTTTCTCCACTTATCAACCCATCCTACTCGCATGAATTATCTTTTCTACGTGCGAAAGTTCTCGTTCTACGTCATCAAGACACTGCCGGTGAATATCTCCGTCAATTGATTCAATCACCATTATCCGATTCGATTCACATTCGTTGCCGTTTATTACTATGCGAATGGTTAAACGAAACACGATGTGAAACATCTTCAACCATCAAACAGCAACTCGATGCGATATCAACATCAATGAAAAATTTAGATCTTTCGTCATTATCGTTAATTTTCGAATCCTATCTAGCTATGGCACATTTTAGTGATAATGAATATCAACGCTTGACGCAATTATTGAATTCACCCATGTTTGAAAATAAACGATCGTTAATCAAACGAAATCAAGCGGAATATTCAAAACAAGAGAAATTAGATCCATTAGGACGCTACACGAAAGTCTTGAAGCGTAGTTTAGACATGGATCGGAAGGAAATTGAAGAACAAAAACGATTACAATACAGTTATTTAATTTCAACTTTAAATAATTATCTCACATGTTTAAAATTATATTCTGATCTGTCGAAAAAACAACAAAGAAATCCGTTATTATCCATCGATATGATTAAGAATAACTCCGTACCAGAGATCATGATCACATCAAAATGTCTTTCGTATTGGTTAACGAATTCCAGTAATGAGGATGTTAATAAAACCTTAAAGAAGAATCTGGCAAATATTCCAACCCATTTCTTCTTACCCTTTGTTTATCAAATGGCCGCAAGAATGGCTATTGTCAATGACAAACTATCAGTCAATTTCCACACCATTCTACTCGAATATTTATCGAAATGTATTATCGATCATCCTCATCATGTTCTCCCAGTCATATTTGCACTTGCCAATGCACATAAAGATGCGCATATAACTCAACAGCAAACACCGAAAAAGACAACGACGAATGAGCTTATACAATTAAACTATGAAAGCAGTGACGACGCTCGTTCGCGAGCTGCACAGTATTTGTTAGAGGAATGTGCGAAAGTTAAACCACAATTAGTTGATCAAATGAGAAAATTGAATGATGCGTATATCGAAGCAGCGTATTGGGATGTTACACCTGCTAAAAATGATCAACAAGGTAAAGATTCCAATGGGAAAAATCCAACATTCTCCAAACATCTTCGATTGATGCATATCAAAGACTTTTCTGAAGTTGCTGTGCCGACAATATCCATACCGGTAAGAAGAATTTTGTTACAAATTGAACTCGATGAGAGATTTGCTTTAGGTGGCGAATGATGGGATTTATAAAAACATCGAAACAGTGAAACATTTCAATACGGAATATGCAATGGTAGGAGGTGTGAACGCACCGAAAAAACTTCTCTGTCATAGTTCAACCGGCCGACAATTGCCACAATTATTGAAAGGAAAAGATGATTTAAGGCAAGATGCTGTCATGCAACAGTTATTCACTGTTGTCAACCGTTTATTGGACAAAGATGAATTAACACGCCATCGATCGATGAATATCCGAACATATAAAGTCGTTCCTCTGACGTATGTTCTTCTTTACTTGAAAAGTTCGCTGTATTGTTTGTTTTTTATTAGGCAAAAGAGTGGGGTCTTGGAATGGTGTGAAGGTACGATTACATTTGGTGATTATCTAACAAAACCTGATGGCGCTCATTCGCGGTATCATCCGGATGATTGGACAGCAATGGATTGCCGTCGACATATTCACAAAGCGACGAATGCTGGTAAAGATGAACGGCAACGGGCATTTATTCAAGCTTGTTCGAAACTACGACCTGTTTTTCGATATTTCTTCTATGAATATTACAATAAGTCAAATATATGGCATAAGAAAAAGCAGGCTTACGCCAAAAGTGTCGCTACATCATCGATTGTCGGTTATATCGTTGGTCTCGGAGATCGTCATGTACAAAATATTCTGATCGATACACAAACTGCAGAAGTAATTCATATTGATTTAGGTGTTGCATTCGATCAAGGCAAAATGTTCGTGAGATCGATTTATATTCTAATAGAAATGGATTTGTTCTATTTGATAGGTTACCAATTCCGGAAACTATTCCTTTTCGATTAACACGCGATGTTATTGATGGTCTTGGTATATGTGGTACCGAGGGTCTTTTTAAAAAGTAAGATTAAACAAATTCATTCATTTTCCTACAACATTCTCTCACTTTGTAGAAGTTGTGAAATTACTCTTGAATTGATGCGTCAATATGCCGATACATTAATAACAATCATCGAAGTATTTCTCTACGATCCACTTTATCAGTGGCAATTATCACCACAGAAAGCTTTACAACTTCAACAACAATTTGACAAAACTAATGCTGATTCAGTCGTATCATCGTCATATCGATCGTCGGGCAAAGGAAGTATGCTGCCTCCACCTGTACCACAATCATCCACACCAACTCCAGGAAACGAATCAGGAACAATAGGTTTCTTTGAAAAGCTATTTAAAACACTTTTCCATTGATGTATTGCTTCTAGATACAAATAAAATGGCTGAACGACTACTCTTAGGTGTTCGTCAGAAATTACAGGGTATCGAACGATTAAACCAAATGACCATTAAAGCTCATGTAAATATGTTAATACAAGAAGCAACAAGTATCGAAAATTTGTCACAATTGTTTGCTGGTTGGCAACCATACTTGTAATCCTTTCGAATTCGTGTGTCATTGTGTGTACCTTTTTTTTTATTAACAAATTTTATCAATTAATTCAATAAACTATCAAGCAAAAAAAAGAAAGAGAAATCGATGAATGTAATATTTAATTCAAAGTTATTACATAATGCACTGATGAAATCACTGTACCGTTTCAAATGCATTCACAATTCAAACCTTGAAATATACCAATTACACGAGCTAATGCGAAAAAGAATGAAATTGACGAACGACAAGGTAGAGATACTATCATTGCCCTTGACTTCTGTGGAGCAAAGTGCTTACAGCGAAAGAAACTGAGATATGCATAGTAAAGGATGTATTCGAAACACATTACATGTGATTGCATGACAATAACAAAATAGGCGTAATTTTTATATCTTAGAAGTAATTAATATAATCAACATAAAAGTTTTCACCTCTAAAGTATTACTTGAGATATTCTCGTATAGATACAAATTAAATCAGGATAAAAGCACATACACGTGCTTTCCGCCATCAGGCGTTTAACAATCATATTTCATCTTTGCAATTTATTTCATTATATGCAGTATTTTTATACAGTGATTCATTCTTTATTCTGCGTTGTTTTTACATTTCTTATTGTTTTAAGCGTTTTTCCTTTACGACGAGTATTCATATCAAACTATTGGTTTTCAAATTATTCTTATTATATCTGTACACAGATTTACAATGAATCTGAGCATTATCTAAACGATTGGCTTGATCATCAATTTAATGTGATTGGGTTTAAGAACGTTTGTTTGATCAATGTTGGTTCTCCCCTGTCAGCCGCACTTCGAACTCGATTTCGATTTGCCTATGTGGAAAAAACAAATCGAATGCAAGAATTTCAATATTGCCTTTCATCTTGTTTCGTTGATAAACCAATGCGTTCTCAAGATCTTCTCATGATTCATGATATTGACGAATATTTGAACGTCAGAAAAGCACATGTTATATCTCAGTATTACAACGATTTCGATCGCTTTCATTTCCAAGAAATTCGATACGGTAATCCGTCTACTACGTTTTTTGTATCACTCACACGCAGTTCTATCCACGTTTAGGTTATGTACTAGCAACAGAAAAGGAAATGATTAATCAGTCAATACGTACTACAAATCTTTGGCGTAAACCCCATCGCTCTCTTGGCGAATACGAAGAAAAGGATATAAAGGATCTATTTAAATGTCAGAATTATGATGGTTGGCCATCGTGCAACGAAGGTAACGGGAAAGAAATGATTCGAGTGGGTGCTATTAAATCATTAGGTGTTCATTTCCATGAAAGTAACAATGGGTTGGGTCGTCGACTTTCTATCGATATGATGAAGATCCGTTTAAATCATTACGTAATGCGAACTGGAGAAGATGCAGTACTATCAGCACAAAAATGGAATAAAATCGGTTCACGACTCGGGCAAATCAAAACGAATAAATGGTTTCGTATTGTCTTCGATGATTCAATTACTGAATCAAAAAGACTCACTTAATATGAACAGAAAAAAAAACAAACAAAATCTAAACTTGAAAATGATATTTATGAATGAAGAAAATCCGAGAACAACTTGCGAGAACTTTACAATGTTAGGACGTGTAATTCTCTATAAACTTTGTTCAACTGTCCTTTGAAAATACTTTCACAATTTGAAAACTGATGTCAACTTGCCATTTTTTTCTGACTTCAATTTTACACGAATATAGATGCGAGTTCGATTTTAGTTACATCGATTATCTTCTTGATAGTCTTAGAAATTAAATCATTGAGTAATTATTTGTAATTAAAAGCTTTTATAAACGGATATTCACTAAGATAATTTTGCGTAAAACATGTTCTCCTATCGACTGTTGAATATTTTGTTTCGTTTTCATTACGTATCGCAATGCGCTATACCAAAAATCAAAGACGAATAATGCTCAAGTATCTTTTCATATACTATAGTTTGGGGACAAGTCAGAAACAAGAAGAAATACATCATATAAGTAAAGGAGAAACAAAAAGTAGTGTCTTCATGATTAATTCGTAAACAAGAAATGAGAGACAAAGTTAAAGTATGTATCGTATATTTTGATTATACGAAAAATACTCCTCTCAAAAGTAACATTAACGCATATGTTTATCGTTCATATTTTTAACAAGAAGTGATTAATCGATTCATTACCTTAGTATACGACAAATCATCCTTAAGAATCCACATGGACATACAATCATTAGTTTTATCCGCAATTTCTTCATTACCACACAAATTTACTGTGTAAACATTCTCATAGTCACATGTATATTGCGTTTGTTTTCAATATTTTCTTTGAGAGATATTAAATTTACACGAAGGGTAATTACTTGTTAATTTATATTTGATTTGCTCTTTAAATGCGTCGTATGATCAATAAAACTGAATGTAACATGTGTGTTACAGTACGAAATTTGTATACCTGTAGGTTACTCTCGTTTCAGATTAAAAGTATATCAATGGATATGGAAGTTCTCACCCTGAATGATTCGGCACACATTACTTCAGACACAATTTCGACTGAAAAAGTTGTGAATATCGATAAGGACGATGATGATGATGTGTTAATAGCAACAGAAAATAAGTATTTATAGTTTGATTCTGTTTATCCATATTTCATATCTATAATTACTAGTGCAAGCTGTCTACCATGTTTGCCGTATTCTGTTGGATTAACATGTCTCTTTGCAATTTTCACTGCTCTGTCGATGTTAACTGGTATTTTGATAGTCTATTATAAAATACCGAAACCACCAAGTATGATCAGAGTTGAGGAAATGGACCAAACTTCAGATTAAATCTTTTTCTCTGTAATTTTCAGATAAAACGTGTTTAACTGTACTGAAAGCTGAAGCTCGTAGTTTAATCAGTGACGAATCACGTCCATTAGCTATTACCGTAGCTGATCTCAATAAAGACGGACTTTCAGATGTTATTGTAGCGAATTCTGGTGCAAACACTATCGGAATTTTCTTCCGAAAAGATCAACATTCATTTGCAAAACAAATTACTTATTCAACTGGTGTTGGTTCAATTCCATATGCAGTGATCGCTGATGATTTTAATAATGATCAACAACTCGATTTAGCTATAGCAAATTATGGTCACAATAATATTGGTATCTTTTTAGGAACAACTAATGCGACATTTCCATCACAGACAACATTTTCAACTGGGCCATCTCGTCCATTAGCAATTTCTGGTGGCGATTTTAACAATGATACATTCATTGATTTAGCTGTTGTTACGTATGGTACAAATAGTGTATATATTTACTTAGGAAATGGTAGAGGTCATTTTGTCGAAGTATTGACACTTTTCACAGGTTTTGATTCGATTCCGTATGCATTAGCTGTTACAGATCTTGACAACGATGATCAACTTGATATGATCGTTGCAAATTATGGGACAAACAATGTTGGCATCTTTTTCGGCCGTGGAAATGTATCGTTTGAACAGCAACTTCTAATTGATACTGGTGTCAAATCTCAACCGCATTCAATTGCTGTTAATGACTTGAATGATGATAATTACATGGATATTGTCATCGTTTGTTCTGGTACAAACAGCGTCGATGTTTTATTGAATATCGAAAACAGATCGTTTGCAACATTAACAAAATATTTCACTGGTAAGAATTCATTACCCGTTTCTTCAGCTATTGGTGATTTTGATCAAGACAATAAACTTGATATTGTTGTTGTTAATTACGTTGCTGGTAACATTGTCATTCTTTTCAATCGTGGAAATGGTTTCTTTACCGAACCGGCGACATTTTTTACCTCCTCTGACTATTATCCAAATTCAATTGCAATCAGCGACTTCAATCTTGATTCATATGTAGATATGGCTATTGTAGAATATGATCATAACTATTTAGATGTCATTCCTACACATAGAGAGTATAGTTTTGTCGACCAACGAACCTATCGAACAACTGGTATCGATTCCGAGCCGATATCGGTGTTTCTTGCTGATTTCGATAATGATGATCAATTAGATATGGTTGTCGCTAATTATTGGTTGAACAATATTGCTGTATTTTTAAAATACGATGGTTATGATTTTTTAATTCAGCAAACATACTACGTGGGAAATGGTTATGCACCGTATGCTGTGACAAGTGCTGATTTTAATAATGACAATCGAGCAGATATTGCCGTTGCTAACTATTGGGGCTATAATATGGGTATTTTTCTTAATATTGGCAATGGTAGTTTTTCGAGTCAAAGAACGTATTCAACTGGAAATGCCATTCAGCCCTGTAGAATTACCACCGGTGATTTTAATAATGACAATTGGATGGATGTTGTTGTTGTTAACTGCGTAACGAATAGTATAGGTATTTTTATTAATACTGGAAATGGTAGCTTTGCACACCAAGTGACATACTCAACTGGTTCTGGTTCTTGGCCGATGGCTGTTATCGTTGATGACTTCAATGAAGATCGTTGTCTAGATATTGCTGTTGCTAACAATGGAGCGAATAGTATTGGAATATTTAGTGGCTATGGCAACGGTACTTTCGCATCACAATTAACTTACGGAACCGGAACTAACTCAGCGCCACACTCAATTGCTTCCGGTGACATTGACGGCGATAATCTAACTGATATTGTTGTAGCTAATTACCTTAGTAGTAACGTGGTTATTTTGCGTGGATATGGTAATGGAAGTTTTCAATTGCAAAATACTTTGTCTGCTGGTAGTTCAGCTGGACCACAATCACTTGTTCTTGCTGATATTGATAATGACCATTTACTCGATGTGATTCTCGTCAGCTATCTTGCTGCGAATCTTGGAGTTTTTCTCGGTCGTAGTGATGGTAACTTCTCTACTCAAATAACCTATTCTACGGGACTTGGTTCGCTACCGTACTCTGTTGTAGTCGGCGACATGAACAAAGACGGACAATTAGATGCTGTCGTAGCAAATTATGGTACTAGTTGTGCAGGAATTTTCATCGGATATGGAAACGGTAGTTTTGCTGCACAGAAGATCTATTCAACCAGAGGTGATGCTAATCCTTGGAAAATATCTGTTGCAGATGTCAACTATGACAATCGTTTGGATCTGATCGTTGTTAACTATGCATCGAACTATGTAGATATTTTTCTCGCTAATAATAATGGTACATTTTATAAGTATATGACTTATTCGACTGGCAGTAACTCCGCACCGAATTCCATCACTATTGCTGATTTAAACGGCGATAATCTATTAGACATGGTAACCGCGAACTATGGAACGAACAATGTCGGCATATTCATCGGTTATAAGGATGGTACCTTTTCAAATCAAATCACCTATTCAACGGATAGTTATTCGACGCCACGATATGTAGCAGTTGACGATCTTAATAATGATACCTATCCAGATCTAGCTGTTGCAAACTACGGAACTAGCACCATCGGTTTATTTTTTGGCTTTGGCGATGGTACATTCGCTGATCAAAAGACATTTCCGACAACACCAAGTTCTGGTCCACAATATATTATTATCAATGATTTCAACAACGATAATCGGCTCGATATGGCTGTTCTTTACACTTGGACTGATAATGTCGGCATATTTTTTGGGTACGGTAATGGCACTTTCTCAAATCAAGTTTCGTATCCGTTTGCTGTCGGTTCCCGACCGTATAGTATGACAGCTGGGGATGTTAATCATGATAATCAAGTCGATTTAATTGTAACAATTTATTATAGTCGTGTTGTTGTTGTTATGCTTGGACAGAAGGATGGAACATTTATTACAGCGGCAACTTACTCAACTGGTAGCAATTCTCGACCATATTCCGTTGTTGTTGGGGATTGGAATCGAGATAATAACACGGATATTGCCGTTGCCAATTGTAATTCTAATAATGTACTTACGTTAGAAGGAAATGGTGATGGAACGTTTGGTAATTCAGCGACTTATTCCACTGGTGATATTTCTTGTCCAGAGTGGATCAATTTCGGTGATTTTAATAACGATAGCCTATTAGATTTGGTTGTTGCTAATTATGCCAGCAATACATTAGGAGTATTTCTCGGATTTTCCTACATAAAAGCTGTGCGTGAGGGTACGTATTCTACTGGATCATCTCCACGCCCACGAGTTGTTAATCTTGGTGATTTCAATCATGATGATAAATTAGATGTTGCCATTGCCAATTATCAATTGGGTGATGTGGGAATTTTACTAGGACATCCAAATGGATCGTATCCAACACAGAACGTGTATTCCATCGATGATTTGTCTTTTCCAACTTCACTTGCCATCGGCAACCTGAATAATGACAGTTATCTCGATATTTGTGTGGCCAATTCTGGCACTGAAAGTGTCACAGTTCTGTATGGTAATGGTAATGGTAGTTTCGCAAAATCATCTCTGCTTCCAACGGGACTGGATTCAGTGCCTCAATCATTGGTGGTTAATGACTTCAACAATGATAAATTGCAAGATATTGTCGTCGTCAGTGCTGGTACCAATAATGTGTTCGCATTCTTAAAATATGATACAGGATCATTGAAAAGACAAACATCGATAAAGACTGGAGATAGCACCACTCCACGATCGATATCTGTAGACGATTTTAACAAAGATGGTCGATTAGATTTTGTCATTCTCAATTCTGGTAATAATAACTTTGGCATTTTTCTCGGATTAGGCAACGGAACATTTTCGACTCAAATGACCTATTCAACTGGACAAAATTCAAATCCATGGTCACTAAGAGTTCATGATATCGATCAAGATGACTGTTTAGACATTATTGTCACCAATAGCTGGAGCAACACGATCGGTATTTTTCTGGGACTTTGCGATGGAACATTTTCGACACAGATGAGCTTTTATACTGCGTATAATTCGGGACCGGAAGCTTTTGCCATTGCTGATTTCGACAATGACACTCAGTGGGATGTTGTAGTCTGTCTGGAATTTATTGGTCAAATAAGCATTTTATATGAATATCAAAACAGCACATTTTCTAGTCCAGTATTCTACACGATCGGTACTTATACCTATCCATCGGGAGTTGCAGTTGCTGATTTGAATTATGACAATCATCTAGACATGGTTGTCATCAATTATGGAACTAGTAACCTTGCGCTTTTCTATGGACGTGGTAATCGTACTTTTGCTAATCCGGTATTTTATACTACTGGTAACTCGTCGAATCCGTCATCAGTTGTTCTTATCGATTTGGATAAAGACGGCAACATGGATATCATTGTTGGCAATTCGGGTGCAGATAATATATGTGTATTTTATGGACGCAGTGATGGTACGACATATGACCAAGAATTCTTCGCAACAGGCGCTGGTTCTACACCATATCAAATTGTAGTTCGTGATGTCAATAATGACAAACGCTTTGATATCATTGTTGCTAATTATGGCAGTAATAGCATAGGTGTTCTTCTTGGTTGTCAAAATAGATCATTTTTTAGTCAATTAACATACTCCACTGGAGATTATTCTCAGCCGCGAAGTATTGCGTTAGGTGATTTTAATGTCGATGGCCGTCTTGATGCTGTTGTGGCTAATTTTGGCACTGGTAGTGCAGGTATATTTCTCGGCTATTCTAACTATGATTTCTTGGGCGCGCCAGCTTCTTCAACTGGTTCATCATCTCACCCAAATTCCATCGCTGCTGCAGATTTCAACAATGATAATCAACTGGACATTATTATTGCTAATAATGGCACAAATAATGTTTTAATTTTGTTTGGAACAGGGTATGGTACTTTTACAAATCCGGTGAGTTATCCAACTGGAACAGATTCTCATCCATGTTGGGTAGCTGTTGCTGATTTGAATCAAGATACTCTATGGGATTTTGTTGTTGCTAACTCTGGTACGAATAACATCGGTGTATTTTTGGCCAATAGTACTGGATTATTTTCAAGTCAAGTTACTTATTCTACCGGCTCCCGTTCTCGACCATATTCTGTTACTGTGCTTGATTTTAATAATGATACTCGATTGGACATTGTTGTTGCTAGTTATGGTGCTAATAATGTCGGTATCTTTTATGGTTATGGAAATGGTAGTTTTATGGATCAAGAAATCTTTCCAACTGGCTTCAATTCGCATCCGTATGCATTGACTTTTGGTGATATTAACAATGATAATTTAACGGATGTGATTGTTACTAACAATGGATACGGAAATATCGATATTCTTATGAAAACATGTTAATATTCGACTTTTTGTTCTATTAGGAATGTAATATATCTTCCAATCAAATTTTCATACGGACTCGAACCTTTCAGATTTGTCTTTATTGTACCTCTAGGATAAATATTTCTAATTTTGAATTTGATCATCATTCCTCGATGACAAAACTCATGTCTATAAATTGGCATACAAGGTTTCATTCTTGATTTATTCAAATAGTGATTCAACATTTGATACAAGGTGAACAATGACAAATATGCGACAGATTTATCGAAACTTATAGAGAAGAAAAACAAATTACTTTGTTATATATGTGGAAGATTTACTTAATAAACTGCGAGAAGAAAACTTTTGATGCTTTACTTTCCTTCAACGCTTCACGTGGCTTATTCACGCATCTCGTAGTCCGAAGGAAAAGAAGAGAACTGTTCTTCAAATACTCGTTGCTCTGCACAGAATGGCGGTGAATCTCGTTCCTTCTTTCTTTTTTCTATTCTACTCAATACTCTTTTTATTTTTTTACATCGATGGAAATGCAAGACCAAACTAACGCCTTGACACATTCATTTACTATTTGTCATTGAAACATGGCATTCGTCGTTGTCACGTGGCGTTGTTTCAAGAAATACTTACCGTTAATCACTTCGTTTATATTCTTCCTTATTCTATTCTATACAAACGCTGTTGTAACAACAATTGCTGATCGTATTGCACCTTATTATCAAGCTGCTCTACCTGATGTTGGTCATAAACTGTTACCCTATTGGACTTATTATCAAGTGAATAATTACACAATTATTGTTGCGTATGTGTTCGTCTTCATACGATTTTTGCCTCAATCAGATATTCGCATAACTGTTTTCCGTCGATGGTTTTTCGTTCAAGGTCTAATGTTTGGCATGCGTAGTATTTCCATTTATATCACTTCATTGACAGTACCACAGCCGGGTTGCATCACAAATGTAACAGCACTAGCTACACCAGCTGTTGAAGCGTTTTATGTCATCGTCGGAATACATGCAACTTGTGGCGATGTACTTTTCTCGGGTCATACAGTAGCATGTACGTAGTTTTTTTGATTGATGTGTGGAGTAACTGATGTTTGATTCTCTTTTAGTGACTATTTGTGCTCTTTGTTGGACAACTTATGCTCGCGCAGATGAATATCGACCGTTTGTATTTCTCTATCGAAAATGTGGATGTACACGGCAATTTCATTTTCCAGAATGGTTATTCTATCCAAAACTAGATGCCGTAGGAGATCCCATGACATTGTATTTCACTACCTACATTGTTTGGCTATATTCAATTATGGGTTATTTATTCATCATTGCAACGCGATTTCATTACACTGTTGATGTTTTTCTCGGATGTTTGTTGACGGTGTTAACTTGGTATACATATCATTCTTATGTGAAAAGACTTTTAGAGAAAAGAAGGTTTATCATTGCTCGAATATTCGTATGGTTTGAAGGATTAGAAGGTGATGCGACAACATCAATAAGTTTACTCAATGGACCTGTTCTCAACCAACCTACAGAACTACCACCTGTTGCTGTTGTTACTGCCGGTGATGCGCAAAGGTGATACGAAGATTATGAACAAATTCATATTCAAGCTTTCTCTGATGACACACTTGTCAGATAGAAAATGTCTATTTTCATATAATCTCATCCTTTGAAAGATTTCTCTTTTTGTTAGAGAGACTCTATGATTTAAACTAATAAACCCCACATACAAGAAATCCGAGTCCTACGTTACTTTAATCATCGAGTACCAAAAATGAAATGTCGTGGTATATGTTGCACATCATCGATATTTATAAAACATAAAATGCCAGATGATAAGGGCGCATCGCCGTTCTACAACATGTTGCCTTTTAACATTTTCCCTTTTTATTGTAATTCAATAAACAAGAAATACAAAGTGATTAATGAAATAAATATTAGTCAAAAGTAGCTTCATTTCTAATAGAAAATACTGTTAGAACCGAGTACTAATACCAGATAATCGATCGAAATCATCAAATGTTGCATTGACACAACCAGATTTCTTGTCGATATTCTCCTTGATTGTTATCGATGAATCGTTCGATTGATGTCGATTACAACATAACAATCTTTTATGATTATTGAAAAAATTCTCATCATACCAAGCTAATGTTCGGAAGGGTCTCGGCAACCATGACCATGTTTTCAATCGATCAGGAAGATACTTTGGTTTATGTACTTGGAACACATTGATTATAATAATCAGTAAAATAATCAACAAGATTGGACCAAATACACCGATGAAAACGTACCATCCAGCAAGAGATATAGCAAAAATAATTGCAGGTATGACAAAAAACGATGCAACGATGTACACAATTGCAAACCATCGATATTCAGCTGTTGTTTCACCTAATTTCTTCGCTAATGCTATCGGTATATTGCGCATGAATGGAATAGGAAACCAAAGAAGTATGCCTACGAAAGAATAGAGCGTACTTGTTCATCTGTTCTTTTCAATATCCATCATACCGAAAATATTGAAAAATGTATGACATAGAGCAATTTGTAGAGAGTTTCGAAGTTCTTGTGCCGTCGCTGCTGTCAATGCCGCCATAATACCTGTAATTGTCGTGCCGATATTTGATCCCAATGTAAATGGATACATTCGTTCAATAGTTATAATTCCCAATCCAACAAGTGGTGTCAAAGTAGATGTGAATATCGAACTACTTTGCACAAGTATCGTGAAGATACATCCGACCTAAACGAGATTTCGTCAAGATAGATAGAAATCAAGTTTCGATACGAACTGCAATAGCTAAATAGGGTGTCAAATGATGAAAAACACCGGGAAAGTCAGCATTCACTGTTTTGTGGATTACCGTACTGATTGTTCCTTTCAGCATTGACTGGAGTAGTTTAACGAGTAGAATAAGACATGTACAAAGCGATATGATCGAAAGTATTAACAGAAGAAGACCGATGCCCCAATCAGGCCATGAAACTTTCGCGAAGAGAAATCCACAATACTTTTCTGGAGTAAGGATGAATGTTCCATTGGTATCTGTTGTGTTTTTATATGAGCAATAGTGTTTTACAAGAGATACATCCGTTTCAACAGATCCGAGAGCGATGTTTTGAATAACTTTCTCGTTCAACTACAACCAAAGTCGAACAAGATCGAGATAAAGAAATATGATACCAAACGAAATTTACTTGAATGATTCTATGCGTTAACGGTCTTGTAAGAACGTTGAGAAACTGCGGATTTGAACTTGCTTTTCGATCGAGACTGATCGTTCGTGTGATTGCTTCAGTTAAGTGAAACAATAGACCTAAGCAGATATTTGATGAGGAAAACTTCATGAAGTTGTTAAGTAAATTTACCTGATACGATTTCGAGTGGTAATAAAACAATCACTGTCACCCAATTGAACATATCATGAACTGTAGCTCCAGCAAAAGCACGACGAAATTCATCTCGCCGATTCTAGAAGCATTTTAGATTCAGTATGCATTGGTAAAATCAAATCTGACTTACAGATTGTGTCAATGCGACAATCGTATTCGTTACGGATGTGCCTTTTTTTGAGAAAAAAAACGATGGAAATCTTTGAAAACTAATGAAACATACCGATATTTGCTCCTAAAATAGTCAAAAGTAATCAATGGATGTAAACTGACATCTCAATTTTAGTGATCTTACCCATAATAATTGGAATAGCTCTTTTGACTGGCAAAACTAATTGCAAATATCGAAATAGATGAAATATTCTCATAGAACATATATTTACTCGACGATGAAACCATCGAAACAACAATCGAAGTCGATGTTGAAGAGCTTTGTACAACGACTGTAGCTAATAGTCCAAGCATAAGACCAGCAATTGGATTGGAAAGAACAGCACCTTCCGTAAAAGCTTTACCGGTTATTCTACCTGTATTCACCAGGGAACAAAAGTTTCGTGTATACATATCAAAAGAAGTGTTCATTACCTCCGACTAAACGAAACGCTGAACTCATTATATCGAGTGAACACACGAAGATATAGAGTAAGAGTAAAAGGCACATGAATTTGAGAATTAATTTGGTCACATGTTTGATACGTGCGGAAGAATTCATATCTATATAAATCAGAAATATCTTCCTAGTTCATAGATCGATCTTTACCTTTCCATCGAACTTCACGATGTTGAGCAACACTTTCACCTAATGAATTCCATGAATTCGTTGGAATAATTTCACTTTGTGATAAACTGTGTTCCGTCATTATTATTTGTTAATCTAATGTTCTTCGACGTCAATCTTAAATAGCTCAGTATTTATTCATACATTGTATCTCGAACTTTGGAATGTAAACATTCCTTGACAGTGTGGCAAAAAATATTAGGTATAAAGGCCTTTCATAAGTACATCATTTTCGAAAATGTCTAATTTCTTCTTCTCATGCTAAGGATGACTTTGGGCAATTTTGCGAAAAGATAACCTTTGTCAATGTCGATTTGTACGAAATTTAGTGTTATATCATATTGCTAAGTACACATTCACTATAAACTTCATCGAAGTTTTTTCCCCTGACGTCTGTTCGTGAAATTCCAGCATGACTTACAGTTTGCGGAGAAATGGAATGTTTGCTTTCTATCTTATTAATATGTTAAGAAACAAAAGGTGGGACTATTCATGCTCTGTTCTCGTCTAGTCTTGTTCGTCATTCATGTCATTCGAAGAAAGAATTCCTTTGGTCATACACACTACAAGATAGTACTTACGTGTCTTGTGCACTGTCGGTGCACATACAATTGAAACTAGAAATTATTGATCCTTTTTATATAATCAATGGAATATGACTATGACGATTCTTTCGCCTTTAAGAGATTAGATTTTGTTGATTTAAGGTGTATCAAAGAGAAAATGTGTGACGGGAGTAGTTTTTCTTAATCTACTTCAATTTTTAACATTTGCTCTCACCAGTAGATTTGACATGATCTTGTTAAAGTTCAAAATTCAACAAATTCGATTAGTCATAGATATATATGACGACTGAGTATTTGAAATCGGGATTATGTCATCATCAGTTCATACACTTACTCATTCTTTCATTTTACTGAGAAAACTTTTCTGAAAGAGTACACGTGCGACATCTATCTGCGTTAACATTCCTGTTGGTCAACATGTCTATTTATGATTTCTTCTTCTTCTGCAAAGCAAGTAACCAGAAGACTTCATCTCTATATTCTTTTCTTAACAAAAAAAAGGACAAACATGTCTTTTCTACTCATCTCAGCAAGTCGAACATTGCAATCTTCTTTCGTTCGACAATCATTTCTCTTACAAACGTCACGATTGTTATCAACGCCTCAACTTCGCCATGCTCAAACTCAGCAGACAACAGGCGATTATCCAACATCGAATTCACGTCGGCGTTATCGGTATTATCTACTATCAATCGCTGCTGGTATTGCTATCGGCGCCGCTTACACACTACGTCAATCACGAAAGTACGAAGGTCTCATGCCGGAATATATGTCCAACGTCGAACCACTTGAACGCAAAGCAATGGAAGCTCGACCAGTTCCACCACCGGTAACAAAACATATTACATTCGATGAACCACCAAGAGAAAATTTTCCATTTAAATTAACTCTCTACCAATATGTTACTTGGTTCGTTGATGCTTTTATGTTGCCTAACTTGTGAACTATTTTGATTTTTTCTTCTAGTCCGTTCTGTTGTAAAGTTCGTGCATTTCTCAACTATAATCGTATCCCATACGATATAGTCGAAGTGAATAGCGTTATGCGTTCTGAAACAAAATGGTCATTGTATAAAAAAGTACCAATTCTCGTTGTTGAAAACGAAGAAATACAATTGAATGATTCGAGCATGATTATTTCTGCTATTGACTCATATCTTCGCATGCCGACGAAACGATTTCAAAATATTTCGAAATTGTATCAAGCAGTGATTGAAAGAGATGAAAAAGGAAAACTATCGTTTAATTATCCAAATAAATATTTCCTTGTTGAACCATTAGTGGATGATCGATTGGATCCAACGAGACAAGTTCAAACTGAGAAGACGAAAAACGATGTATCTGATATTCAGACAACAATCGTCGCTGAAAATTCATCATCGGAATCGTTTTTTTGTAATTAGAGAGTGATAATTTCTATCTTAAAACTCATTTTGTCTTATTTTTTCAGCACGATTCTTTGGCCGAGGAAAAGCAAAGAATGAACAAGGTTTAACAACCGTCGGCGCAGGCAGTGTTCGTAAAAATGAACCAAAACCAAGTCATCACAAGTCCAGCGAACAATACAGATTAGAACGCAAATGGCGTGAATGGGTAGACACAAAATTTGTTCATACTTTATCGCCAAACATCTATTGTACTTTACGGCAATCATTGAATACGTTTCGTTGGTTTTCACAAGCAGGAGATTGGGAGCAGATCTTTCCATGGTATCAACGTTGGATTATTGTTTATGTCGGTGCAATTGTTATGCGAGGCGTCGCTGGAAAATTGAGGAAGAAGTATAATCTCAACGATGATGTTCGAGTTTCTCTCTACGAATGTGGAAATGAATGGGTCAAAGCAGTTGGAAACAACAGTTTTCTCGGTAAGAATCGATCGATTTGCTGTATGGATAACACTCGTCCTTTTTCCATTGTTTAGGAGGATCTCAACCGAATCTGGCTGATCTAAACGTCTATGGTATTCTAACAGCTATTCAAGGCACTGAAGCATTTCAAGATCTTATGAATCATACTAAGATCCAGCCATGGTTCGAGCGTATGAAACATTTGGTCGAACCTCACTTTGCTGATAATCGTATTCGTGTTACTACTTAAACTATCTCTGTCTTCCGTTTGAAAATAAAATCATAAATCTTCTGTTTTTGTTTATTAGATACGAATGTAACTTCAATCTAAACATTATTCTAGATCAAATCAATAAAAACAGCTTCAGAAATGACGGTCATGGAATGCGTTGGATGTACACTAATTGCATATGGTGTACCGTTTTCAATGTTTGTGTTTACCATAGCACATCATCCATTTCGGATCATTATTTCTATGACAAGGTACGAAAAAGAGACGAAATCAAGAAAAATGTAATTTCAGTGAACATGAATACTTTTAGTGCGTTCTTTTGGCTTCTATCTTTACTTGTCTCGTCGTTACTCTGGTTTGCTGTGGTACCATTACGAGATAAGTTGGCTTTTGCTGTACCATTTGCAGTGGTATTTCAAGAAATTTTTCGATATTTGTTCTATCGTGTTATTAAGTAAAGTTTTGATGGAATTGTAAAGTTTGATCTTCGTGTTGGTTTTAGAAAAGCAGAAATCGCTTTACAAAAAGTACAAATGCAGGAATTAACAGCGAAAGGAATGGTATTCGATCGATTTGCTGTTGCTTATGGTAGGGAGATGAAAATTGAATTCTCCTTTTCGATTTCCATTTTTATTCGATCTTTCAGCGGCTGGTTACGGATTTGGATTGATTAGCGGAACATTTGCGATTGTTAATGTTCTCAGCGATATGATTGGTCCAGGAACAATTGGTATTTTTGGACACTCTCAAGACTTTTTTATAGCTACAGGTAAATAAATACGAGTCACTTACCACTCCCTTTCGAAAGTATTATCTATTAACCAATCATATCGGTAGAAAGTTGAATTGTAAATCGTACTGATTGACCTGCATTTTTTCGAACGTCTTTGTTCTTTTAGCTTTTCTTACTTTGTGTATCATCCTGTTAAATACATTTTGGGGTGTGATTTTCTTTACTTCACTCGACAAAGGCGGTATTCATCGAATTCTCGGTCCGGGAATCGTTCTTTTGACGCACATGCTGTTCTCTTGCATCGTAAGTCATCGATGTAATTCATACCAGTACAAAACTTGATATTTTTAGACGCTATTCAATCAAACGAAGACACCCATTTACTCAATATCGCTCGTTGTTGGTTATGTTCTCTTGTTTGGTATGATGCTCTATACGTTTTTCTTGCGTGGCTTTAAACTGACTTCACTTCGTCGAAGAACAAATCAAGAATAATTTATCTGGTTGATTAAAACATTCCTTTATTGTTGTAAATTGATTCTTATATTTTGTTCTCTTCGTTCTGGTTTCGTTTTATTATTGGAGATTCACACTGTTTTCTTTCATCTATGTAGTCACTTTTGTTCTTCAAAAGCAGAAATCATATGTATGAAACGTGAAATATAAATCAAACGAATGTAATTCATCTGTAATAAATTTCAACTAACAAACAAAAGATTAAACAAATGTTTTCTCAACATTCAAATGTCTTATTTGTTTTTCAGCATACAATGACATCGTCATCACCGAAGAATATTGCACTCGTCGGTTCAGGGAATTGGGGTACTGCGATGTAAGTCGTTCGTCAGTACTCTGTTCTTGTGAAATACGTTCGATTTGTATTTAGTGCTGGACATATTGGCGAGAAAGTTCGTGAATTGAAAGGAAAGTATAATGAAAAGATCAAAATGTGGTGTAAAGAAGAGACACTAGACGATGGAAGTAAATTGACCGAAGTGATTAATAAAGAACATGAAAATGTCAAATATTTACCTGACCAGAAACTTCCGGAAAATGTTATTGCAGTGGCAGATTTAATAGAAGCGATCAAAGATGCTGATATTTTAATCTTTGTCATTCCACATCAATTTGTGAAAAAAACTTGCGAACAGTTGAAAGACAAAGTCAAAAAGGATGCATTCGCACTAACACTGATCAAAGTTAGTAAAAAACAAAAAGAAACTTGAACCTTCTTATCATTTGTTTGCCTTTTAGGGATTTTATGTCGACGAAAAAACCAATGAACTCTTACTGGTATCAGAAATTATCACCAATACATTGAATATCCCATGTCTTAGTATGATGGGAGGTATGAAAGAAGATTTGGTCATATCATTGACGTTTCTTGTGTTCTGTTTAGCAAATATTGCCAATGAAGTCGCTGAAAAGATCTTTTGTGAAGCAACTGTTGGCTCTCGTAATGATAAACATAGCGAAGACATTCGAGAATTAATTGATACGCCTCTCTTTCGCTTGCGCTTTTATCCAGACGTGGAAATTATTGAAATGTTAGGTGCTTTGAAAAACATTGTGGCCATGCTAGCCGGCTTCTCCGAAGGTTTACAAGCAGGATTCAATACTCGTGCTGCCGTTCTTCGTTTGGGTTTTCGTGAAATCATCAATTTCTGTCGTTTGTATAAAAAGGAATCAACGCCCGATATTTATTTGGAATCCTGTGGTATAGCTGATCTGGTCGCTTCGTCGTTAGGCGGAAGAAATTACAATGGTGCTAAGAAAATGGCTGAAACGAAAAAGTCGTTGAAGGATATTGAGAAAGAAGATCTCAATGGACAATCATTGCAAGGTCCGGGCACAGCAAAAGAAACATTTCGTTATCTTCAAGCGAAAAATCTTCTGGATGAATTTCCGCTATTTCGTGATGCACATCTGATTTGCGAACAGAAGATTGAGCCGAAAGTATTTTTAGAGAATTTAAGCAATCATCCAGAATTTAGTCGAAAACAACCAAAACAATAAAGATCAGAATCGAATGTAACATATAAACAAGCAATGTATTGGATAATCCAGCGAATCTGAACTTATTCTTTCTGAATACGTTTGTGATAACAAAATAATCTCGTTTTCTATTCTTGTTTTCTAATATTAGTCATGCATATAAAAGATACCTTTTTTAAACATATATTTACGCGATCTTTGGTGGTAAATTCTGACTTACTGAGCATTGTAAATGCTGCATAAGTATGATACGCACTGCAAAGAAATCAAGAGACCAATGTGGTTTTGGCTGGGGGACAGTGTAATTCAAACAGAAGTCATTCACTTTGCAAATAAACGCTTAACGAGAATCAAGAAAGAAGACAACGTATTTAAATAATTATTTTATGACAAATAGAAATGATTATAAACTTCAAATGAAATCTGTGAGGGTTGCCATCAATTCTCTCTGTCTAAAACGAAAGATTCGATAGGAAACATAATTCATACACGTTTATGATAGATCTAAGATAATCAACAGTGGTACTCTTCAATTACATATCACATTTGTACAGACAGGAGATAAAATTGTTCTGCTTGTACTGACGAAATTCATAAAAAGAAGTAGACTCTATCGATTCATAGTTTTTTTGTTCAAAGACTTCACAAAAGAAAGATTTTTCAACAAGAACTTCATTCTCGCCGATATTCTTGTATAATATACATTCCGATTGCTACACGAAATCAACTTCTACAAATTGTTCATATCTTCATTAGTATTATCGGGTAAAATAAGCACTTGGAACTACAGACGTCTTTGTGAAGATATTATTCTTTCTGTGTTTGTTCTACACGATCTGGTACGTCTATTTCGAATAATGACGACGTGTTCTGCTGAAGATATCACGTCGATCTTTACTCTCACACCTAGTCAATGACATATCTATGAAACAGTTTTCTCAGTACGAAAGCAAACTATCTCGTGATCTACATCAATCAATAACTGTTGTTATAAGAAGACTATTTAAATTAGAATTAATCTTCAACTAACTATTCTCCCATGTGTCCAAGATGAATATTTTCTATAAATCTAAAATTCTATTATATTATTGATTCAATTGATTAAATACAAATTCTTTATCTATTCTGAACCGCTATCACAGTTCCTAAACATCTCAAGAGAAGCCGATCAATCTAATTTTTACACCCTCGTTCATCACACCTACACCTTCAATATTTTATAACAAAAAATCTTGATTGCATATAAAGCAACCAACTTTTGTCATCAGCATACAAACAGTTGGCATGATGGTCTATAGAACTAGGAAGTCTAGATAACCTTTGATAAGCTTAGTCTTGTCAGAACTAAAATCGATCATGCTGAAATCGAATCAATACAAAACATGACAAAGGCGATTCTTTCATTTCGGTGTTAATCTATTCCACACTTCCGCGAAATGATATATCATACAGGAAATCATTACCAGTTATTAATACGACTTTCGATTTATGATGTCTAATAACTTTTTTTTGTTTTGATCCTATTTAATACATGACGACAACTGTTTAATGGCGGATTCTACTCTTCTCAGTCGTTAATAGATTCAATTCTTTACTTTCGTCTAATTTCCGTTTAATATCTTGTGTATTGTTACTCATTGATACGCAGTCATATATATACATTCACTTATTCTGAGCTCAAAAGTAAGGACGTTCAAATAGTTTGACTTCTTTTCTGCAGATCACTTAGTTATGGTATCGTCAACAACATTTTTGCTTCTACTTGCATCTACTCTAATGACAACTTATGGTCGCACATTGAATGGACCAGATCAATTCATACCATTGCTATTTTCATCCGTTAATCCAGATGAAAGTAGCGCAATACCATCGCCTGACGGTCAAGGTCGGGTTGTCAGCGTTGTCGAACAAATCATCAAGTAAGATCTGTCTTTCGCTTCAGAAAACGTTCTATGACAAAAATCGTTTTTCAGATACGTGTCCTCAATCAGATCGAGTGAAAATTTCGTTGAAAATCTCGTTGGTCGTCAAAAAGAAATTACCCACAAAGTGAAAGTGCTTACATTTTTAAACAAATGCTTCGAAATGACTCACGACGTTATCCAACGAGAAATTGACCGTATGATTGGAATGCCAGTATCGACTTTAACCACAGTCAAAAAATCTTCACGCACAACATCGACACCATTCACATTGGAAGAACTTCAACAAGCACAAAGCAAAGTCAACGAAGTACTCACTAGCATCGAAAACCGCATGGCTGCCTTGAAAGCATGGATTCCTCCAACAATGCCCTTTCTGGGTTTCGTTTGAAAGCTCTTTGTCGTCAATATTTTTGAAATAAATATGTGCAGACAGAAATCGAAATAAAAACAAAAGACATGACATTTACACACAGAACTTCTCCTAAGAAACCAAATAAACGAGTTAATTAGCACACTCCATGCTTTCCCAAGAGAAACTCCAAAGACATAAGTGCAATTTAATTGTATGTTAAATACCGGAGAAAACATTTACTGTAAGTGCACAACTAACAGGTCATTTTCGACAAAATATGTAAGTTTTTACTTAAAATTGTCTCGTACCGATTGACACTCAATCTTAGCACTCATGTATACAAAATGCACGAGAAATTTTAGTAGAAGAAAATCTGATCGATTGTATCATAATGCATTCTGCTCTGAAGCAATAACTCGCATGAATTTATTATGTGCAACAAAAAGAAACATACAATTAAGTTTGATCTTATCGAAATAAGTCATAGATCGACGATGGCTTTTTCACGTGATCTGTCGGTGTTTTGTATTTCAATATCATTACCATACCGACGACGATAATCGTAATAATAATCAATAAAGTTATCGAAACCGTACTACACGCAATGAGACATCGTTTTCTCTTCTGTTGAATGCTTGTTCGTGATACACGTTGAATTTTATTAAAATCCTATGGAGAAAAACTTGTCATCTTCAGTTAAAAATCTCTTCCAACAAACTTGTTTTTTCACTGTTGTTTCTAATTGATCCGCACGTGCGAGTAAGTTATTCAATGCAGCATCATTCGGTCCATCAAGATTTGTTCCTAAAACATCCGACTCAAATGATTGACCATTACTGTGTCGATCCGTGATTTGTTTTTTATCTTTCTTAGATAATTGACTTGATGATGCATCATTCTACATAAATCAAATTTTATGTCAATAAATATGCAGATTGAATTGGTGGACTTATTTACGGAATTGATTGATGGAGATAAATCAGTCGTTATTTGACTTGGCGATGAAGGAATTTTTGCTTCGTTGGATGTGGAATCACACGATGTTTTGTGAAGAAATAACAAACGTTTATTTTTTGTACTTTTCCGTTTCCATCCGTCCTAAAAAAAAAACGCCCAGCAGAAATATTCGTAGTTGGATTGAGCAATCCTTCAAACATACAAAACCATGTCGATCCGAGTTTTTAATCGATTTTCTCTGAGGTTTCGATGTTATGTTATTCTCCTTGTAGAGAATATACATATGATGATGTCCATCGATATTTTCATCATCGCTATCATCGTTCTGCTTTTTCGTAATGCGAAATATTCGGTAGGAATCGTCGGCTTGAATTGATGATTTCGTCTGGAGGATGTTTGATTTAACCTAGAAGAACAAGTTATCGACAAGGAAGTACAGAAATTCGTAGATTTACTTCAATGTTTGTATTGAACATCGCATTCATATCGTAATAATCCCAAACGATGGTTGTCTAAAGGAGTTTTAGATAAAAGAATCGCGAATACAAAGAATGAAAGAAAAGACAAAAAATTTCTTATATTTTTTTCCATTATAAATTATCTCAACTACGTCGTTGTCGTGCGTGTGTGTGTGTGTGTGTTTTCCCCTATACTATTCTTATTCATCTTCGAATCATCAATATGCAAGAAAATAACATAAAAGGGAACAAGATGTTCGTATCAATCCAATAATGAAGATCGGTGTGTTGTTGTTGTTCCTCCTTCGACACACTTTTTCAGACAACTCCAGAGAGATTGTCGAAGAAAATAACAATGAGAACGAACAAAAGAAAAGAGAATATTTAGCAAATCAAATGATAGTTGTTCGCTGACGAATAATCATAGAGAAGGAAGAAAATCACATTTAGATCTTTAATTAGACAATTACAGGAAAGTAATCGAAATGTTCAGCGTGATATTATGGCGTACTTTGTCTTCTTCTATTAAGAAATAATAAAAATGAGAAATTACTATTTGAGAAGATAATTTCTCGTTGTGGTATCTTGAAATAATATGGAAGGTGTGAGTGTGGAATGTTTAAAATAGTTTTCGGAGACTTTAAAGTGCTATTGAATGAGATATTTACACCTATAATCATCGAGAATTGTCTCTGTAAAAGACGCCATTTTTATCAATGATAAGTTCTATTTTTATTTCATAAGGAAGAACAAATAAAATAAACGTGTATTTACAAATAAACGACAAAACTACTAACGATTGGTGTTAAACATAGTTGTTTCCTTTCTCATGATGATCGACTTGTTCATTCGAGTCGACTCTCGGACGATCTTTGGTCCAACATCGTCGACAACAGCAGCAGAGATAAAAGCCAATAAGACATCCAATAACAATCACCACAAGAATAATACCGATGTTAAGAATCAAACTTAAAACATTTGAATCATTACTATTATAAGAAGGAAACTTCCATGGAGAATCATCTGAACAATTGTTGTAATAATAGAATCCTGGTGATATTTCTTCACCGTTGATTATAACTGTTCGACTACTCTTCACTGAATATGTACGATCAATACAATTTTTCTTGGTCTTGAATTTCAACATACTCGAAATTATAAATTTCCTTACTAAGTCGATTGTAACACTGACCGTTGTATTTTTAAATTTTCGTTCGTTATACGTGTACGACGACTACTAACGACATCTATATAGACGAACGCCATCATTATCAACCAGTAGTTTTCAAACTTTACTGTATCAAATAACAAAGACGTTGATTGGAAAACTAAATATGTAAATAAACATGATCACATTCGTTAGTCACATTTATGAAGAACATATCTAATATTTTGCGCGTTTGTTTTCAATTTTCTGAACTTTGAATATTATTTTCTAAACAATCGTCAAATGATGAAATGAAGCACGTTGAGTTGTAAAATCTTGCATGAAATCTTGATGGCCATCTGTGAAACGAACTAATGAGCCATTGTAAGGCCATGCAAACAGTAACTGATTCTGCTTTTTGATTTCTTATTCATCTTCATTACTTACTGAGAAGTAATTTCCATGTAATGAATCGATTGGCGAAACAAAAAGCAAACAGAAAGATTCATTTCTTTTCATTTTTTTTCTTCTTCTAATACAATGAAAATTCTTTAGTAATCTGATGACGATTGAAACGAAGTATAGAAATATCATTTTCTTCTTCTTTTTTTAAGATCTATCGTCATTGACAATGATGATACAAATAGATGGTGAAAATAACATCTCAACCATACGATCCTTGAAACGATCTATTTCGGTATGAAGTACACCTCTTGGAGCTTCTCTCATTCTCATCAATGTGTCTTGTTCTTTAGCCTGATTTTTCATTAATTCTCGAACGTAAAAGCAAAACCGGCAAATTCCAAGTAAGATCATCTTTTCTCATTATCACGTTTTTTTTTCGCTACACGTTGAATACCGCTCGTTTTCCACATCAGTTCATTTCAGTCACGAGAATAGTTGCATTACCCCTCGTTAGTGAAAGAAACTCGCCACCTGTTGTGTATGCATGAATGTTCACAGTCAGGTGTTCATGTCTAGTTAATATGCATAAAATTCAAAAGATCATATCAAATTCTCCTCATTTGACTTATCAGTAAGCAACTGACGAGATCTCTTCAACAGGTTTCTCCTCCTATATAAACACTTGATTCTGTTCCATTCAGCAAAGAAGATCAGATCATTCGTGCTGCTGAAGGTGTTGCACAATCTATACGAGACCTTCTTTTTGTTCGTATGATATTGTGAAAAATTAGGTCTTGTCTAGTTCTGTGCATCATGTTCGCTGCTATACACCTCGACAGATTATTTCTTTTTCTTTCCTTGCGAGAAAAAAACAACGTATATATGAGCGAACAGGGAAATGGTTAGTTCATATGCATGTCCGATCGGTCAAATGAATCGACGAAAACAAGTGGGAAACGAAACGTGCCTATTGGTTGAAAATCAGATTTCATTTCGACTTTTGTTTAGGTGCAAAAAAATAATGGTAATAAGGAAAATCTTATTAAACGTTTTCATTCCGGTAAGATGATAATCGAGAAAGACATTGATGCTGATTGAAAGTTTAGATTTGGTTTTCACAAAACATTCATCATTTATCGTCAAAGAAAAACCTGTGAAAAAATCTTGGTATCAATCACATCAACTATGGTTGAATCTCATGAGAAAAACTCAGGATAAAACATATCAATGTCGTGTGAACTTTCTCGATTCACATCCGTCAATAACAGCGAAAATGCGAAGTGTTCTGTTTGATTGGTTAATCGAAGTAAAACTCATTAAAACAAAGAAATTTCTCTCGTTAAAAGCAACTATTCCTTTGATTAAGGTCAGCGAAGTTTATCATCTTCATCGTGAAACGTATCATTTATCCATTGCTTACATTGATCAATATTTATGCCAAAAGAAAAACTTAGCAAAAAGCAAATTTCAATTAGTTGGTATCACCGCTCTGTTTGTTGCCGCAAAGATCGAAGTAAGACCTCGTATCGTTCGAAAATCTGTTTCTTATTGAATCTTCTCCTAGGAAATTTATCCACCACGTTTATCGGACTTTTCCTATGTGACCGACAACACGTGTGCTGAAGAAGACATTCTTGAAATGGAATTGGAACTAATGAATGTAAGATGACGACATTCTTTAGGATTTTCATTCTAAGATCGTTGATATTTAGACACTGAATTGGCATATAAGTCCAGTAACATCAATCACTTGGTTGTTAATTTACTTGCAAGCTGATCGCGAACTTGAAAGTTTGGCAGATGAAAACCAACGATCAGTTAACAGTGTAATTCTTCAAAATTCGATTTTGACTAAAGTCCATCGATCTAAAGAGTTTCTTCAAACATTTTCATTGGCTGTTCGAGTAAGACCGATGAAAATCGATTCCGAAGAAAAATCTAATGAAAACTTTACTTTAGTTACTTGATTTATGTTCGTTGGATTTGGAATATAGTCAGTTTTCGAAACATATTCTTGCTGCATCGGCTATTCTTTTATGCAGACCAAATTGGCCACTGGAAAAAGTCACAAGTAATGAGGAAGATTCAAATAGATGAATTCGAAAACTAAAATTTCGTTTAGGTTTAACTGATGATGATGTTTGTGTATGTAAAGAATGGATGAAACCATTCTCCGAAGTATTGATTAATTCACCACCGACTTCGTCAACTCGGTTAGGTGCAGAAATACCCATGGATGAAGTTTATTCCATTCAAATTCATGATATCTCAACCGATTTATTGGTAATATTCATTGGTAAACGATAACGAAACAATCTATCTTGTTTTCTAGGAGAATGTCCACGAAAAACGTCCAAAATTCGTTCCAACGAGTCGACCATTTCGTGATCTTCTCAATCATTTGTCTTGGTTGCCAGCTATCGTTGAAAAACAACATGAGAAAAAAGCAATTAATGAGCTCGTTCTCATTGCTTAAAATGAATTCAATCAAAATCAGATATTTTCTTTTCTCTCTATTTTATGAAAATATTCGACATGTCAGATATTGCATATAGATACATAGATATTTAGAGTCTCATATATAGATGTATACATAGTTACGGTTTTGTCTGCTGATCATCAATTGTTTTATAGCTTATTTTTCTTTTTGTATACAAAAAAAGCGAAATAACAAACTACTTGTTTGCATTTTTTTTTGTTCGTTTATGTGTTTATTGACGAAAAATTGTTAGATAAATAAAGCTAATATTGTTATTTGTATATGTTTTCTAGCGAGTATGACATTTTGATTGTTGTCAATATATATTTTTTTTACTGATTTGAGTTATTAGTTTCTAGATTGAAATCGCACAAGATGGGTTTATGTATTGGCTCATTAGGTTCATCAATAGCGTGTTTATTTGGGAATGCATTTTGCTCACTTTGCTGTGCAGCATGTCCGGCATGTAAAGGCTCAACATCTTCACGCATTGCATATGGTCTTATTCTTCTTGTTGGTCTTATCACATCATGTGTTATGTTAATCCCCGGCCTGGAGAAAACTTTAGCGAAGATTCCAGCATTATGTTCCGGAGGATCGAAATTAACAAATCTGGTTGTGCCTTCGATGCCTTCGATTGATTGTCAAAAGATTGTTGGATCTCTAGCGGTATATCGGCTTTCATTCGGAATGACGATCTTCTTCTTTATACTGTCATTATTGGTAAGACTATTCAGGTTCTTTAGAATGGTATGAATAGGTTTCTTTGGGATTTAGATGATCAATGTCAAATCATCGAAAGATTTTCGAGCGAAAATTCAAAATGGGTTTTGGGGATTTAAATTACTGGCGCTGATTGGTTTAATAGTTGGAGCGTTCTTTATTCCGGAACATGGATTTTCGCAAACATTCATGGTCTTTGGCATGATCGGCGGATTTCTTGTAAAGAGAATGAAATTTGTTCGGAAATATTTAATTCTACTTCTTTGTTTTTAGTTCATACTAATTCAGTTGCTTCTCTCTATTGATTTCGTTCATTCGTAAGTATTGTGAAAGAAAAGATTGCATAAATAATCGACCAAATTCTACTCTAGATGGAATGAATCATGGATTGATCGTGTTGAATCGGGTTCGAAAAAATACGGCTACGGTTTATTATTCTTTACTTTTCTTTTCTACGCACTATCGATCACTGGCATCGTACTTTTCTATATCTATTACGCACCAGATCGTAGTGTTTGCCGTTTACATACCTTCTTCATCTCATTCAATTTATGTTTATGCTTTGTCTTATCAATTGTATCGATTCTACCACAAGTTCGAGAACACAACAGTTCGTGCGGATTACTTCAATCATCGTTTGTCAGTCTTTACGTGATTTATTACACATGGTTCGTTGCGAATGACTTGTCAATTTCAAATCTACTTGTTAATTTAGGTCAGCGATGAGTAACAATCCAAATGTGGCTTGTAATCCAAGTATTCGTTCAATCATTCATCCAGGCAATTCAACCACACCGAGTCCTACACCGACACGTCAGCAGAATATCTTCGATCCAATCACTATAATCGGTTTGCTCATGTTTACCATCGCACTGTTCTATTCAGTATTCACAAGTTCAAGAAATCATCGAGCGAAGAAATTGTTTTTATCGTCATCGAACGATTATTCAACCATGCTAGATGACGCATCCATCTCATCAGATCGAAATTTAGTAGGTGATGATGAAGGAGAAGGAACTCGTCAACATGTTTACGACGATGAATCTACTGCAGTCTCGTATAATTACTCATTGTTTCACTTCTTGTTTGTTCTGGCAACACTCTATGCCATGATGACACTTACTAAGTAAGAAACAAACGGTGATTTTTGAACTAATATTCTTTGTTTTGTAGTTGGTATGAACCTGCGAAAAATTTCAGTACATATAACAACAACTACGCTTCGCTTTGGGTGAAAATTGCTTCGAGTTGGATTTGTGTGGTTTTGTACATGTGGACGTGCGTCGCTCCAGCATTATTTCCTGATCGGGATTTTTCATAAAAGACGAACAACAACATACAACATCTTTTGTACGTGGCTCACAGAAACAAATTGACATTCTCTTCTTTCTTTTTTCGTTGTTGTGCTGTACTTTGTGCATAGTTAGAACTCCTCTTCCTTACTAACTCGAAAGGAACTAAATTAAATACACATTCATTTATCAGCTGTCTTTTCAAATTTCATTTGTAATAAATGTATAATATTTTTTCAAGATAATGCCTCGAGTACCGATTGCAAGTGAAGACGAAAGGAAATTCATTGTAGACGGAATACAGGTAAGCATGATGATTCATTTGCGCGTCTAACAAAGATCAAATCCTCTTCTTTTTTGTTCACTTGGATAAGAGCGATTTATAAGAGAATCAAAATTCCGGATCAGAAGTGCGAAACATGACCATCTCGCATACCTATTGATATATTCAGATTTCGTGACGTACTCAGAAAATCGTTCTTTTTTAGTCCAATTTTCGTAACGATGGTCGAAATTGTCGCTCCTACCGTCCGTTATTACTAGCAACTGATGTGATCAATACTGCAAATGGTTCTTGTCTACTCAAACTAGTGAGTTTTCTTAACAAAGTGAAAGGAAATATCCATCTGTATTCTTTCAGGGTGGTACCATCGTTATGGTTGGTATAACATTCGAATTTAGTCGCACGAGTCAAGATAAACCAAATGAAGGTCGAATAGAGGCAACTGTCGATGGGTGAGTTATTTGTTTGAATGTTCGAAGAGTGTCTGTTGATGTTGTAAGAGAAATTTTCTCAATAATCTTTCTTCTTCACGAACATTGCCCATGGTCTTGTCGATCCATTGGTCAATATCACAAAGCATCTTCTGATGAAATCGATGATAGAGCATGCGTTGAGTTTTTACAATCGAGGACCACTTAAGAAAAGGAAAAACATTTATTCTCACGAGAACGAAAGAGAAGATGGAGGAATTTTACAATGATTTTATTTGTAGCTTTGGATAAAAATGATTTTTCCTCGTTGCTGTCGTTAAGCATCATTAGTTCAACTATTTTATAAACGCATATCGAGGATTGATTCTCATACCATTTACTATTGAGTTCTAATGGGAGGAGATTCGGTTTTTTCAAGGAAATGTTCCTTGTTGGATCTTCATCGATGCGATAATCTCGTTTTTCGTCTAATCTTTCGGAGACATTTATGATTTCGTAATCTTTCGAAATTCTCATTTGATCGGTGTTTAATGGAAAATAGACTTGACAGTTTTGATTAATTGCCAAAGGCGAATTCGTTTGACAGTAACTTTGAACGATAATCCGAATGGAATTTTCTAGATTCTCGACAATTGTTAATGTATATGGCCATGAATCCCAAGAATATTCATCTAAAACTAGATCGGTTTTCGGTTTGAAAAATACAAAATTGAAAAATTTCGATTTTTGATCTTTGATTTGATACTGTCGATGTGTCATTGGCGTTAAAAACGAGATTTTGTCTCTCAATGGCAAAGGCACTTTGTCATTGATGATCTTCATTCGTTCTTGTTCGGTTATGTTTTCGAACATCGTCACATGTGTTGCACATGTCTGTAGGGTTTCTTTGAGTAGTTCGATTTCCGTCCATTGCTGCCCAAGATGATATTCATCGAGTGATAAAGGCATGGGAATACGATATTCTTTTAATTTCATGTTCAATGGATAGTCTTGTCGAAAAATAAAATTAGTTAAATATGCGCGTATCTCATTTTCGTTTCGTTTTTAGAAGTGGCTGTCGAACACTGAGAATCTTTGGCAGACATCGAAGACAATATACCAAACAAATAGCGAGAAGTCTCAACTATATTCTGAATAACCCCAAGTGTTTCGATCTCGGTCAATTGTGCGTGGTAAAAGGACATCATTGTTGGCTCGTTCACGTAGATATCTCTGTAAGTATCCGGTAATGATAAAGCATTGTTATTGTGTATGTACACAGGAACTGATAAGAAAAGTAGACAAGATTTCTCTGTGTATCATGTGTGATAAGAGTGAATACGGGAAAAGAAATTAAATATTTGTTCAGTTGTCATATCTCGGACAAGTGGAAATGGATGTGTTTTGTGTTACAATAGGTTCTACGTTACGAAGGAAACCTTCATGATGCGTGCTCGTTCGCAATGAAAGCTGCACTGAGCGAAACGAAGTGAGTAGAACTTGATGGAGAGAAAATTGCTCGATTGTAATTGATTTTAGAGTTCCTGCTTTGAAAGTAACTCATGATGAGGAAACAAACGAAGTTTCTGTTGACGTCTGTGATGATCCATATCAATTCGGTACACTCGATGTATCGAATTTACCACTACTAATCACTGTTGGACAAGTGAGTGACACTTCATCGATGAAATACATCGGAGAAATGAACGCTCCTCTTGTTGTATGATTCAGATTAGTGGAGTTCATACCGTTGATACAACTATCAAAGAAGATTCTGTTACTTTAGCAAGGTAAAAACAATCTTCAACAGGCTGCTTATGAAATCCTTTTCTATATAGAATAACTTATGGTATAAAACCATCCGGTTCGATCGTTTATATGAACAAAGACGGTGGCGGTAGTCTCGATGCGTTAAACATTCGCTCCATGGCAAAAGTACCGGTTATTTACATGAAAATCTGATCGATTGCTTTCTTTTTCCGATAGATTGCTAGTGATATTGGTCCACAAGTTAATCAATTATTGATGAAAAAAGTTCAGTTAAGTCGAGCAAAACAAGCGTCCTGGGGTCACGCTAACGAACGTCTTCTTTTCGATGATGACAATTTCGTTTGAAATGCTTCATTTTATATCTAGCAAATCAATAAAAAAATCTCTGATTTCATCATACATTTTATTTCGGAAATCACTTAGAACTTTTATTCACACCTAAGTAAGCGAAAACCCATCGGAATCATCGCTTAACATGTGCTGCATGATTGATCGAATACGAACACGACAGTTTGGTTGTGAATTTAATGAACAATCGTTAGATTCATGTCTTCGTATCGTATCTGAATTACACGATGAATCGAACTGATTGATTGATGATAGAAAAGTGTTTGTCAACTCTTCGCTATCATCGATATGACTCACTAAAACCGAATCGAAACTTTACTTCGCTATGGAACTGATCTCTCACATTCTGAATTATCTAATAATGCATCGAACGGTGTTTGATTTGAATGTGTTGTGGTACTTTTCTGTTCAGTAGATAACGCTTCTGTAGTTGAGACTTCTGCGATTGATATTGACGTTTCATTTTGATGAAGATGTGCATCCTTGTGTTTTGAATGATATTTCTGCAGTGTTTCTTTACTAATACGGTAGAATTTTCGAGATTGTTTCGGAGATGATATTAGCGTATCGAGAGAAGAGTGTTTAGAACGTAATTTGAATGAATTATCGATTATTTTTCCATTCATGTTACTCATGAATTGCACAAAAAAAGACTATTAGAGAAAGCGCACTAATTTCATGAATTGATTTCAGATGTTACTTCAAATAGATCGAGTTCACGATGAAACGGAAACAACCATCGATCCTGTTCGAGGTAGTCTGACTTTCTATCACTACAAATGTGATGGTCACGATGACCGAGGTTGGGGTTGTGGCTATCGGACGCTACAAACGTTATGTTCATGGGTAACCAATGTTAAGAAAGCACACACATTTTCCGGCGTACCTTCAATCATCAATATTCAAGAAATTCTCGTTAATTTAGAAGATAAACCAAAATCATTCGTTAAATCAAATCAATGGATTGGCACATGTGAAGCAGCGATGGTGCTTAGTCAACTTTACGATGTAAGTTGGTCTATTTTCCTGAAATTTCAACACGGTTATGTTTAGGTCGATTGCAAAATAGTTCACGTGTCGAATGGCTGTGATCTATTGAATTATATGAACATTCTTTCTGAGCATTTCCGTGAATTCGGTTCACCAGTGATGATGGGTGGAGATGCCGATGCGGCATCGAAATGTATTCTTGCCGTACGGTCGAACCAAGAATTTTTGATACTCGTAAGCTTTTTTTCAGTAAATAAAGATATATTCGAGAAGTGTCATACTTAGGATCCGCATTATTCTGGACCAAGTTTTGCGTCAATCGATCAATTGCGAAAATCAGGCTATTTACGATGGTATAGTGTACCTCAGGATTTTCTTTCGAGTTCTTTTTATAATTTATGTTTACCTCAATTGAAATATACATAGAAATTTAAGAAAATTGCAAGGAAATTAACACTAACTACCAAAAGTGCTAATTCGTCAAGGTAAATCATTCCGGACCAAAAATATCCACACAATAAATAACTATAAAATCATTTCGAGGCGTCAAAATAGAAACTACTTTCACTCGCGTGGTTTCTATAGTAAACACATACTCGTCACATATGTACACTCCGCATCAAACGTACTGGCGTAAGTATTTCATGTTTTCTTATTCATACATGAGAGAAAATAAACGAAACGATAAAAAAAAACGTAGCCGACTGATGTATATACACTATCCTTTCGATATTTTCTATATCTACCAACATCGAACTAATAAATCGTCATTTCAGTCGATTTGCTTTCTCTGTTACTTTTCTTTCCTATGAAATATCCTTTGAAAACGCTTCTCTGTCATGTCTCGCGTTTCATTGAGCATGCCAATGATGCTTTATTGTTTTCCAATTCTGCCAATAAATGTCATCAGCGAACAAACAATACTCCGGACAACAATTTAGGTAAGTGGAAAGTTTGAGAACGAGAGAATACAAACCGATAAACAATGATAATCAAGATCGATGACGTCAAACAAGTCATTTAACGTAACGAAAATCATTTAGACGGCTGCCATTTTCAGCCACATACGGACATTTGTTTCCGTCGATCAATAAAGCTAATATAGATGTATATGTATATTTAATAGATCTGCCTATGTAAATGACTTCTAAACATTATGAATTATCTATTGAAAAATAATATTATTTTAGACGACTATTTTATATTTCACTAGCGAATAATGTTTGTCCTAGAAGACTACTATAAACATTATATGCAGAACGATTTCTTCATGCTTAACATGTTCCAAGCATTCTATATAGTTTGATGAAAGATAAATATGCTCAGTTCAATTAGCTCGAATAGATAAATAGGCAAATCTTCCGAGCACATTTACAGTTCACTGCGCACGACGGAGTTATCTAGGACAAAAAATCTGTTTTGTCCTTGTTAACACAGTTTTTGATGACCGTGTTCTCCAAGAAGGTCATTTTGTTTTTACCCATTTGCCTGGCAGATGTCAATCAGCGTTTTATTTTCAGAAAATATCAGTTTATTTATTGCCAGAAGTCGTATGCTAGAAGTGTGCGTGTACATACGCAAATGGCTTTATCATTATTGCTTTGATTATTATACAAACATAATGCGTAAATTATGAAGATTATGCTTTGTCCATTAAACAGACATAACAATGTCTGTTAAATAGACATAACCACTCAAAAATGTAGATCGATTCCTTTGATGAGAGAAATATCAGAAGATATTTGACGTGTTCGAGAGAAGAATGATCGCAGCATATCGATGTGTTATTTTCATTCGTTGATACCAATCAATCGAGTGAAATTCGAGAAAGAAAATTCAAAATAAACTTGTCCATCAGACGGAACAAATTGATTTCTACACATAACAAGAGAAGGTCTTCTCGCTTGAGTAACGTCTAATTTTCTGTTGACAGATACACTTGTTAATCTTCAATGAAGCTTCGCGTATCCACTCGTTCAACTAAGACAAAGCAAAGCAGATCTTTCCTTAATATGTTAATTAATATTCTTCCTCGATACAACAAAGTCAATGTATTGTCTAGTCAGACGCTAGTCAGGATGTCAAGATTAGCAATTAAAATATTCTTCCAAGTAGAATAATTTGCAATATCAGCATATGTTCCCACTTCGCTTTTTTTTCCATTTTCACTCCGTTTCGTATAGTATTTCTTGTTTGGCCAATAGTAGACATATGCATGTATGAAAAGAAATAAAAAAAATACCATGAAATTTGCATTAGACACAGTCTCGTCTGTTTTCGATATGTTTATAAAATAGTATTTCATTTCTTTTTGCTTTCAATCATCACAAATATTTTCATCGCGTAACTCAACAACAAAAGAGAAATAGAACACGAAGGAAAACGTTGAAATATGTAAATTTAAGCCATTTTGTTTTTCGCTACATAAGATCCCAAAGCTGACGCAGCATGATTTGTCAGTAAATAGTGTGGTCTGACTTTCTACATTCAAAGCTGCAATGTCATTGATTCAATCAGATGATTTCTACTACTATGTGAAGGAAAAGAAGAACACGACTCTCTTCTCTCTTTCTCGTCAGTTTTTTCTCTCTTCTTCTTGTTCTGTTGTGTGCGTATGCCTTTTTTTGCGTCGTTTGCATCACCAACAAAAATAACAACGTCAAGCGAGCACTCGCGTTCGTCACCTAATTACCGGCCACCGTACTCACCCTCACACACACACTCTCTCTTTCTCTTTCATTTTGCCGTTGTTACTTGATGCTTCTGACTACTTTTGTTGATAAAAGAACAAGAGACATAGACATAGAGAGAAAAAAGAAAGAAAGAAACGAGCAAAAAAAGGTGGATTTGTATTCATTCAGCAATCTTCATTCAGTCCACATGAGACAAACAACACGTCACAATCGTAACGGTTTTCATTGTTTTATAAACATGCACAATGGTAAGTTATCGAGTAGAAATCATTTAGTCGTTTCCTTTTTCGTCCTCATTTGTCGATGTTTTTTTTCTATGCCATCAGTATAATGTCACTTGTTTGTGGAGGAGGAGAGACAAGAAATTGATGAGTGACTCGGCATACGTTTATGATTATTTACAGGAGACAAGAAAGAGAAAAACAACAACAACAACGATATTGATTGTCACAGAGAAAGTGCGCAGCGTAAAAGTCGTGATCATTAACATGTCTGATGTCTTTTTAATATGTCATTCGTTAAACACACGCCTATATCTTCACATTCCTAACGATGCGTTCTTCCCCGCACTTCATATCATCATCTCGCATTCTATCCGACTAGTAAGTATAACTGACGCGTGTATTCGTAGGAGTGGATATTTTGAAAGAATATGCACACACCTGCTGTCTTGCATCAGAACATGACAAATTTTGTTTTTCACATTTACATCAGTGTACTTGCTGTTCTTTTATCTTAAACAAAATCTTCTTAGAAACATTCGCGAAAAGAAAATAGATGAAGTATTTGTACACTTCACTTGTTTTGCCTGATTATTCGTCGCGCGACAAGTAATAACAACAAATAAAATAAAAAGAAGAAAACAAAAACAATACGCCCTAGTCGCCTGCTCTAGATTTTGCATTGAAATATGTATGAGTATGTCTGGCATTGTAACACAGAAGTAGAATTTCTTTTCATGATATGCCGCCGTTTCATAGTAATACTGGTGGACCGAAGCCAACACTCATTCAAATGTAAATGCCACCAGTGTCAAGTCCCCAGAGAGATGAAGTGCGAGAAATGTTTATGTGTAAGAATTTGTCTTTTCTATGCGCACGAGAAGTCGTTACTTATTTCGACTGGCAATTTAAAGAGGTAATTATAATTATATTAATCTCGGGAATACTATGCACATATTCGATAATCACTCGGAAAATTTTTTTAATCGAAAATTCCTTTGCACATTTAGAAATCCGTTGAGAATAGAGACTTAATAATTAATATTTTTCTTCTTTTTGATCGATTCTTTTTGGCAAGCGATATGTATATCTCGATGTTGATGTGTGTTTGATATTATACGAGGTTAAAGGATTGTAATAAAATATGTATATCATTATAATCAATAGGATTGATGTGAGATGATCTATCCAGATGTGTAGGGCGAATATTATTGTTCTTATCATTCTGTCTACTATTCAGTATATATTATCGCGAAGTGACAGATTGATCGAATACGTCAGCAAGTTTTGATAATCATCAACTTATTCTTATATCATTGAGTAAATATAAGCAACGACCTGAATGTACTTCAGGTTTGAATGTGAAAGAATAAGAGAATCATTCGATTCTTTTTCTTCTTCTGCGTCTATTGTCCTTAAACTATGGTAGCTGTTTATCACGACTTCTTTTCTCACGTCTAAAAAAGATCATTTCAAGACACTGAAATATGAAACCTAAGAATGGCAAACATTGGTGTATATAACCAAAGTATACGCTTATAATCAAATGCGATGTTTGTATGTTAACAACATTAATGACAAGACTCTTTCTCTCTCGATGTGAATCTTTTTTTCTCAAACGAAGCTCTACAAATTCTTTCAAATGATGTTATCCTATAGCTTCATGTCTTTTCGTTTGTTTCAATTCTCTCTATTACTTTCGTTACCCCCCTTCGAATTCAAGTATACGACTTATGAACTCATAGAACAACTTTCACATCTCTATCTACCATTCGTGTACCGACGTTCATACTTGAACCAACGAGTATCGAGTAAAATGTTGTTGGCGTTTTTTCGAATTTGGAATGAAGGTTCTTTTTGTTCGTCTACTTGAGACAATGATGAATAGAAAATCTTTCGATTTGTTTATGCTCTTAAGTATCATCCTCATTCAACTACTTATACGAATCTTCCCAGAAAAAAAAGGTCAAGATGTTGTTTTTTAAATCAATTCAGTATCTTCATGCGCATATGTTTCTATGGTGATGATTACGATTCTTAATTAAAAAGGTCTTATCATACGCGAAATAGATTAGTTACTTTCGATGATGTCAATATTATTCTCATTGAATATTGATTGCTCATCACCTACGTATTTGCCGAGTATAAAAACTCGTTTCGCGACGCATATAATATGATGACAAGATTAACAATCACACAAGCGCAAGCACTCAATGCCAGAAGACACATTCTATTTTCATATGCTCACCGTTAAAATAACGAAAAAAGAAGGCAAAGTGCCGCTTATGGAACATCGATGTACTATACACAGTGAACAGTGCGCATAAAGTAAAGAGAATGCTTGAAGGCATCTCAAGATTGAGTGAATAGAATGAATTGAAGTAAGTGATGAGAGAAGTTCCCATTGATTTAGGAATAAATAGTGAATAACAGTTTCATCGTAGATTGATGTTGACATTGATTTCTCACGTGTTCACATGCTCGTTCTTTTTCAAAAAAAAAGAGAGATTTGAAATAGTGCATTGATTGTCTCCATTTTCATTGACAAATATCAATATATTAGACAGAATCATTTTACTTGTCAACATCTTTTATAATTATATTTACTTCTATTTCTTTATATGAGCTCGTATGACCATTATCATCGATGATTGTTGTCGTTAGAGAATACATATTCATACATTATTCATCATCAGCCTACATCCTCTTCATCGTACTATAATTTCATTCATTCATTCATTCCTATCGTGTTGCTTTCTCGTTAACCATTTCATTATTGACGAATGTGTCTTTCTGGCATGTGGCCAAATCAATACATATTGAGATATACGCGAAGAAGAGAACGAAGAGAAAGAGAGAGAGAGAAACAGTGTAGAGTTCATTTGTTTCTACTTCTGTGTTCTTTGGCTCATTTCCAGCCTCCTTTCTCTCTCTCTCTCTCTCTCTCTCTCTTTCTTTTATATACTCATTCGTTCTGTACGTATAACAAAACAAATCATTACTCCTACGATGATGAATCATGTAGTAATAAGATTTTAGTCGACGAGAATGATTTTTCTGGTGAGCATTAGAAATAGCACCGAATGCCTTTTCTTTTCCAAAGACGTTATCATGCATTCTAATTTTTGGATAGAAATAAAAAGCTAAATAACGTGAAAATGGCCAGATGTGTGACTTTCTTCTTCATAATACGCCTGATGATACTTGAGAAGAACTAAGATTAGTTTTTCTTCGAAAGAAGATAATAAATATGTCGGTACAAAACTTGTCCATGAATGGGTACTATCAATATTGACACCATTCTTTCTAACTTATACAGGACAAGCAATCTGGAATGGATTGGTCATACATCTGGATCTGTGCCAGGAGAGATATTGATCTACCTTGACTTATTCTTTTTTTGTTCGCTGTTGATGCGCCAAGCGTGCGAGCAAGCATTTTCTCACGATCTCGCCTCTTTTCTCCTTACCTCTCTCTCTCTCTTTCGATGCGTGAGCGCGCGCGCGCTCACACATAAACATACAGACACGGTGTGATGAGGACGAGCGAATGTGAGCATCTATTTCATTTTATTTTAAAACGTGAGAGACATTGGAAAGAAAAGATTCGATTCATCTTCGTTTTCTCTTTCTTCTTCTTCTTCTTCATCTCGCTGTAGACACGTTCAAAACGGTCAGATAGCAACATCACTAATTCAAAACGAAAATTTTATAGCAAACGTAAAAGGTAAAAAAAAAGCAAAGTTCGAATCTTTTTTCTTCTCTTTCTCCCTTTTGTATCTATGAAATATATCATCTTTCACAGTCAAATAACCTTTTCTTTTTTTTTTCTGATGAAATCAAATAGTACTTGTATCATGAGTCAGGAGAACGAAATCTGATTGGTATTGCGAACAAACATGACGAAGTTCCTATTGCTCTTTTTTTTTTTTAAATAATTCCTATAACCTTTGAGTTTTCGTTCATTGTAGTACTCCATTGCTTTATGCGTACAAAGGATCGTTCGAGGGTAACTGAGAACGGCTAAATATGAAGAACGAGATAAATTTTGATTTAAATAAAGAATTTAACTGTCTGTCGAGACGACTAGACAGATATAAAGAAATGTCTGTTCTATTGTGAATGGATGCCTTGAATCATCGAATATATCGAACTGTTCAGAGAGAACAAAAAAAAAGAAAAGGATAATCGATGTGGCCGATGAAATAAACTGTCAGTTATCTATTATCATCATCATCATCATATCATTTTCATTTGATTTGACCCTGTACGCCTATCGTATTAGAAAAGAAATAGAAAAAAAAACTTTTTTTATCTTTATGTGTCAAGTTATTGTTATTGCGTAAAGATGAAGAATCATCCGAATGGTATGCAACTTGTGTGTGTGTGTGTGTTTGTATGCGTAGGCGCTGAAAAGAAAAGAGGACGGCATGAAGGGGGAGTCGTTAAGGGAAAGAACGGTGATAGATTCGTTCTGTTTCTTCTTCTTCTTCTTCTTCTCTTCCTACATCGATTTATGACGATGAAGAGGAAGAGAAGGGAAAAAAGCGACAGAAAGGAAAGATGCTTCTTCTATGTTCTTGTTCGTCGAATGACGCGCGCGCACTCGCACACACACACATACTGAGTGAAGTCGCAAAATGCGAGACACATACACATATTGAATGAATAGAAGTAGTAGTGTGCTCGTGAGTATACGTTAACGTGTGCGTATGCGTATTCATTGTTTGTATTAAAGAGAAGGAGAAGAAAAAACGAGCAACTGGCTGAAGATTTTTAAAAAAACAAAATTGTTTTTATTTTAGCATTAACTAATCATTCGAAATCCTCGATAGCGACAATAATAACAACGACGACGACGACAACAAACAATCCTATGTGTCAAATCGCTACGATACAAAGTAGTGAATATAACGAAACAATAAAGATGTCTCCAAATGATAGTACAATGGCGAGTAACAGTACTAATCATCATCATCATCATCATCATTTCGACGATGATCGGAACTACTTCATGGATACGAATTCGGCGAATACAAAATATTTCGTCGATATCTATACAGCCGCATTACATCTAAGGTAAGAATGTGCCTTCTTCATCGATCATCATGTTTGATCGATGATTGATTAGTTTAATAGTGGAGTTTTTGTTTTCTTCTTAATCGATTAACAAGGCACATCTTTGTTTCTCGTGGGAGTCATCGGAATATCCTTTTGTCTCATTCCTGTGCTTCACTATTTACATTATTAAAACAGATGTCGAACAATTAACCTCATTCTATTCTTTTTTAGACAACGAATGCGAGAAGAAAACTTAATCCATCGTTCATATTCAGCTTATTTGAATGATGAAAACAGTCCGCGTTCGTTATTTCATAATTGTTTTCATTCGTCTGAAACGATCGATTGGCTTATTAAACAACAATTATGTAAAACGATCGACGATGGCTTAGAGATCTTTCAAGTTCTCGAAAAACTCAAAATTATTCATCATGGTAAGTCATTCGTTGGCACGAAGCCAAAAGGAAAAACACGAGACATCGGAGAAGACGAAGAAAGAAAATTTCCTCTTTTCTTCTGCTTCCATTCATTATTAATTTGGTATGTGTAAGCGGAAGCACAAGCGCGTAATTGCTTTTTTCTTCTTTCTACCGACTGCGTACGATCGACCATCTTAAGAGATGCTTAGAAGGGAGGGAGAAAGAAAAGAACATAGGAAATATAACATCGACAGGTCAGCGTGAACTAAGTCGTAACAGATAAACAAGGACAAATTTTATCTATGTCGACAAGTTGAACTGCAAAAGATAGATTAATAAGAAAAACGTCAAACAAATGAAAATACTAATTAATTCTTTTGCGTATTTAGTTTGTGATCTAAATGAATTTGAATATCCATCATCGAATTCAATGTCACATAATAATGTGAAGTATCTCTATCGATTCCGTCTTGACGACGGCACAGCAGATCAAAATCGTTCATTTCAACAATTCGCCTCGATCTATGAAACTTATACAAGGTACAAGAAAACTCTCTTTTCTTGATCGAATTCGAAACATTTGCTTTTGTTTTGATTATAGTTTATTTACGCTCGATAAAAGTCAATGCCGTGGTGTAGATTTACAACAACAGATTCCATTAACCAATCCCTACGATGAGCAACCGGGCATTGTTCTTAAAGGTGATAATTTAGCACGGATGCTTGCATTACGTAGTAATGCAAATATGCAAAATGTTGAACGTCTTGCTGATAATATGATTATGTATGGTCTGATTCGATTTGGTATGAATAATTTCCTAGGAAGAGAAGAGAAATTCAACGGAACGAATTCCCTTTCAGATGAATGTGACCACCAAACGGACTGTTGTTGTTGTTGTTGTTCAAACAAATTTCATAATGATAATAACCATCAATATGTTCTCAGTAATTCTCATCGTTTATTAGCCAATAAACGTTTGGATCTAATTGCATTAATGCAAAATGATATACTATTATCACCACCAACTCATCATTCACCACCATTAACCCGAAATCAATCGAGTACATTCGTGAGTGCATCATGTCGTAAGTATCGATGATGACGAATAAAAAAATGCATTAATCGTCAATTTCTTCCATTTTTCAGCGGATCGTTCATCAACAATATCTCAATTTCCAACGAATATATCTCTAAATCGAGCTCAAAGTAATTACCAATGTAATGATTCCTCAAGCAAACTGTCACCATCATTACCGGCAAGCAACTGTTGCCATCAGTATTGTTCTCGTGCATCACCTTCAGCACAAGCATTTGTTTCACCATCATCATTACTGCAACAACAGAACGGACGACGACATCAGATCTCTGCAGCGACGAGTAGTAATAGTTCATTAATCGATGATGAACAACAACAATCGAGTCGAAAAGTTTCTAATGGAGATGAAACAGATTACACAACTAAGTTAACATGTACAGTGCCGACTACTAATGAAGGATTCCGACGGAAGAAATCTGCTAGTTTGAATTCACCAGCAAATTCTGGTAAGAAAAGCAGATTTGATTTCGTATGAATGAATCATCGATTGTTGTTCTTTGTAGAAAATCGACCGACAGCTGATGAACTCGAAAGATTAGAACTTCCATGGCATTGGAAGAGTTATTCAGTAAGTCGCGAACGACCAAACTTTTGTCTTGTTTCAGTTCATCAATATTTTATAGCTTAAACGTGATCGGCGTGGCTATGGATTAATACTTCAAGGTCAAGGACCGTGTTATATTGAAAGACTTGATCCATACGGTTCAGCATACACATCAGGAATTCGAGTAAGAAGATTTAATTTCGAAAGAAAAAGAAATACTCATTCGTCATATTCTGTTTCATCCAGATCAATGAATATATATATGCAATCGAAGGTGTCAACGTACTACGGCGATCAGGAAAAGAAGTTGAACGTCTACTATCAATGTTTGACAAATGTACCATATATACTGTATATAATCGTGATGACTATTCTCAAATCTCGACTCCGCCTAATGAATTGAATATCAATCGAATCTATCCGTGGAAACAACCAGCGTCATTATCATCATCGTTAAATGATTACAATAATAATAGTACAAATATCCTACTAACAACAATAAATAATTATTCGTTAAATCAACCGCAAATTCCATTTTCATCATCTCCACAACATCGACAAAATCCTTCGCCGTCATCGTCAGTCGATGGAACGTCGTCATGTTCGATATCACCGAAACCATTCACAAGTGCGACGGCGACGACGACGTCGAAAAGAGTATCACTAGCAAAACATTTCAATATCTTTCGATTGAACTCTCGTTCGGCTTCGAATTCATCAACTAATACCTTGAAATAGTTCTTTATGGAACAATAGTATCAGGCACTCTCTTGTACGACCCGGTTTGTTCATTTGTGTGTGTGCGTTTGTTTGTTCACTTCTCAGGTCATTTCTCTGGCTTAGTGTGTGTTTGTGTGTGCTTTTCTTTGCACGATTTTTTTCTTGTACGATGCGATGCGCGCAGCACATCTGTCTATATAATTTTATTTAACATGTAAATATTTCTTTCTGTTTTTTTTTATCTTCTTTTTTTTTTTTGTTGAAACTTGTGATGTGATTGAAACAAAAAAGAAAAAATTCTTGACGACGAATTGACAGAAAAAAAAGAAGAGAGATAAAAAAAATAATAAAACAAAGTTTGAACCGGATGTCCATCGTTCTCATTTGATCTTATTAACGAAGATTTGTTCGTAGAGTGCAAAGATGTTCATTCTAAAAGGTTATTACACATGATTAACATGCTCAATGGAAATTATCTATCATTAAGAGTAAAGAAACATCAAATTATGTCGAATCTCACATATTAAACAAAATTAATGGAGATTTCCTGACGCAAAATGGCGGAAAGTAATGCTATACTGCGCATCATTTTCATGTTTTATTATCGGAATAAGATCACAAATGCTATATACAGCAAAATAGGTCGAAAAAACCTTTTGAGGCGTCTATTTGAAATTATTCTGTCACTCGAATATGTTGATTGATCAACCAACGCAGACCGTCTGCAAAACCTTCATCTCTTGCCACACTACACATACATAATTTCACACGAGGATTGCTTTCGTTCAGGAACTTTTCTATTTGAAGAATTTGTCTCAGTTCAGTTTCGCTGCACGCCGTTTCCACATTGTCAATCTTATTTCCAAGAATCAAGATTGGTAACGAACGGACATCATCATCCATTAAAATTTTCCATAGTTCATGACGTGCTTCGGCAAAACGCGGACGATTGCTGGCATCGAGCATGAAAACCAGTCGTGTTGATGCGTGCATAAAATTTTTCCATATCCGTCGTGCTTGTGCATGGCCGCCCACATCAGTCATAGTTAACTGGGTTGAGCCAATTTTTAATCCATGTCCGATGGGTGTACCGGTTGGCGGTGCTTGGATAAGACGGTTTTGAGTTAATCGACCAGTTAATGTTGTTTTCCCAGCGTCGTCGAGACCAACAAGAAGGATGGTCTTCTCATCAGAGCCATTCGATGGCCACCAAAACCAAGCATATCCATTAATAAGATCACGGACGTATGTAAATAGAGACCACATGATTCGTATTTATTCAAATGATTTTCATTTTGTTATGACAATACATGTTTTTATAATCTGACAATGTTGTAGACGTGGCGCACTTTACGCAATCTGCCACGTCCAACAAGAGGAAAAGAAAAAAAACTTTCTTTTGATAGAATTTGCTTGAAGGTAAAATAATTGCAATAAAATATTAGTTTTTCTTCGAATTCATCCATTTTCTGTATTTAGCAAACTTGTCATACGTGTCTGAGAAATGAACACATGTTTACTCAAGCAAATGGCATATCGATTAATCTAAGTGAAGATGCGTCTTTAGACATGTTTGAACATCATTGATTATCCGTCGGATTAGCTTCAGTATTGGTTCAATCTGGAGTCGTTCGCCGTTTTTTTGAATGCCGATGATGTTTCTTCTTCGATGATGATGATGAAGAGGGTGATCGATGTTTATATTTTGATCGTTTTTCTCCATGTTTATAAAGTAATTCCATTTGACTAGAAATCATTTCGCGAGCATTCTAAATGCAATCAAGATTGTTATTTGTTAGAATGTTAAAGGATTATTTACGTCGTAAAATGTCTTTCTTCTTGTTCGATTAACATATTTTGCTCGGCGTCGTTTTTCATCACGTAATTGTGCTGATTTGTTTGACAACTGTGAAGAATTTGACTCTAAGAAAGGCATCGTAGCCAAAATCAATCACTTTGAAATATGAAATCAAACCCGACGATTGGTTAGAACGATTTTCCATGACCGATGAGGGTGGATCCGGTACAATTTTTAAACGTAAAGCTTCCTTATGAACAAATTGTACAAGAGAAAGTCGTTCGTTTGGTGTTAACAGAATCGTTGTTTGTTCAACATTCAAAGGCAGATCTTTAATACAATGAAAATGTATTCAACATTCATTTCACTATGGTTTTTACCGGTTTTGATGGGTAAAGATCGGTGAAGAATATTACTCAGTGTCGAAGGCGTAACGGAAATATCCGATTGTTGTAATAACTGTTTTTCTCGTCGGTATTCAATTGATTCTTTCTTTAAAAAAAAATCAAATATTATTTCCTTAAACCACATAATGCAGTATTTGATTTACTGAATAATCTTTCGAAAAACCGTCTTTAACCAATTGACAAGTTTCTAAATGTTTCGATCGAACTGGAAACCGATGTCTACAGTCTAATGGACACTGAACGATATCGTTTGCTTCTTGAAGTAGGTGCTCTTCTGTCCAATTGAGTTGATTCAATAGTTCGTCAAATCTCGATTTTTCTTTATAATAAAATGCTTCGTCCATTCGTCGTCTAAACAGATCAATGAATCAATATTCGAGAATGTCTCTTCGATATTTCCACGCTTCTTCATGAATTTATTCGTTTCATAAATTCGATCGACATCGACATACATATAACAAAAGAAAAGAGAGGAAAAAATATATATAGCGAGAAAAGGCGAAGGTTAAAAACAAAGGTTAAATGTCGTGTATCTGATAGTTTCAAAAATCAACTCGATACATAGCTTCAGGAAGGACAATGTGTATCACAAAGAAAAATTATTGCTGTTGAACAGTAAGTTGAGGGTGCATATAACGAATATATCGGTTACAGTTTGTCCGCGGTACAGGTATCGATCCATTGAAGAGTTGTCGTAGATTTTTCCAAGCACTCATCGACACATTTTCATGCGCACGTACGACAGACAGACCATGGCCACGAAATTTCGCAAGAAGTCGATCGCCTTTCGATAGACTCAAGATCGATTCGTATTGATTGTCTTCGTTAGCTGCCAATTGATCTTCGTATTGAATTTGAATGTTCAGTTTTTGACAAGCGGTGATTAATTGCTGTTTAATTGTAAATACTGAATGATGATTGTTTAATGTCTTTTCGTGTTCAATGATTTGCTCTTCAAGGAAATGTACATGCTTCTTCTCTTGCTGTTTCGGAGAACTTTCGTTGCGTTTAAGTGAACCTTTGATAGGCGGAGGAGGTAATGAAATCATGAGAGATCCTGTTAGTTCGGGATTTAATTTTGCTATTAAGTTTTCTGCAGCACAGCGTTTTGCTGCTTGTTTACTCTTACCACAACCATCTGCACATTCGTTGTCACCAAATTTCACTTGAAAAAAGAATTGCTTTTCGTTGGTAAGTTCTTCTAATTGGATAAATTCAACAGGCGTATCACGTGCTTGGGCTATTTGATAAAGACGAGTGATAGGATTGATCTCTTCAGTAAGACTGTATTCAGTTGAGCCTTTCTGTTCGATGAATTTCTTATGTTGTTTGTTATGTTTACGAATTGACTTGGGTTTAACTTTTTCAGCAGGCGAAGGCAAGATTTCGAGCATCTTTTCTGCGGCGATCTCTTTAGCAGCTTGTTTTGTTTGACCTGTACCAGTTGTTAAGTATTGTTCACCAATACGGTATGTTACCGATAATGGATCATGTTGTTCAAGTTGAACTGAAAAACCTAGTTGTTTTGCGCGTTCATACATAAGAGCGATTGGTGATTTCGGTTGAATCTAAATTAATAGATAAGACGAAATCAATAGTGACAAGCGGCATTTACTTGTGTCGGTATTGATATGATAAGTGGCGCTGGATTATTCTGTATGAAATGTAATGCTTGAGAAGCACAACTTGACCGAGCTTGTTGATGCGATGGACCTTGCCCGTCGAAAACGAGATCTTGTCCGAAATGTAAACGGTAATAGAATAAAGTTTGAGGTCGATTCCACGACGGATTCTTTGTCACTGGAAGATGCTGTTCTTTTAGTAAAACATATCGAGTTGGTATATGATGCCGAGCCGCCCATGCATTCAGTGCAACAGTTGGTGAGGGCGGAGCTTCGTTAAATAGAGAAAAGAAAGTCTAGGTCGATCATTGAGAAAAAAAGTCAATTTATCTACTTGGTTTCTCTTGTGTCAGTGGATTTATGGACAATAAATAACTGTGATCATTAAGAGCTGAAAATGCTGCTGCACGTTGTGCTAGTTTAATACTCCGATCAACACCGATATATTCCTTGTCACCTAGACGAAGTCGAACTGTATACATTTTTGCATGAGCTGGGCCAGATTCTTTTTCTAATTGATATTCAGCAACAATCTGAAGTATATGTACGTGATGACATGTGTGTTACATAACGAATTTGTCTTACTTTATGTCGTCGAGCTAGATCATGCATAGCTTTGATTGACGAAGTTTTGTTTGAGTCTTGTTGCATCCTCGGAGAGACTATGTACACAGGGTATGAATGAGAATATTGAAAAAGATCGTCTGTCTATCGCATAACTATCTTTGTTTTAAAGATAAGAATGTCTTTCTACGTTGGCTATCGATTTTTTTTTCGTGTAATTACAAAGACAAATATCTGTAGCTGATTCTTTTTTCTCCTTTTTGCTACTCTCTTTCATCATAACATCGCAATGAAAAGAAAATGGATTGGATTACTTTCTGGAAAGAATGCGACGAAAGATGGTGTGCATATACGTGTGAACTTGAAATTTTCTCAATTTCCACAACCTTATGACAAAACTTACATTTTTCGATGTCATAGAGTCGATCGTTGGCTGCACCCATACCAAAGTCTTCTTACAATACGAACTACAGGTTAAGAGAAAACAAGTTGATTCAAAGAAGAATGTCTTATTTAAATAGTTTATATACCGACTATATTTGCGAAGGTGCAGATACGAAGGTGAATATGTGTTTGTGATGATCAATATCTCTACGTTAACGTAGACATCGTAGTCGTAGGTTATGTTCTTGTTGTAAATATCCATGCATGAGACATCATTATCGATGTCTTTTCTAGGGAGAGAAGTTTCTTGATAATGAAACGAATCGAACATCTAATCATTTGATAGAGAAAAAAGATAGTTATTATGACATATAACCAAGGATAAAAGAGATTACTAGATAACACTGATTGGCACATATGTATTGATACATTTCAACTATTTGACATGGAATGCCATGATCTGTGCGAGAGATGGATGAAATATTGACGGGAAGATCATCGATCATTATTTTTTCTGTAATCTATCGTAGATCGCGTTTAATTACGCAAAAAAAAACGTATCGATAACTTTTTTTAATTATCGAATTTCAAAGACGTAAAAAAACACGTATTAATAGTTTTTTTTTCTTCGAGAATCAATTACAGCAGCAGATGATCAAGATGATAGTTCACAACGTCAATATAAACATCATCGTTGTTTGTTTTCTTTATCATATTGATTACGAGGAATGATTATTCTTTGCTCGACTTGAAAAATATCTCATCATATTTCTTGAGTAGCGAGACAATGAGTCAGATTTCAATGATTTATACCAGTGACAAGCATACATAATTAAAATTTCGTATTTTCAAACGATACAATCATTGTTCGCATGCGATTTGTCTAGCGCAAGTGAAAAAAAAACGAGAACATAAAGAGTTTCTTTCTCGGTTTTAATGTCGTTTGAAAAAATAGATTTAAAAAAATTTGAACAAAAATAGTTGTGTGTAGATACAATGTTTAGAACTTCGTTTCGGCTTGGCCACAGCGTCGACATGAACTTTCTGTGACTTTGTTGTCCATAGCACAGTGAGTGCATCTCCAAATGAGTTTTCCACGAGTTGCTGGTGCATCTAATGACGAATTATTCGATTGATTGGGTGTCGATGAAGCGGTATTTCTATCAACGGTTGTTGATTCGAGATACACAGGTTCTCCTTGTAAGTCTCTTACGTTTTCGTCTAGCATCCCTGGATCATCTTCATAATAGTATCCTTCTTCTTCTGCTGCTGCAACTGGTTCCTGTTTCGAACGTTTGTTTTTCTTTCTTCGAAAAATTTTCTTTAATGTTTCATCAAATGTTAACAGATCTTGTTGCATCTGGTGCATCGATGCGTCATTTTCGATCGCTTTTCCGCCGAAATATCTTGCTGGTAGTTTTCCTACTTCTTCAACAACTTCGTCAACGGGCACAGCATTCGTACCGGTTCCATACGCCCAATCATCCACGGACCAACTCGCTGTCGTTTGACTGTTACCCATCTTAGATTGTGAAACTTAGATGAAAACTATCTATTACCGAGAAGCAAAAGATAAGTGTAACGTCGATTTCTTCTCCTTCACCTTTAAACATCTATTTTTTCGCGATGTTTATTCAAGCAGAAAGTCATATCTTTCGGCCATGAATGTGTCTAACCTAACGTGTTTCGGTAATTTCTATGAAATGTGTATGCATTGAATAGATAGATAGATATATTGTATGAGAATGTATAAAAAAAAAACAACATCAATAACAACAGCAAACGACAAAAAATGTCATATCGAATATACAGAAAGATAGGAAGAAGAAAAAGAAAAGAAAAGTGAGCATTTCTCGTACACAGATATAAAAAAAACACATACACACACATACAAACGAACTGACGAATAATTGAATGAATACTGACCAGGAGAGAGAAGACAGATAAGATTAAGTGAATAATATGTCTCGATATAGATTTGTATTGTTTTCTTCTTTGTTCACATCACTGTTAAAGATAAAAATTCTCTGTGAAAAAATTTGTTCTGTTTTTCATTTGTTCGGTCAACAGCAACAAAAGATTCCTCGCCGTTTCGAAGTTGATGGAGTAAGTGCAGCTAGAATCGCTGTATCGAATGTTTCTTTCAGATTCTCTTGAGTTAACGCTGAACATTCAATGTACGCATAGGCACCATATTCTTTTGCTGTACGTTCGCCTTGTTCTCGTGTGATGGGCTTCTGTTTTGATTTTGCCAACAGTTCTACATCAGGAGTACTCGATCGAAGATCAATTTTCGTTCCAACCAGCACAAACGGTGCTGCACGTGATGACGACGATTGCCGGATTTCATCAATCCACATTTTCAATGCATTATTAAACGATGTCGGAGACATCACACTGAAGCAAACGAGAAATACATCGGTATTCGTATAAGAAAATGTACGCATCAGCTCAAAACCTAAAAAAGCGAAAGATTTCTCATTAGATTTTTCCATTCAATTTAACTTACCGCTTTGACCAGCTGTATCAAACAGTGCTAACGTATAAGGTTCACCACTGATCATCACAGTTACAGAATAATTATCAAAAACAGTCGGAACATATGATTGTGGAAATGTGTTTGTTGTGTAAGATATCAACATTGATGTTTTACCAACACATCCATCTCCGACACAAACACATTTGATTGTTTTGTTCATTAGATTTCCACCGATGGGATTCGATGTTGCTGGTAAATTCGAAGTATTTGGCATTATCTAAAATAAATATCAATAGAATCATTTATCAAAACCTTACGTCGTGTATATTCTTTCATTCGGAGTTCTTTTTCTTCTCTAATGTTTCTGCTAATGGTATTTTGGTGTCTGTCAATCATATTAACCAAACAGAATGGAGAAGCAGAGAAGAAAAATACAAGATAAGAGTAAATGAAAGAATGTAGGTGGTTTAGAGAGAAAGGACATCGAAATCGAATGTGTACCGACATTTTTCTCATGAATCATTCTCGATTAATAACAGAAATATGCAGTGAGAAGTGTTTGGGATCTTTCAATCATTGGCGAACATCTGATGAATTCTTTTTCTCTTCGTATCGAACAAATGTGCAACTTGCAGCAGATTGTTCATTGTTTTCCAGTGGCCTTGTCATCTTTTGAATAAGTCATAAACGATTCACTTACGGGAGATATTCTACATCCAAACAGAAGATTACGACGTATCGAAGAGATTTCTTGCGGAGATCAACAGATAGAAATTTGCAGTGAAAAAAGATTTGTTGTTATTTGCTTTGTTCATATGGTTTTGAGTTAATCTTTTTCATTGGTATTCAATTTGCCATTGATTGTCGTAGAGCGACCTCCATTCAGTTTCTTGCAATTTTATTGGCTTAGATGAGCTATGTTTCAGCCGTTGAGAAACGAACAAGAGATGTTCTTTCTCTGGATTTTTAATGATTTTATTCCAAAGACGAAAATTCGATTTTTTTAATGATTTAATTTCATTTTTGATGCCACCAATACCAGCAAGTCGCCTACAACAATCGTCATCAGTGAATACCAATATAACTTTAAATGATAACAATCGAGAAAGGCATACAACAAGCATAGTTCGATTGCTTTTACATATATTTAAGTGTGTTTATTTATTTTTGCTAAGAATGTTAGCGAGACTGTTAGTTGTTATTAAGCGAATAGTAAAATTTCTCGTTCACTGTTTGACTTTTATGTTTGTTGCATTGCGTGGCTCAAGAAAAAAGGTACAGTGACTTTTTTGATTCTGTTCGATAACATTTTCAAGTTTGTAGTTAATTCAATTTCAATCTGTGAAGTATTACAACTGTCCTCTTCAACCTCTATCTGCTCATCGACTACGTATGTAAATTTTCGTGGATCTTCTCTTGATAAATTCTGTTTTTTTTCTTTCAGATTTTCTGCCGAAGAAAATCTTAGTATTAGACTTGGATGAAACTTTAGTACATTCTCATCATGATGGTTTCTCACGTAACGGTGCTCTGAAACCAACAGGTCCGCCTGATTTTATAGTTCGAGTAGAGATCGAAAAGCATCCTGTTCGATTTTTTGTCTACAAACGACCCCATGTTGATTACTTCCTTGAAACAGTAAGACAAATTCATGTATTCTTTTGTTTCACCTTATCATTTAGGTGAGTCAATGGTACGAACTTGTCGTATTTACTGCGTCGATGGAAATCTATGGCGCAGCAGTGAGTGATAAACTCGATAATAATCGAAATATGCTGGCACGTCGATATTTCCGACAGCATTGTACACTCGATTTCGGTGCATATACAAAAAATCTATCTGCTATTAATAGTGATCTTTCGCGAATATTTATCTTGGATAACAGTCCTGTTGCATATCGTTGTTGTCCACTCAATGCCATTCCGAGTAAGTGAAGATTTCTTCTCATCGTCTCTATTTTGTATCGTTGGAATCTTTGTAGTTAAATCATGGTTTTCCGATCCAACAGACACTTGTCTCTTGTCGCTACTTCCATTTCTCGATGCCTTACGATTTTGTCAGGACGTTCGTTCGGTTTTATCCCGGAATTTACACTTACACCAACAAGCAATGATGACAACGACGAACTCATTGACTACACAAGTTGTGCCAGTATCTACGCAATAATCATAATAATTCGGTTCGATTTCCTTCTTTCTTTCTTTTTGTTCTTCTTCGTCGTACGTCTTTCGTTTTTTTCCTCTCCTGTTCGTTCGTTATTTATTGTACATTGTTTTATGTATGTGTGTATGTGTTTGATGACAGAAAAAAAAAGAAACGAAAAGCCCGGTTACGTGGCCAGACAGAACAGCTACTATTGTTATGCGATACTTGCTAACGTAAGCGGTAACACCAATGAACAAACGAGCTAAAGAAACTTGTGATCCTATGCGTCGTATCCTACTCACTCTCTTTCTCTCTCCCTCTTACGCTCGTTTGCATAGTATACTTCTTTTGTCATCATTCTCTTTCGTCTTATTTTCTACATATACGTGTAGGATGAAGAAAAAAATGAAGGTATTCAATCACTTCTATTTTACTCGTCATCAGTAAGTATTAGTCGTGTGCATACGTCGTTATTTATTGCAAGAATCGATCAATTGATATGATAGAAACAGATAAAGAGCGCGATAGAATGACAAAAATTAATGATCAAATGACGTCCTCGGGCCGTGTCAAACAAAGTAAAACAATCACTTGCTGATAGATTTTGCATTCAAATTGAACTTGTATGATTTTATTTAATCTAGTCTGTCAAAATTTCTTATTACATGCCGATTCTGGTCTGGCACATCGTTTACAACAAGAAGAATGTAAAATATAAAAGACAATTGTGTTTCGATGGATTTGACTTTAATTGATATTTAGTTGCTGTACATTTTGATCGAAATCGTACTCATCGACGTGAATCTCAATTGGGAGTTAGAGCAGCTCGTAATGTTGAACAAGAAGAGAAAAAGGCATTCATCGAAGAACAAGTTCATTTCTGCCAAGAAAAACAAAAGATGTTTGTATTTCATACAGAATTCTTCGTTCTTTTAATTGAATTGGTATTTTAAGGGCGGAAATCGATACTGCATTAGCAAGACAATTGCAAAAGGAATTGAAAATATCGTCGAGTTCAAAAGATCAAACCATGATCAATACTCATTATCGTTCCCATGAGAAGAAGGTAAATGAAAGTGCGCACATGACTTTCTTTACTGTTAACTATTTTTTCTCAAATAGAATTATCATGAACAAACTGATCAACCAGTGACGCATCCGGATACGAGTAGCGATGAACAGTTAGCAAGAATTTTACAAGAGGAAGAAGAATTACTATCGTCCGCTGCTCATCGGTCACTTTATCGATCAGCATTTGTATAAATGAACAAAGACATTGTATATATTTTGCTTTAATTTTTCGAATAAAATAACTTTCAATAAGATAATTTCTTTGTTTTTACACAATGTGAAATATATTTTTCATTAGGAGATATGTACTTGATCATATTTTGTTTGGTATTTATGTACAATGACATAACTATGTAAGTTTAAGGTGAAATCTAATGACAGGGAGCATAAGGTCAATTGAATTCATGGTTGCTTCGTTCAACCGTAAAATATTCTATTTTCGATTTTCATTATCAAGAATGTTTGATGTGATTGTGAAGAAAATAATAGAACTTAATGATGAAGATTTGCGTCATTGAATGAATGTTAACTTATGTTTTTTTTCTCGTTTCGCTAAAGATCATGACAAACAGGACAATAGATAAGTGTTGTAATCTCTGAGATTACTAGTTGCATTGTTATCATAGATAGATTAGTTGTTCTGTTTTTGTTTTACACGTGTTGATCATTAAAATTTCTTATTTTAATGATGAACGGGAAGTCAATTCAGCTAAATGCAAAAGGTGAACTTCTATGTTTATTTTTGTAGGCTGAAAACGTTCTCGATGAAAGTAACGAAAGTGATATATCTAGGAAATGAATATGTGCAGTGTTTATATACATTTGATTGCTTACAAAATATTTAACAAGGCAATTGATAATCGAGATAGTAAACATCGTTGAATCAAATTTATCTATTTAGTCAAATATAGGATAAGAATATGGTCATTCTTACTTGTATTAGTATAAAATAAATGGGAAAGATCTATTTCTAGACGTGATATAATTGGAATCAGGCTTGAATGAACGGTGTTTGCTGATTGATGACGATCGTTTGAAATACAAAAATAACAAAAAACATCTACTTTTTTTTCTTCTCAGAAATCTTTATTTCCATTAAAGATATTGGATTACTTTTTCGGAGAAACTTGTCCGCACTCTCAAGAACGAGTTTCTGGGTTGTTATACGTGACATATTTATGAAGTTCATTTGGCATTACGTATCCACCCACTCTCGATCTGTACAGTATGAGCAACACTTATACCGATCTTTACTAGATATTCGACATTCGAATTGCTTTTTCCTTTGATCAAATATACATTTCGCGTAACAATACGGTCCTGATGGCGATATCAGTAAGAAATGTTTGATATTTCCTCTAAATTGAAATAGGAGTTTTGTATAATTAATGATTTCTCATAATATTTTCAATCCATTATCGAAATAGAATTGTGATTGGCGAGTAACGGAAACGTTATGTAGTACTGTAAGTATTTACATAATACGCACTTTCAGAGAAAAAGGTCACACAGTCCACCCGTTATATCTAATTCAATTCGATAATGAAAGTAGAACAGAGAAGAAGCAGTGTAACTATAATTCTTTTAAAATCGTTATCTCGGCAAGACAAAGAACGCTGTAAATACGTGTTTTCGTATGTCAAATGCGCTTCACTTCAACAAAGAAGGAAACTTCACACTAACTTATTATAATTTGGACACAAGCAGCAACCACATTTTTAATTCTTAGTCTTGTATAAACAGTAGTTACCGAAGATCCATAATCCTTTATAATGTCTACTAACGATGGATGGTGATTTCAATATGTCAGACGAACTGCTTATAGCAAGTTCAATGGAAGACGATTAACTTTCGTCAATCCAATTTCACCTGTCAATTGTTTAATTATATGATACATCAAGATCGTAAACTGACAGCAATCTCAGGAGATGTAACAATGATAGTTATATCAGGAACACGAATGTCACCAGAGGAGTGAGAAAAAGCAATGTATCCAACGAGTACGGAAGAGTGTTTTTATACCTTAAAACAGTAACTATTTTCAGTATTCACTTTGAAGTGTTAAAAACCATTCATTTTGGTTTCATGTTGCTTTTTCTTCTCTTAATAAAAAAACCAACGACAACATCCACACCAGCAATAGCAGTACCTTAAGGTATATCGGAAGTTAAAACGCTGCAAGTATCTGTCGTCGGAAATATCTAGAATGAAAATTGCGGATCATTGAGATCTTTAATAGGACTTGTTTACTCATAAAGACATATATAAATGAGTATTTCGACGGAGAAAAGTGAATATCCATTGAAATCTATCTCATGGAAAAGAAAATTCATGCTTGTGAAAAGTAGTGAATTTCTTGTTCCGTATTGATTGCAGATGGATACGATAGCAATGGGTATACCAACACTGTTGAATCATTTTATCCGTCCACAGGTATCTGGGCAACAGTAGCAAGCTTAAATTTCATACAACGGCTTCACATAGTAGCATTGTAAGTGGTTTGACTGGTCCCGGTAGTAACGATACTCTCAACAGTGCCCGATCATATGATCCATGGGCAGTCATTTTGTATAATTATTACTACAGAAGTCTTCTTACTGATAAATTATATACTTCATTTCGCAGAAGTCATTTTTCCAACAAATCGATCTGTCGTTTCTTTTTTTTATCTTCTCAATAAGTGACTTATAAAGTAACAATCATTCTTAGAGTTCAAATGTCATTGAACTCTTCTGATGCAATATTTATTGCACATCTAACCGTTATCTTTCGATTTTGATATCCCTATTTGGCACAATTTGCAATATTTTGAATTGCCTTGCGTTATTCTAGCGAAACCTTCGTTCAAATCTATGTGCATAATTTTTTCCCGCATCATCATTTAGCAGTTTGATAACTCTCATTTCTGGTGTTACTGTTCGCCTATTAGCTGATTGATTGGATTTATCAAACACAAATTTACGTGTTATTTACTTCGCGAACAACTGCTTCATGGTTTATTACATTTGTAACCATTGATAGGTGACTTTCATCATCATTAAATGTCACGCGGAGACGACTCTATGTCGTTTAGTATACGACTTCGAATTTAATTTTCATTATTGTACTTATTCTAACGATTCAAATGATTGTTTTTGGACTAATGACAATTTCTAATACTTGTCAATTTAAACTACGTTGAATTCAACCGCATTCTACAACAGGAAAATCTCATCAATGGAAGAAAACTGATCGTTCTGTTTTGCTTATTCTTTCTATCCAAATCATTTTCTTAACTGTATTCTCACTCTCACAAGCAATTTAAAGCCTTTATACAAATATAATTCGTGAACAAACTCAATCGGCGATCACGAATGCCATCAATAGTTTTATTTTAAACATACTCTTTCTTCTAACACACGTTACGAAGAACAATGCAATCATAATTGCAATATATATAGTTCGTTCTTTCACTCCATGTGTGGTCGAACATTGTCATCATCAAATTGCTCTCTGTTCGAATGTTTAAGATACACATTCAATCATCTCTGTCTACAAGTGAACATTGTTGAAAATGACTACTTCACTGCGAGAACAAAGAGGAACCAATCTAGTCAGAAACATGGTTTGCAAATCGTTCATTTTTGAGAATGACGATTCGTGTCAGCAAGAATCAACAACTTGTTTATACAAAAGAGAATGAAAGATTAGAGTTTTTATAGGACATGGATAATCAGAGCTGCCATCTGTATCCCATTTGGGGGTACAGTACCCCATTTCGACAATCTGTACCCCAAAAATATTTGTACCCCATTTTGGATAATTTTCTTTTTGCATACGATTAAATCATATTTTGCTATAATTAACGGGGGAACAAACTGATTTCCAGCCAAGAATCATAGAGAAATCAGCAAGGGGAAAAGAGCGGAATCTTTGTAAAATCTTATAAGGTCAAAACTAGTGTTCAACATCGATTTCACATTCACAGCTATTGTTACTCAGAAAGAACATGTGTACCCCACAAGTGCACCCCATTTGAAGTAGTATTGTACCTTACTCGTACCCCATTTACAATTTTTTGTAACCCATCTCGACCCTGAACAGATGGCAGCCCTGTGGATAATATTCATTAAATTATATTGTGAAACAAAAAGTTTTCTTCTTTCTGTTTTACTGAATTTAACTTGACATTTTTATGAGCAGAAAAACAATATACTGAAAATCTTCGCTTCGCCAAGCATGACAGATGGTTACTGGACGAAATGAGGAAGAGACATTCTTTTGAATTAATTTTTGAATAATTTTTAGCTGTGCATTTACCAGATATCCATTTCGCAATTAAAGGATATATACCTAAACATTTTGCAATAGCGGAAAGAACATTTTCCAAACAGATGGATAAATTCAGACGAGTTATGAATTTTATTGGTAAGGTAAACCTATTCGATGATGGAAGAGATGTGCCTCTCATCGATCAACTACTTGCCACACGAATATTTCTCTCTCTTTTCACTACAACTCTCACTATTATCATTCTTTTTGCTACTTTTACTCTTCGAACTAATTCTGTTACAGTTCATTCACCATCTCAAAGTGATTTTGAACAATTAATTGAAAAATATCCAAGTACATTAGTATGTCCATGTTCGCAAACCTGGATACGTTATGATCGATTTCTTTCATTCAATCCACAATATCATCCCATATGTACAAGTCAATTTATTAATCAATCATTCATTTCATCGATATCTAATATTAATATAAGCAATTACTATGAGTATGATTATCGTATTATTGCATCATCACAATTTCAAATTCTTGAGACACTTTGTCACACTAGTCAGCAAATGGTTTCTGATTCGTTAAATGAACTCTTCTCTCAATATCTGACTACAACTCAAGTTATATCCAATGAAATATTCAATGCTCAGCTGGATTATTTTATCGAACAGTTGAAATCTAAAAGTATTAATGAACAAGAACATACGAGTGATTTTCTCCACCTAAGTGTTTCTCAAAACGCGATTTATTCCGCACTTCAAACTAATTATGTAGTCATATTTCGACCTGAAAAATCAAAGTTTTACTACGCTGCAATTACCTACAAATTGTATAACGTCACCTGCGCTTGTAGTCTGAATCCAAATTGCTATAAACAAGCGAGCATTTATCAACTGAAAAATTTTCAAATCATCTACGATTCTGCTAGTTTGCAATACTTAATTATTTACTCTGCAAAGGTGCTTTTGACTGTTCCTGGTATACAAATAGGCTGTTTGCCATATAATTCATTACTTCAGTCAACGCTTGAATGTTTCTACAATCAATCATGTATTGCTCAAATTCAAATGTATATCTCTGCTTTCTCGTTGGTTTTACCGCTTGCACAATCGCGTTATTCACAAAATACAACTGTTAACGATCTTCTTAGTGAATTCTTCATCGAATCATGGAATGAAATGAGAAATTTCACAGCTTATTTTCATGTTTGTGCTCCACGATCTTGTACCTATTCGTACGATCGACGATTTAACCTTCTATATGTGATTGTCACATTGATTGGTATTTTTGGTGGTTTAAAAATGACTTTATATTTTTCTACGCCATTTGTCGTCAAAGTCATTCGACAAATCGAAACGAAGAGCTATTGTTCGAAAAGACCCGATTCAATCGAAAATGAATCACATTCACAGCAAAGTAAGTTGTATGTCAAGTATCCAATTCGCATCTTTTTCTTGTCAAATAGATCTACGAGATCGTTTGATGCATTTAATGTCTCAAATCAAGATCAAACTCATGACATTGAATCTTTTCCCGACGTTCGCCAATATTAAAGACGGGATTTATTCCACGCGTATTTATCTTCTCTGTCTTCTCATTGGAATGATTATTTTAATATTTTACACATCAATATCAATTCAAACGCGAAACATTACAATCTATCATCCAGAATTAAATGAATATGACTATTTGTATGCTCAATATTCATCAACATTAAAGTGTCCATGTTCTCGTCTCTCAGCGCCATATTCATCAATTACTCACCTAGAACCGGAATATCATCAAGTGTGTTCAAGCGATTTTGTCAAAAGTGATGTTTGGCTGTTGTATTTTGTTCGAGAGAGTGGTGTATTGAGAGCCTACGATTTTCGCAGCATTGGTTTAAGGATGTTTACTCTTCTTCAAACATTTTGTCAGATGGCAAATGAAACAGTGAGAAATCAATTAGATATATTCAATGACGTGCAGTTTGTTACTGCATATGTTCTATCAAGAAATACATTTAACACTCAAATCTCAACTCTCATACAACAGTTTCAACAACAGACTGTGAATTCTTTTCTCAGTATATTTCAACTGGTTCGCACTTCAATTCAGATGAATCAATTTATGGTTGGCAGTGGCACAAATGCTGGCTTGATCGTATTTAACAGAAGTCATGATTCGATATTTCGTTTTATACCAAATAGTGCATTTGACAATGAATGTTCATGCGGCGAAAGTAGTTCTTGTACGTATCCATTAGGTTTTTATTGTATTTCAGGTCAATGTAACCAGAATTCATTAACACCGCCAAAGCAAATCATTCCTGGCCTTGTGCTGGGCTGTTTACCAGTTGATTCCCTTCTTTTATCTTCACTTGAGTGCTTTTACAATGCAACTTGTATTCAAATGGTCCTACAATGGCGTTTGTTTGGATTAAATATTAGTTCATCATATTCAAGTTTAAGTAACGTCACTCCTCTCGATTCAATAGTTCAGAGCCGCTTTTCACCTGAGACAAAATTGGAAAATGTTGTTTCCCAACTATTTATTGAAGATTGGACAAACACAAGTAATTTCAGTTCGTATTATCATCAATGTGCACCGAATGAATGTACCTATACTTATGAAGGACGTTTTAATCGAGCGTTCATTATTGCAACAGCACTTGGTACTATTGGTGGTCTTTCTGTAGCTCTTCAAATCTTCATTCCTTTTTCTATAATTCTATTTCGACGTATGCGTCCCTGCGGTTTTCGACATTCAACTCAAACTGCAAGGAAGAACGTAGATAAAACAAGTAAGAATTAATAGGTGAAGTTGAAAATCGTTTGAAAAAGTTTTTCCCTAGCTATCCATGAAAAGTATTTGTTCTCTATCGGTTACATTCGGCAATACTTTCATACATTGAATTTGTATAAAAAAAACGATGAAAGCCATCCTGACGATCAGCTGGAGCAACGCTGCCGAACAGCTACTCGGTTTTATATTGTACTTTTCCTCATTTCTCTTATGACAGTTATCACATTTACTATTTTCAATTCACAAATCAACACTGTAACAGTACTATTTCCATCAAATGAAACGTTTCATCTGCTTCAGACTCAGTACGAGTCAACCCTTTCATGTCCATGTTCACAAATTCGAGTTCCATATTCAAAATTTCTCACGATTAAACCAAATGAATATCATCAAATATGTTCAAGTTATTTCGTTTCTTCTGATTTCATCAGCATGCTTTGGGGTCAGAACGACCCTGTCTATTATTCTCTCAGTATCGATGATAAAATCTTAAGTACAGAATTTCGTCTTTTATCAGCATTATGTTCTCTTGCAAAAGATATAACAGAACAAAAACTACAAATCTTGTTTTCTCAAGAATTAATCACTGTGCAAACATTGTCACAAGAATCATTTCAAAATCAACTTGATTCGATCATCAATACTTTCGTTGTTGAATCACCAACAAATTTTCGACGAACCTATCAATATATTAATGATATACTTTATGGGAACCAATTGCAAAGTATATTTCTGACAAATTGGAATTTAAGAACACCGGCTCAAGACATTCAATACCGGATAGAAGGAAATCCGGTAATAGGAAATGATGAAAATGGGCAACTATGTTCATGCGATACTCAACCAACATGTACACAATCTGTTTTGACCAATGCCTTCAAAAAAGGAACATTTGCTGGTTTGTATTCTTTACTATGATGATTTGTTCACTAATTAATCTTCTTATGTAGGTCTTGTTCGAGGTTGTTTACCTGTTCATGGTCTTCGCTTATCAACCCTTGAATGTTTTTATCAACAAACATGTTTATCAAAACTGGCTATCTTTGTCAATAGTCCATATATTCCATCACCTTTGAACAGATCGATTCCAACTCGTTTTACACCCGTTTCATCAACAAAAATAGGTACAATCATTGATGAATTATTCATTGAATCCTGGCATAACACGACTAATTATTCGAATTATTATTCGACGTGTGCACCATCAACATGTCGATATTCTTATATGGAAAGGAACAATGCTCTTTATATGTTAACTACTTTTCTTGGTTTATACGGTGGATTAACTGAAGGATTAAAGTTTCTTGTGTGGTATGGCTTATGTTTATATTGGAAAATTCGTCAATGGTTACGTCAGCGACAGGATATAGTAGCACCATCTTGAGAATGTGTGAGAAAGCAATGAAGTTTTCCTCCGTTGTGCATTGCAGGAAATGCCTTGATTTCTGAGTAAACAAATTTTGGCAAAAAGAAGGTTCGAAAGAAATTTGGTATACATTCAGCACTGTACTACTGTCCTAATATTTTCTGAAACTATTTGGTGGGCTCATTCACTATATAATAGTGAAGCTTTTTCTGACGTTTCTCATTTGTTGTTTATTTTCACTTTCGGTGTCGAAGAAGATGATTATAGACATATTGGTTTCATTCTGAATGTTTAAAGTAAAGAAATTTCTGTGATTGAAATTTAAGCAAATGAACACTGAATTCCTTCGGAATGTTTTATATATTTGAAATCATAATAAAATCACAGTTTACATTCTATAAAGCACGGAAAAGGTTGCCTAGGCTTCTTTTCTTTTCAATTCAAACGGTATGACTGTCGGTCGTGATGAAAATAATTCATAAATTTCTTCAATGGAAAATGTATCATCGATTGCTGATTCTGCGTCATCGGCTAAAGCAACTAATTCATATATAGGATAATCTTCTTGACATACATGAAAGCGATCTAATGCTTCTTTGATAATTACTTCCACTGATGTATCCAATGAACAAGGTAATTCAATCGTTCGTTCACCAAATTTAATTGAAGAATGAATCGTTGCTTTGGGCTTCAGTTGTAATTTAATTTCTTTCATTTCAGAATCAATATCATGTAAAGTGATATCCTCATCATCGATTATACAATCAGACTCTTCTAGTTCATAATATTTACCGTTCAAAGTAAATAATAGACAAGCAATTGAGTGTAAACGTCCAACATTGATTGTCAATGAGCAATGAAACTGAATTGTTTGTTGATTTTCATTATTCTGAATAGTAACCTTGATTGGTAAATTCTGATCGATTAAAGCAAATTCAATAGTCGAGTTTGATCGTGGAAATAAGAATAATTGTGTATCGATCGATGGAACAAAATCATTTGAATAAAGACAATATTGACGATCGATGTCAAGTTGATTTTCTTGATAAATATCGCGAATTTGAGCATAAATTGTAAACCTTTGGTGTATTGCATTTTGTTCATCATCTAAGCCAAGTAACTGATTCGTTTTTGGCTTTTTAATTGATATGAAACATGTTTCATTTTCTTTCACCAGAAGGAACTTTGTTTCGTGTAAATTCGAAAGTTTTTCACAATAATCGATAATCTTCTTCGTGGAATTCGATGCCAAATACTTATAAACATTCGCTGGAACATTATCTATCGATTGAAATATATGTTCCATCGTCACGTTTCGACTTGGAAGAAGAAGAGAACTCGGCTCGGAGCTATCATATCGAAAGATTTGTATCATAATCGATATACGGAAATGAACAGGTCCATCTTCAGCTGATAAATAGGATGTTAAAGGCTGTCGAATATCTTCTTGAGAGAGAACTTGTTCATTTGTTTCGCCTAAGACAAGAACACAATCGTTTGGAGAAATATCAATTAGATTTAATTGTCGAAGAAGATCTTCATTGTTTAATAAATGACAAATTCTCGATGATTTTAATGCATTTATAGATACACTGTTATTCTCATAGGTGAATGTCACTTTGGTTGTACTGTTTCTACTGATTCCATCGATAATTGTTGGTT